AACGAACCCTCTTCTTTTTAAAACGATTTCCTTGATCATCATGGTCAACACTCGTCTTTGGAGGCTATAGAACGCATTCAGTTTCTCCAATAATCGAAGAAGGGGACTTCTTGGTTGACCCCAATGATAATGTCATCGAATTATAAGTTAAAAAAAATTTTTTCATTCAGTTTTTTATTATGTAATGTTTATTAGAGACAGATTCATTAATATACATTTAGACTCCTTCTCAATAATATTTTTGTGTTCTCATTCTGTAGATGAGTCTCATGAACTAATTAAAAGGCTTGCATAAAATTAAACTACAAAGTTCCATCCTTGAACAAGACAATGTCATTTTTCATACCTTTCAATTTCTCTACTAGTTAGATGAAGCGTTTAATCAGTTTAATCCAGACTTATAAATATACTGATTTAGTGTATCATAAAGAATATATCTACATTCAAGACAGCTTCTATACTTCCACTTTCCCTTTTTCATTAAAAGCCTCAATTCAGAAGTTATCATTTACAAAGGCTTAGCAATCGTATTTATAACTCTAAGATCCTTATTTAAAAGAATTTATTTAAACCTTCCTTAAGTTCATCCAAAAAGGGTATTATTATTTTCTAAAATGATAGAAGATTAACCAAAATTAAATTTGGGATAGGTTTCTCGAAACATATAGTTTTAGAAATATCCAAAAAAGTATCTTTAAAATTATTCATCAAAAATGAAACACCCTTTGAGGATTGATAATGGTCTAAATGAATTGGATTAAAATGAAAATTTAGAAAGAAAAATAGTTATTATTATTATCTCTTTTCATTATTCAGTACGGTTCAATCTTCCGAGATTTAAATTAAGAAAGGGATGATTAACAATTCTTTTTTTAATTTAGGAAATATATGGTTATAAAAAGGGCTTAGGTACATTCATCCAATGGTTTTTATAATAAACCATTTTGAACTCTTAAAAGAATATAGATAACTTCCTAATTGATCCTTCAATTTATTAATGTTCAACTTATTTTTGTCTATCCATATTTAAGATCATGCCCTGACAAAGCTTTAGTAGTCATAGATGATACTTTCAATTCCTGCAGCTCTATTTTCATGTAAATAGCTACTTCAAGTGTAGCAATGAGCAAATGCAGAGCTAGATTCTTTCTTTTCTATTTTTCCTGATAATAATCCAATATTTCCATATGCCTAGTTGATGTCCTTCCTAATAAATTATATTATAATATTATGTTCAACTATTTTGATTCTTGTTGTTGAAGTAATAATTATTCCTTATCTTGAAGAATTCATTAAAATTTCTTTTGTTTTTATATATATATTTTATTTAGATCAATAAGTCATTATTAATCTCAACTAAAGATATATCCTTTCATCTAAAATTATAGCTTCACCCACTATCCATTTATTACTTGAAGTTCCATCTTTTTATCCATATTTATCTTTCATGTCAAATTTACTTTTCTCTTACTGAATAATATTATTTATTAGTATCACTACTTATTTATACATCTAGACATAAATCCCTCATAATCAATCCTATTTTAAAAAAATCCGAGTGTAGATTTATTTGAACGAAAACTGCTAATTTATTTATGATCATGTAGGCATAGAAATTTAATTTTAAATGAACAAGTTTTGAGGAGTTACCTAATTCAATAAAATTTAAAAGAAATTATTAGATTAGACCAATGTATATTATATAATTAATAAATATTATAAATGAACAGGGATCATTAATAATTTTTAATTATTGAAACAAGAAATCAGATCTAAACATCTCCTTTGAAATATTTATTTAAGACAACTTTATATTCTATAGAAGAAAGTTTATTTAGTTGAAAATTTCAAGATAAAAAAATATTTATTTTTATATTTCATTTAGTGATCACATTGACTTGTTAATTAATCATAATATGAAAAAAATAAAATATTAAATAATAAATGAGAGAGCTCTAAATTTATTAAACATAAAATTTTGATGAATAAATTAGAAAAGTACTAAAAAATAGTAGTTGATCTCTTCTATCTTCTCTATAACTAGGATGCATTTCAGAAATCTATCCTTTCATTTTAGGGAGCAGTGTTAATCCGAACAATAATATATTTAATGTGAATCAGATGATATTTGAACTGTTGATTAACTTTCTATTCTACCAATCTGTTTTATTATTAGAAAATTAGACCACAAAACTAAAACCTCTCTAATACTAATTTAAGATGCTTTAAATTTTAAATTTTACTCTAATTTTTATAAACTCAATTTTTTAATTAGATGTATGGACTACACTTCTAAAATAAGATCTAAACCTTGATTCCTATGTATTTATCAAATAAAACCTATTGACTGATAATTTATTATAGGATATATCAATGATCACGTTTACTTATATTATAATATTGATTAGGAATATTTCCAAAAAAATTTCGAGTTCATGCTTTGTAGAAACTCTATTTTATTTATTGATTAGTTTTCTTATCAATAAATATACTATTCGTCCCATATCATTCAGCAATTAAGTAAAAGTATTTTCATCTGTTAAATTTTAGCTTGATCATTTGTATTATTATCAAAAAGAAGAGTTATTCCTCAAATATCAATTTCAATACAAGTAATATTCTTATGAAATCTAAGTCTCCTCTTATCCTTCAGATCTAATTTCTAAAATAATTTCTTATTTCCTAGGCTGTTGATTTGCTATTATTTTAAACCTCCTCCCAAGTTCTGATAAAAATAAAATAATTGGCATACTTAGTAAATGGAGGATATAACTCAACATAAACAAATAATTCATTAATCTTATAAGCTATTTAAGAGATTTGGAAGGAAAAAAAGCCAGTCCAAAAAATAATAATCGAGTTAGAGTTGATGAGTCCAATACAATTAAATATTTTAGAATGAAGTAAAAAAACATGATTAGTATTTAAATAGTTTTAATCCTCATTTTTTAAGTTTGAACTAAAAATTATGATCTTTTTTGAATATAATTTCAAAATAATTTAATAGTATTAAATCACTTATATAAATAATTTAATTAATAATAAATATAAATATTTATTTATAAATGATACGATAATAAATGATAGAAAAAGAAGAAGAACTTGTTTGTTCAATGAATCATAAACTTCCAATTTATATGGTTGTTTGTGATAAAAGTATAGATAAGAATAAAAGACTATTATGCAATGAATGTATGGATAATTTAGAATCTAATCTAAATAATGTAATGAGTTTTAAAAAGGTTGCTTTATTAATTGAAGATAATTAAAAGAAAAAGGTTGAATAAGTTGAATATAATATTATGAAGAATATCAAATAAATTGATGAAATTTAGAAAACATTACATTAATTAAAATCATATATAATATAATAATTAGATTAATTGATTGGAAATACAGATGAATGGATTAAATGTTTATAATAAATTGGATAATAGAATGTAAATTATAGTTTCTTTAAAGAATTGGATAATCTAATTAATAAAGTTTAAATTTAATAATAATATGATGATAAACCTTTAATTACTTAAATTAATTAAATTAATTAATCTTGGAATCAAAAGATAATTAATAAATTGAATTAATTTAAATCATTTGAATTAACAAATAAATGTGAATAATTATTAATTAATCTATAAACTATTAATTAATAATAACATTTAATCTAATAAATTAATATAATTCAACAATAATAACAAATTGATAATCTTTAATTAAAATAATATGATCTTGAATTTAAATTAATAGATGATTCAAATAAATAAATTGTATCTAGTTATTCAATAGTGTTTAATAACACTGGATCAATCATGATATCTAATGATGGTTATGATATTATAATTTGGGATTTTAATTAAGGAAGGTTAAAATTATAAAATCGATTTAGTGTGCATTAAGATTCAGTTTAATGTTTAGTTTTTAGCAAAAATCTTAATTCCTTTATTTCTGGTTCTGATGACAAATCAATTATTTGTTGGAAATAGATTAATAACAATGAATGGAAATGGTCATAATCATATTAATAACATAATGATTGGGTTTCATGTTTAATATTAAATAAATAAGAAGATTAACTTATTTCAGGTGGTAGAGATAATTCAATAAAAATCTGGAATGTAGATTTTATAAAGAATGAATTAACTTATCTTTATTCTTTAGATAATACTGCAGCTGTCTATTCATTAAGTTTAAATTAATCTGAGACTATGTTGGCATCATGTGCAAAAAATCGTTATTTAATATGGAAGAAAGGAGTAAATGAGAAATGGGAATTAAAATGTAAATAAGAGGTTACTTAAGGATACAAAATATACTTTATGGATGATTAATAATTTCTATGGGTGACAAATGATAAGAATATTGATTAAATTTTAATTTTTGAATTAGAGGATGGACTATTCAAATAGAATTAAGACAAAACTATTCAATTAAATACAAATCAATTATGTGAAGATGATTGGAGACTCTTCCCAATTATATATAATAAAGATAAAAATATGCTTTTAGTTAGACATAAACATCATATATATATTATTAGCAAAATAAATGAAGGTAACTTTAAGATTATAGGATCATTAAATTGTGATATTAAAGAGATTTTTGGAACTATTACAGATAATGCATAATATTTAGTATTTTGGGATGGTAAATAATAGAAATATTCATCATATGAGTTATTATAAAAATGAAATATTAAGATAAAAAAATTGTTAGTTTAAAATAAATCTACTAGATTTTCAAGATATATATTTCGAACTTTATTTATTTTTATCTAAATTTTTTAGAAATTTTTATTCGTGTGATTCCATTTCATTATGCCATCGAATTTAATTTATTTAAATAATTAAGTTTTTAAGATAGTCTTTATGGTGTTTGTAGATCTTACTCTATTATGATTTTATCACTAATATTAGATATGTCTTTTGTATTCTTAAGGAGAAAGTAATCATGGTGGCTCTAACTTTAATTTCAATATTTTCTTCAGCAAAATCCTATTAAATAATTAAAAAAATTACTTTAGCAAATAAAAAATAAATAGGTTATTAGTAATAAACATTATACATGAAAACCATGGCACATCAATTCAAACGGTTTATTCTCTTATTAATACTCATCATTCAATTTATGATGAAAAAAATAGTTAGAACTGTTCTTTGAATTCGTATATTTACAGGTTGAAAAGTATCAGAGTAAACCATCTTTTTCAGCCAATTCTCTAACAATTCTCGAATAAACATAAACGAATTTTGTACTTTATAATCTTAAAAAGTTCTAAATGTTTTATCAAACAAATATGTCAAAAAGAATTTTTATGATATAAAATGTTGATCATTATTCAAGACTCCTTTTAAATCTCTTAGAATTATTGGAGTCTTCTCTGGCATATTTTAGGAAACAATATGGATTGAGAAATCTCCTAATAACAACTTCGAAATCGGTTAACTAAGATTCTTTACCTATTGAAGGGCTTTTAGAATCTATTAATAAATTAAACATTTCTTTCAAAAATTAAAAAAATAGGAAATATAAAAACTCTACTATAATAAATACTTGAGTAATGTGTATAACTAAATGAAGTGTAAAATTTGTTTTCACTTGCAAATTTATTAAAACAATAACGATGATTTCTTATATTTTACAAAAGCCTCAAGTTGATCTTTATTAAAAATATTAAAAAAACTAAGTTGCTTATTTATAGATTATTTAATATAATAAAAAAATGTGAAGTACATTATTTTTATTCTATAATTATTTAATCTATTAAAACAAAAAATATAATTATGAATATTATATGTAAGACTTAACCTAAATTCTAATAAAAAGATTCTTATCTTAATTCGAATTAAAATTGAAGAAATATGATTAAAAAATGATTTTTATTTTGTAATCAAATTTAGAAAGTCTCTCATATAATTAAAAAAGGTGTTTAAAGATGGGATATAAATACAGATTGAAATTTGAATCAATTTGCTAGAAATTAATCAACTGTTATTTGATAAATAGCAATTTAGCTATTAAAAAAGTTTACAATAATTATGTTTCTTAAATATTTGGCGATCTATTTATTTTTGAATACCAAGAGCGAAAGTGATGTTATTTAAGCCTTAGATTATCTTAATCGTTAATAATTAAGAATAAGTTTATTCATCTCTCAAAGAATACTATCTCTTGATCTATTATTTGGTTTCTGAATAAATTTACATATAATCTTTATAATAAATGCTTAAAAACATTGGAACAAATAAGAAATATGAAATTAAAATTTAATTAATCCCATTAATTTTTTTAATAATTCATATCATAATGTCAGTGAAATAGAATTTGGTAGGTTTGTTCAAGTGATGCTCATAATCTTGAAATCAAGAAAAAGATATCCAACATATGTATTATAAAATTATTAATTAGGTTTGAAGATTATTATGTTATTATATTAGAAAGATTTGACATGATTTGTAAACTAACAATCTTAAAATCTGGCTTATTAGTTTACTCCTTCAAAAAAGAATATTATTAATGATTTTTTACAGCAAAGTCACATAATGAACAATCATGTAAATTAGCCTGAAGAAAGTAATACAATGACTTTATAAGTAATATATTGTGAAGGAGAATAAAACGTTTTAATAAGAAAATAGAATTGCCATGAAATTTAATCCCTATATCTCCCTAGATCAAAAAGATGAAGATTTCTTATCATTTTCGAAAAACTACAACAAAATTTCAAGTAAAAATATTTTCTATGTCAAAAAGATTCTTATTATATTTAGAGATATAAATAAATAACTTATGTGAAAATATATTTTTTGTATTTATTAAATTGAATTCTCAATAATAAAAAAAAAAATTTAGAAATTAAAATAAACTAAAAACTCTATAATGAGTTAATAAAATTTAAAAAGAAATTAATTTATGATTTGCAAGGAAATGCTAATTCTGTATCAAAAAAATAAAAATTTTTCTAGAAAATGAAGATGAAATAACTCAAAATAGAATAATATTATTATGTATAACATAGTGACCTTTTTTTATCACCTAGTTTTATGATGTTGCATTATTGAGAATAGTTGGAAAAATTAGAGGTAAATAAAGCAATTACCCAAAGACCTGAAAGTTCTCAAGCAGGGGGTGAAGGAGGATGAAGTATGATCTTAAGCATTTACATGAAATGATTGAAATTTATATCTCGTCTCTCTTTTTGTTTTTGATCTCTCCAGAAGCATTTGTTAAATAATTTATAACATAGGGATTACGTAGTTATCTTGGCTTTAGAAAAAAACATTTTAAAGAAACATTTCCTTAAAATATTTGATATCATTATTTTTTCATTTTATAAAAACTTAAATATAGAAAGAATCAGCCTTAAAATATCAAATAATTGCAATAATTAATCAATAAAAACCTGATGCAGCACCAGTTTTAAGGTGACTATTGATTTTATATTAAAAAATTTAATTTTTTAAAAATTGTAAATTTTATTATCCTCATAATTTAAAAAGTCCTTATTCAATGAGATCATTAATCGGTTCTACCTTTTTAGAGCAAAGTTTAATTATAAAAAAATTAAATTAATAAAAATGCTATCCATTATCTTAAATTTTAAGCAAACCAAATACTAACTAATTGAATTAAAAAACAATCCCTTTTTAATGATTTAACTTGAACAGAGGTGCATGTAATGGAAGGTAAATATACTTTATAAATGGAAATATATTTAATACTTTTATAAGTTATTTTAGCTTTTCCTTTTAGTGATAAATACCAATTACTTTTAAAAGATAATAAATAAATCTATTCTACTTAAGTTTTAATGATAAACTTTATTCGATTTAGTCTTCTTTTTAATTTTCTCAAACTCTGGGTTCTCCACATGTCATCTCTTTAAAGTCTTTGCTAAAATCTTTTCTGCATTCTTCTCTCCAGAATCACAACCTTCACTGAGGAATCAATGAGCAATGACTCTTGCAGCTTAGAACTGATCATATTTATTTTTAAGCATTTTATAGCAATTGAAAAAAGAAGCAACTTGAAAGATATAAAAAATTTTATTTTAATTATGTAAGTTCCAAAATAATAATGTAATTTGATAATAAAATTGAAACAAATTTTGGATATTTGTATGTTAATTTCTCACCATTTTCAGAGTTAAATCAATTAACTAAAATATTGATTATTGTGTTTAGGACAATGTACTAATAATGTAAAAATATGTTCAGGATTAATTTTTGATTGAAATAATTTTTAAGCTGATTTTGTTATTTATTAAATCAGTTATTCCTGAAATAATTCTTAATAAATTTGGTAATTGATGGATTTCAAAAGTCAGTACGAAGGTATTATATATTCAATAAATGAATAGTGAAAAAAAGTTCTGAAAATAAGTTATTATTATCGATTTTACTAAATCTTTGTTAAAAAGTTTAGAAATAAATAATAAATTATTAATGGAAAACGAATAGATAAGCTTTATGTTTGATGGTAATAGATACTTGAGAACTTCAGTAAAACTCTAATAACCAAATTGGCTGCCTTTTAGATGGGCATTTAATGGCTTAAATATTTTCTGGGTGGATTGACGTAGCTGAAACTTGTCAAGATGAGGAATTCTTGATTTTTTTATATTTTAGGTATTGTAAGATAACACTTTAGAGCAGACCTATAATAAGCACTAAGGCAATTTTATGTTTAATATGAAAAAATTTCATTAAATATTAAAGAAGCCATTGAGCTTTCTGTTTATTTAGATGATGATGTTAAACATCTTCTGTAAAACTTTTAAATAATTTCTAGTTACAATGGTATGGTAGATTATAGATTAATGAAAAATATATAGTATATTTGAGATTCAAAATGAAAAATATCAAATTTCATATCGACTTTTAACTTAATAAAAAGTGAGACTAGCATTTGATAATCTTTAACATTGAGTGTTTATTTTTAAATAGTTGTAATTCTTATCAGTAATCTACTCAATCTAATTGATTTAAACTGGTTATCCTACTCAAATGTTCAAATAGGAAAGCCCAATGCTAGAAGATTAAAATTTATTTTCGCTTTCTCAATATTTATTGGAGGATGAGCCAAATTTTAATTTCAATTTTATACAATAGGTCAATTAAATTAGCCTTATGCATAATTTTATTTTCTTTTAAGCAAAATCTTGAAGTAATTAATGAGTAAATTCTTAAAATTTTGATTAGCTTCTCATAATAAACTTGGGAATCTAAATTATCCTAAACTTTCTAATTGTATTTAATTATATCTTTTACTCATCAATCTAAAACTTAAGTAAGATTTAAGATCAACAAATCTTAAGGTTTAATGAAATACTTCAGATTAAAATTTATTTAGAGATATTGTGTATGTAGAATTGAAAGGTATAAATTCTACATTTAATTCTTAATTATGTTTATATTTGATAAATATATTTTTTATTATTGGTTTTTAAAAAGTTCTAATACCTTTTATAGATTTTCTTTCATCATTATTTGAATTACAGTTTATACAAAATTCGGTATGTAATCAAAGGTGATTTAAATCATTTTATTCATTATTATACATAAATAACAATATAAATAATTATAACTAAATAATTTAAATTTTGAAACCCAACTTTGGTTTTTGACAATCTGATCATCTAATGTTTTATTTAAAATAACTAACTATAGAGTAGTTTTTCATAACCATAGAAGCTTCTATATAGCAAAGCAAAAATCAAAAAATCTCGAAGCATATTATATAAATATGCAAATTTGAATGTATTTTTATTAAGAAATCATAATGTTAAAAATAAAAATATAATAGGAAATCTATTTATAGATATTATAACCAATAAGTTTTAGGAAATTATGCTAAAATCTAAATGGTGTTAAATTTCTCTATCCTTCTCATCAAAATAACCAAATTCTCAATTTCTTTTAATTAATTTATACAAAATTTCCCCTTTTTAAACAGATGCAAGTACTAAAATAAACGAAACTCCTATATATATATATATTTATAAATACCTCCTCTTCTAATTAGTCAAATGTAGTTAAAAATCAAAATTTTTACATCACCTATTTTTTCATAAATTTCTATTGCAACAACTGATTTCTATTAGATAGAATAAATTAATTAATTGTTTATAATATTTATTGCTTAGAGATTGATTCAAATAATCAATCCTTATTTTATCAAAGTTAGTAGTCCTATTTTCAGACATTATTTAGTATTTTTGAACTAAACTTAAATCTTTTTTTATTAGTATTTATAATATGAAAATTGTATATATATTTTTAGGGTACCTTGTTAATTTTTTGAATTCAAAGTGCGATGAACTAATAAAACCACCATTAGTAACCTGTTACTCATACATTTAAAAGTGTTCTATTTTAGAAGGAGATCAAGAAGATTATTAAGAACTCTAGCATATCGATACTCAAATTATTAAAAAATCAATCTAAATTCCTTATAAAGATGAGCCAATTTTAATAAGAATCATTAATTCTGTAAATGAAAATAAAATACAAGACAAGATGATGTGCTTTTTATTTCTTAATATTGAATATTATATCACTTGTATAAACTTTGACTTAATTTTTTATGAGGAATAAACGAATTTTAATGAGCTGATTAGAATAGATACAAAAATATAAGCTAATGAACATTGTGATGAAATATTTACAAATGAAGATGGAAGTTTGAGTTTATTTTGTATTGGTAAATTTACTTTCAAATAATATTCCTTGTATTTACAAAAGAATGTGACTTTAATTATGGAGCATGATTTTACAGATCAAATATAAGATGGATGTAAAAAAAAATTATTGAAATGGAAGGAAAATTTATATTTCATTGTATTTTATCAATGTTCTAAATTTAAAATAATGTTAATTAAAAATAATCAAGTTAAAACTATATTTGATGATTAAAAGAAGTATTAAGACATTTAATTATCAAATTTCTCTTTTATTGATGATGTATAATTTTGTGAACCTAATGATTTAACTTTTGGTCTCTTTTTGATAGAAAATGATTTTTATTTATAAATTTATTTGGCTTATTTTGAGAACAGCACTCCATCTTATTTATTATTGTAACACACAAATCGAATTCAAAAAATAGTAATTTAACCCAGATGTAACATTATCATTTTAGTCAATAAATTAGAAATAAGCAATTCATTAACAACTAATCCTTAATAAACATCTGAGATAATATTAAATTAACAATACTCAAATAATAATATTCACTTTCATTCCAATCTTCTTTTCCTATAAAATTAATTTGAATTAAATGTATAAATAAATACTCGCATTAATTAGACATATGAAATTTGGAACACTTCATTACATTTTTTTGACTTTAATAATTTATTCTGTTAATTTGACTAAACAAAAAAGGTTATATAATTTTATTAATATTATCCATTAAGTGCTTATATAAAACCTAAATTAAAGTATTTATATATAATTGAGAAAATCAATTTATTTAGAAGAAATGCTACAATTAAATGTTTTAGAATATCAAATGAAAATAATAATTAAAAAGAAATATCAAAATTTATTGAATTTATAACATTCCATAATAATTGTTAAAATAAGTCATACATGTTATGGAATTCAAAGAATTCTAATTATTTAAAAAATGATAAATATAATTTATAAACTAGAGAGGGTAATATAAAGATAAGTATCAGGAAATACTATGACTATTAAAACAATTGCTTATAAAGGCTATATAAATTTCATGCATAAGGTAAATTTGAGTTAAGAGATATAAAATACGATTACATATGTTTTCAGAATGAATCATTTTTTTATATTTATGATTGTAAAGAAAATAAATTCTCAGTTTCAGTAAACAAAGATTAATATAATGTACTTGAATCTAAGGGAGGTTACTATTTTTTTAACAAAAATAACAATCAAATTATAAGAGGAGTCAAAATTTCACCATAACAACTTTAATTATTCAATCTAAAGTTTGATGAAGTGATTACAAGCGTTAAGGAAATTACTTAAACTATATTTCTTTAAACTAATAATTCTTATTTGCCTCTTATAATCATTATGAATTAGTAAAACAATTTATGGAAAAATTATCTCTCAAAAAATCTTTATTAGCCTGAACCTATACTATTTTATTTTGAGTTTGGAAACTCAAAATTTATTTAATATGTAAAGATCTTAGCTTTTTAAAATAAAGAAATATTCAGATGTTATCAATTTCCAGAATCCGTAATTATTTTCATGGAAGCTCTTGTATATTCATATGACTACTACTCTATAATAGCAATACAAAATTAAACTAAATCATTGATTCTTACTTTTTTTAACGAGTATGAACTACATTAAATTGTAAATTACACCTTTTAGGACTATTAATTTTCTTATCCTTTTAAGTACTCAATATACTTCTAAAACTTAGCTATTTTAATTGAATAAAATAATTAGCTAAATATAGCTATTTTTTAATACACTCTTTCAACTTTGTAATTAATAGAAATTATCGCAACCGATGATTCCTTTTTTAAGCTTTATCGAAATAATTTATTGTTTTCCTTTAATAAAGTATGGAGATAATAATTTTTGAATCAAATTGAGGTTCAATTAGAGACAGAATGGCCTTATTAAAAAACATTAGCATCAGACCTTTCTATAAGTTTAAATGAGGATAGTGGTATTGAATTAAAGATTTAAATTTATAATCAATGCTTTTAGTTATATTCTCTAATTAATTCATCTATAATTCCAATTCAAAAGAATTTAAATCAAAAATTAAACATATCTGATATTTTTTATGGTCCAATTACTAATTTGACACTTTTAAAGAATTCAAACATTATTTTGAATGGACCTTTTTAATTACAGAAAGAACTTTAATATTGTAATTAAATAAACTCAAAATTCTGTATTTAAATATATAACTATGAAACAGAGCTTAAATAATTAATATTTTCAGTAATTGTTTTTGAAAATCAAAATATTGAAGTAATAAAAACAAAATAATATAATCCTTTTTTTTATGTAACTTGGATAAAATAATAATATTATCTTTGTATTTAGTAATTTAAAGATAACCTAATAATTTAATTAATTGAATGTTCTGTAGAATAAGATAATAATTGCAATTTAATCACAAATCTTAATGAGAATTTCAAAATAAATTAAATTAATGTTGTAGACACAATTAGAACAGGTAATTTAATAAAACTTAAAAGTAATGATAATCAAGCTTTTATTTTTATTGAGGGAATAAATTTTAATTTATAAATTTTACCTGATATTATCGTAGATATCTTGTATATTGAATAATCAAATGATTAATACTTAATTTTATAGAAAAATATGAGAAATTCCAATGATTTAGAATTAACTATTTACTCAATCAATTTACATTAAAAGCTCTTAATATATTCATTAACTATTACTAATGCACTTTAAATAGAATTGAAGAAAAATGGAAATTATTATAATTAGCAATATACTATAAGATTAGTCTCATGTAAATATTCTGGAGAATTAATTAAAATTAAGCTTTTCATCATGTATTAACATTTCTCATAATTTTTGTAACTTAATTTAGATCAAAAAAAGAATTACATATAATTTGAGTTTTAGAAATAAATTAGAAATGTAATTACTATCAAATCCTTTTAAGATCAAGATTTCATCATTGAATATATTGATGATAATATTTTAGTTTTACAATAAACTACTGACAATATGTATCAATTTTACGATCTTAGAGAAAATAGGAAATTTTATGATTATTTTCATAAATCTATCTTTTTTATGGAAATAATCAGACTAAATACTACACATTTCATTTTTTACAATAATTCTTTGATATATTTAGGATAAATTGGATATGAATTAATTTTATAAAATTGGGATGAAAATGAACAAAATTTTGAATTATTTGCATAAAATGAGATATCAAATCAATTAATTTAATTGTAATTACATATAATTACAAAAAATTAGTAGTTTACAAAGAGTATTTTATTCATTTTCTTTATTTTCATACTTATATAAATTAGATAAAAGAAATCTAGGAAACGATAAAAAAATAGTCTCTAATGAGTTTAATTCTATTTTTAAACATTTTTTATAATTAGTATGAATTGAAGCAATAAAATCTAATTTTAAACATTATCTTTAAATTATTAATTCTAATTTTTTCAGTTTTTTGCTATCATTCTAGCTGAAAAACTAAAATACTAAACATTTTTTTGTGAGTAATAAAAAAATAAACTTGAAAATACATTTAAAAACAAATGCCAAATCTCTTTATTTATATTCCTTTCAAGATGAATTATAATAATATTCATCATAATTATATTTTATCGTGTATTAAAAACACATATTTTACATTCATTAAATCAATAGCATTTTTCTTGTATAGAATTATTTTAACTAATACTATTTTATTCTATTAATGGAGACGATGGAATTCAAAGAAATAATATAATAAGGGATTAAAATAGATTAAACAGAAGTAATTTAGAAAACTTGAATCATTATTTCATAAAATTTATTGAAATAAATAATTTTTACGAAGTTCAGTAGCAGATAACAAATGAAAGTTCAAAATTATATAAATTTAACATAATATAATATCTTTTATAAAGTTATTATTGCAGCGTCTAGGTAAATTAAAAAAGTATTAAAATCTCATTATTATTTTTGATTATTATGTTGGAAGTTAGCAATTTTATGAATTATTGCTATTAATTTCACATTATCAAATAAAGAACCTAAAAATCCTTATTCACTAAAATATTTTCATAACAATATTTGGAAACAAGTATTTATGTTGTTGAAATATATTGGTAGTCAAAAAATGGTTACCCTCAATGGATTTTTATTTCAGCCTAAAATAAATACTAATCAAATATTAAATCTTTTCCCTTTAAATATTAAACTAGATAATCTAGAGTAAGATATTCTAATCATTTATAACCTATCGATTAGATGGAATTATGGAATGCTTAATATCTAATTCTTATTTTTATGCAGTCTAACTAAACGAATAAATGGCATAACAACCATAAATCAAAAGAAGTTATATCTATATTGTATTATTGATTTTAATTGATGTACAAACTGATAAAATATTAGTACTTAATGATGATATTATTGTTTCATCTTATTTACCATTATCAATGATCATAATAGGTATAAAGGATCCATATTTAAAAAATATATCATAATTATAAATTGTGATAAGAAAACCATGTTTGATGTATAAGGAATAAAGCTGTGAGAAATTTAGTTTAATTTCTTCCTTTTTAAACATTATAGAATAGATCCTGCTCAATTATTTAAGAAGGTTTCAGAATAACTACATAATTAATCATTATATAGAATGGTAATTATTAATTGTAATCATTCAAAAAATAAATCTAATACTATTAGAAGTATTCTATCAATTCAGCTTAGAAGTTGATCAAACAATTTTACCAATCAACCAAAATTTTTAGTTATAAAAGATTATGAGGCTTCATTTAATCTAACTATAACTTCTATAGAATCCATTTAAAAATGTTAAATAAATTCAATTATAATTAGATAAAAAAATTATAGCAATGATCTATTTATTAATAAATAATATTATGATTAATTTCAATTCCAATATTTCTCATCGTTTAATCAACTCCATTAATTATTATTAAAACAAATGAGTATTATCATAGATTATCTTTTTTTTTTACAATTAAACCAAAATCTTTTCTATAAATGTTATATTTGTTATTAAACTTTTAAACTTAATTTCAGAATTATTCCATAAAATATTAATAGGAAATTGCATTTTAGAATGTTAATAATAATCGCTTTCAAGGCTTTGTTAAGAAATCTGCTAGTTGTAGAATAAATATACAATATTATCTTTCTATGTTCATAATTTAAAGAATAATTAATAAGGAATTCATATTTAATAAAGTTAAAAAAGATTTGATTATTTAATTTATTTATTATTTAAAGGCCAGAGATCTATATCTGGTCACCAAAATAGAGTAATTTATATTTTTATTTAAGCCAAACTCTAGTGGAGCATGAGAAAGCATTAGCCATCGATCCATTAAAACGAATATACTAATAAATTTTTATTTACAAATAAAATTTTGTAAAGAGTTTTCAACACTAGAAAATGCTTCTTGGGAGATTGTTTAAAAGCTCTGAGTGGAAAATCTGAAATACTCATCAATTCATTATACAAGTATTTCGATATTTTATTATAAAGCTAAATGTTTATATTATATTGAACATCCTGTCAAATTTGGATTATGTTAGAACACTAAAAATTTAGGCTTTTCTCTGTTTAGTTCATTACCATGAGGATCAATATTACATTTTAGAATCGATAAGTTTAAGAATTTTAGAAATTTTTTACATTTAATATTGGTCACCTTAATGTATCTAAATAATTAAAAGAAAGGACTAAACTTTTAATATTTTAATATAATCTATATGAATGATAATTATTAATTAAATTTATTTATGATATTACACAATTAGATATCAATTATTGTATTAGAAATTATACATTTGCTATTTGATATTATCATTATTATTTTTGGATATATTTTTGTTATTTAATAACAAACTGTAACATAGATTTAACATTTAATATTCCTTTTCAGATTTGATATTCGATTGTATTTGGTTGACATTTAAAATATGATTAATCTAAATACATAATTTCATTCAATATCCATTCTCTTTTAGGTGATTGAAAACTACATTTTAATAATGAAATTGTAATATATAGGTTTCTTCTATTCTGATTACTTAAGTTATTTCATAATTTATTTAATTATTGTTATTTTCATATATAAAGTAAATTTGAATAATTAAATGTAAAACATATTAAGAATTAACAAAAGTGATATGTAATTCAATTCAAATCAAGTGATGTTTCTCACAAGTACTAAATAATATATATGGACCTAAAATTATTATTAATCATTATTTTTTGAATATAAACCTAATTCTTCTATTTTAATATACTTTAGAACTTTCAATAATATATAGCAATCGTTTTCTTTGGTGAATCAATTACATAAACTTTATTGATTTTGTTCAATAGCATATCAAACTGGTTAAATTAATAAATTTAAAGGAGCTAATTAACAAGCACACAAATAACATATAAGATAATATCTCAATATAAAATGAATAACTAAAGTGTTTATTCATTTCTTATTTCCATTTTTTGATAAATTATAAGGCTCTCTATTATTATTAATACACAAACATTAATATAATTTTATCTCAAATATATGCTCTTAAAAAAAAAATGAGATTGTATAATATAAAATTATCTCTAGAAAATGATATAAATTTAGCTTCTTGAATCATAGATACTTCATATGCAATAGATGCAAGTTATTTATGATTTAAAGTTATACTAATTAGTACATTTTATTTACAGAATTTATGAAATGATCATTATTTAATAAATTCATTAGTTTTAATTTTATGATTATTGTTTAAGAAAATTAAACATAAAACATCTATTAAACATTATTAATGAATTTCTAATATTGATTCTTTAACTATTATATGAATAAATAATTAAAAATAATAAAGGTTTTGATTTTTATCTACTAAATATTCATACTCTTCTTAAGCTTTCCTTTTAATTAGCTAATTATTTTCAACATCTTAAGAAAGTGTATTTTGTTGTAACATCAATAAAATTATGACTTTTTATTGTTGACCTATTATTTCAGAGTAAATAGAGGACAACCATTGATATTCCAAATTAAAATGATTTAATAGAACCAGTTGTTTGGTCAAATTAATCAATAATCAAAGAATTTTTTACTTTTTTTATAAATTCAGTTTTTCATATAAAAATCAGAATCTTTCATTAATAGAAAATGATTGTGAAGATTCTATTAATTAATTAAGATCAATAATGTTAAATTATAAGGATTTCATATTATTGTTGATAATTCTCTAAATTATTAAATAATAGAAGTAATATATTTACTAGAATTTGTAGAATTAAAAATCTCCAATAGTCTTAGCAAAGATTTTTCATTAAAAAGTAAGATATAGGGTTAAATTAATTCCCACTATATCATCATTATAACTATTAATTATTTAAATATAATTATTCATTTAATAGCACTTTTATTTTTCTTTATATCTATTTCAGTCCATTTACTATCTTTTTTACCATTTTTATATTCTCCATCATAGATCACTTATTTGTTATAATTAAATCCATCATCTAATTCTTTCCATTTTCCAATTTTGATTCCATAATTTACTTCATCATATGATCCCCCAGCTCTAAATTTTCACTTACATAATTATTTTACATTTATTCAAAATTCTCTCTTCCCTTCCCTTTATACAAAATCTCCCATTTACCAGTTTTTTTTCCTTTCTTATATTCACCTCTAGTAATTATTTATAAATCCCTCCAAAATCTATCACCTATTTCTGTCCAATTTTCGATTTTGATGCCATCATCATTGTATTTTCCACCACCACTAAAAAAGTTATTTAATTTAATCTTATTACATTTATTGAAATGATGACTTCTCGTCCTACCTATACATAATATCCCATCTACCAATTTTTTTTCTATCTTTATATTCTCCAATTTAAATTATTTATGAATAACTTGCAAATCTATTGTCTATTTCAATCCATTTCCCAATCTTAATATCATCATTTTCTTCGTCATATTGTCCACCAGCACTAAATTATTCACTTATGTAATTATTTTACATTAATTCAAAATTATCTTTACTTTTATCCCTGAACAAAATCTCCCATTTTCTAATTTTTTTTCCATTTACATAGTCACCTCTAAAAATTACTTATGAATCTCCTTTAAATCTATCACTTATTTCAATCCACGATCCAATCTTTATGCCATGACCTCCATCATCATATAATCCGCCACCACTAAAAATGGGCAATTCATAAAATATCATTACATCTATTCATTTTTAAAATCTCCATAATTCTTTTTATACCAAATATTCTATCTACCTATTTATTTGCCATTTTTATATTCACTTATGTAAGTTATTTATGATTCCTTTTCAAACCCCTCTCCTATATCAATCCATTTTCCAATCTTAACACCACCATCTTCATCATATAATCCACCACCTCTAATATTTTGATTTAGAACAAATTGCTTACATATTTTCTCCTTCATAATTAATATCCCATTAACCAATTTTATTACCATTTATATATTCTCCATTGTAGGTTAAATTTTAATAATTTTTAAAACCCTCTATTAGTTCAATCCATTTTCCTATCTTAACCCCATTTTCATCGTATGATCCACCTCCTCTAAAATTGTGCATTAAATAAAAATGTTTACATATCTTCTCCCTCATAATTAATGTCCCAACTACCAACTTTATAACCATTTTTATATTCCCCTCTATAAGTTACCTAAAAGGATTCCTTAAATTCATCACTTAAAACAATCCATTTTCCAGTTTTTATTCCATTCTCATATTAACCTCCTCCTCTAAATTTTGATTTAATAATAAATTACATTTCTTAATTATCCCAAATTATATTCCAAACCCCAATTTTTTTATTTTATTCATAATAACCTTTTTCAATTATATTCTTTTAACTAAATACTATGATATTAATAAATACTCCCAGTAATTATCACATAAATCAATCCAATTTCCTTCTTTTTCTCCATTTGAATTATACACACCACCTCCAATTTATTATCCTTTCCAAAAATAGTTCCATTAGTTAATTTTATACCCATTAACACCATATTATCCTTAGAATTCTAAATGTTTTATTTATTCCAGGTTATATAATAATTATTCACTTTTCTATCCTAAGATGTTCTTTTATCTAAAGTATTTTAATATTAAATCTACATTCTAAGAATTTATCCATCTTTTTAATAGACTTTATTTCCATTTTTTTATGTTATCAGTTCAAAGGATGTTTTCATTAATTAATTATTGATCTTCTCAACTCCTTCCAATTAAATGATACTTTCTTCTTATTTCACCTGATTGCTTAAAATTACAAAAAAAGGCTTTACAAATAAACATGAATCTATTCAACTATATGATCTATTTTATACGCATTTTACAAAAGCTTTTCAAAAAGTACTCCTGTTTTCTAAATTTTAGAGGAAACGAATTTTTTTTTGTCAATCCATTCTTCAAAAAGATTGCCTTCAATAAAATTGACAAGAAAATCTAAATCTGTTTAAGAACATTCAAAAGGATTTAAATTTTAATTGATAAGTCTTAAGAATTTTTCATCTCCTGCTGTATCTTATTCTGAAATCCTTTTGATTATATCCCTAATATTTGAGAATATTAAAGTAATATCCTTATAAATTAAATCAAATTTTTGAAAGATTGTTTTAAAAAATGATTTCGATTAATTTACTTCCAAAATATTTTTTATGTTTAATTAATTGGCCTTCTAAAGCATACAATTGACAAATTCTTCTTTATTTAAAATTTATTCTGATGGTATTTTATATTTTAAAATGCATTCCAGACATACTTTTCTTTATATATTTTTATTGTGCTTGACTTTATAGATACCTCCAATCTAGGAATTTGGATGCTCATAACAATTCTCAAGAGAAATCATTCAATAAAATTGATTAAGAAATTTAATAGAAATTAATAATTTAATTATGAGCAGAAGTATATTTTATACATCACAAAATATTATTTATGGAATTATAATTACATTTTGGCTCAATAATTTATCATAAATAGATATTAAGATGTAATTTTTCATATTTTTAATAAAAAATGCATCAAATATTAAATTACATTATAATTTCAAATATAAATTAAATTATCCATTTAATGTTCAAAATATTAAAGTTATCATAGCAATACAGCTATGTGAAAATATTTTGAGTATTATCTACTGACTAAATTAAAAAGGAAGCTTAAATTTAACACCGAGATTTAAGATTTTAATTAAGTTTCTATACAAAGATTTATGTAAATTTACATTTTCTTTATATCTAAAATACTTATTGTACTCAATTTCTAAAAGAGAGAATAATTAAAATGGTATGTAATAATTTCTATAATTATCTAAAAATAAAATTATAATCCTCATTATTTTTTATTAAGAATCTAATTGAAATTAATAGATTATTTGATCAATTTACTTAATTATCATTTAATCATTCTTTAATTAACTGAAATTCCCAAAAAAGAAAGATTAGGTAATCCAAAGTTATTGAAGATATCTTAATCAAAAGAGATCAGATTTATAATTTGAAGGTATAAGCCTATTAATTAAATAATGCTTCTGTATTATGATACTAATTGGAAATGGGTAACTTTAGCATCAATTATACTAGGTTTATTAATAACGTTTTAAATTTATTAAGAATAAAAGAAGAACTTAACATCATTAAATTAAAATTAAAATTTATCTGAATCCAAAAATTTCCTATGAAGCTATTTTATATTGATCTAAAAATCAAATGTGACAATCTAAAGCAAAATTTGAATAATTATTTAATAAGCTTGAATTAGATTTTTATATACACTTTTCTTAATATCAATTCTTAAATGGTTTATAATATTTACCTTAAGAATTAATCCTTTCATTGTCTTTTTCGATCAATATTAAATTAAAATTATAGGTTTTACTTATTATGATAATTCGTTTGACTTCTCTTTTTATTTTTATAATATTGAAATAGAATAAAGAAATTGTTAAGAGATCAACTCTAATTAAAATTAAAAATCTAGAATTATAAACTTATTATAAGAAAAAATATCAAAATAAGATATAATTAAAAATTGAATCATGAAATAGCATTAAAGTCAACTATTAATATATGGAATATAATTTTTATTTAAAAATAATTTCGCTTTTAAAAACACATTTCTGATTAGATTTTTCTATATTATTCTCATGAATATCTAATATTAGAATTATAATTTCAAGATTTAGGTGAATAAAAACTACTATAAAGGATTAATTCCTAATAGTACTAAATATAATATATCAGGATTCTCATGCAAATGATTACTATAAGGAAATATGATGATATTTAAGTATAAATGATATAAAATCAAATAATAATTAAACATGAGATTTTAATAGCAATATTTAAAATGATTTCTTTAGTACTATATATTAATTTAAAATTAATTAAGAATTTATGAACATTATTTTGAATGCAATCTAAAAAATAGATATTTTTGGTGTACCAATTTTTCTATTAACAAATAACAACAATCCACTTCATTAAAGCAAACTTGGTGGAATAGTAACCTTGAGTTTAGGAAGTATTAGTCTAATTTACTTTTTTTATGTAATAATATTATGGATGAGCTACTCAATCGCTCCAAATATAAGTTCAAAGTAATAAACTTTAGGTTATTCTGAGTTTTAATTGTAAGATTCAACTATTTAAATATCTTTGTAAGACTTTACAGGAGATATCGATCCATTTTAAAAAGAAAATAATATAATCACTCCTCTTTTATTTACTTATAAAGATAAAACAATATATGAAAAACCAATTTCTTTATTTAGTAGTCAAGAATAACCTTATCTTATTAAATTAAATAATGCATCTCTAATTTTAAATACTTTAGAATATAAGGATGAAAAATATCATGAATAAATATAGTATTTTATAGTTTTAGCAAGATGTTCAGAAGCATTTGCTATAAATGGAAGTTATTGTGCAGATGAGAATACTATTAATACTTACCTTTCCAAATATCATGGATTTTTATTTCTGAATATTAAATTAAGCTAATTGAATTATATAACATAAGAATTTGAATATTTCAATAAGTTATATTATACTAGTTTTGATGTAAATATGCCTCAATATTCTTAAATTCTATTAAAATAATAGGAAACTATAATTGATAGTGGTATAGTATTTAATAATTTTGAACATTTCTCATTTCTGAATAATTATGAATTCATTAATTAAGTAATTGATAATTCATTTTCATAAAAAATAATTAACTCAATGTCAAATTTTACTTATAATTTTGATAGTTATGGTTGTTATCTTATTAGAATAGACAATATATCAATTAAAGAAGAAATAACACATCCAAAATTAGGTCAAATATTAGCCTAAATAGGATCAATTGTCTAATTAATATTTCTATTAAAACATTTATTATTATATTACAATACTAAATTATTAGAGAATGAAATATTAAATGATATTATAACAATGTATTACCCAGAATTCAAAGAATTTAAACTTGATATTTTTAATTAATTTAATATTTCAATTTACAAAAACAATAATCAATTTAAATCATCTAATTTATAAGAAAAATATCTAATACTATAGGCAAGGGCAAAAGAAAAATGTAAACTCAATAATATATTATATGAAATATCTAGAATTTAATTTATTCTTTAACAATAGTTTGGTGATATGGTATTAATCTAAAGCCATTAAATGGGTGCGAAAATCGACCTTAATTAAATTGCCTTAGTAAGTATTAAGGAATCTAACAGGTTATGTGTTAAACCTGTAGAATCTATTGATTTAGAACCTCAAAGTCAATACATAGACCCTTTAGAATTATTAATAAAATAATCTTGAAAATTAATATTATTCAATTAAATATAAATTTATTTTAATTATTTTCTAGTTATAAATTAATTATATATATTAGAGTGATTGTTAATCATTTACAATTAAACGAATTAATGTTAGAAAGAGTGTGATCTGTAATTAAATGATTAAATTATCCAAAAGATTATATTAAATTATAATAGTATTGATTAATATTTTCAATACATATCAATTGATGTTTGAAATAATTTCCAAAATTAATTAAACTTAATAATTAATAATCTTTATGAAAACTTAAATATAATAATTCCTTACCAAAAGACAAAAACTATAAGAATAGTTAAATCTTAAAAATATAATTAATCTAAATATAGAAATAAAATCATGATTGATTAAGATATTCATCTATATTAGGTAAGTTATTTCCTAATCCTTTTCTTTTACGAATATTTAGAACTAATTCATTAGCTAAGGATCCGTGTTCAAATGGATCTCCCCCTATAATCGCCCAATGATCAAATTCACATTAAGGATATGCTTAACCTTAAGTTAAGATTCTAAGATGTGATGAATATCCTATAGATTAAGCCACAGGTAGATAGGATTTAATTCTTGTTAGTTATGTTCCAACTATCTATTCTTCCTCAATTATTATGCCTTTTCTTATACTAAGACATTAATATACACCAGCTGTAACTTAATTTGGAACAGTAACTTCAGTCAATAAGATTGGTTCTTATAGTCTAGGCTATGCAGTTAACTCACAAGCTGAATATAGTCTACGAGCTGTTGGTATAATTTAACCCTCTCCTCTATGAATTGTTTCTGCACTCAAAACACAATCTAAGATATTTACTCTAACACCTCTCATATTCTCTTAACATAGAGCTCCTTCCTTTGTTGAAATCTACCAAGCAAACTACATTGATTCTTTGATTTCATTTAAGTATTGAACTGCAGTAGTTTGATTACATAGAATATTAGGGCCAGTATCATTAGGACCAAATGTCCATATTTTCAAAGCCTCATTCTTATTCCAATCATAATCATATGTTAATATATTGGCTCGACTTTAAGGATTATTTGTGATTAAGCCTTTTTCAATAGCAATTTGTAGATTTTCATCAAGAGAAACAGCTTATGCATATAATCTATTATGTTAATTTTCAGATTTGGCCATACAAATAATTTAAGAAGGAGCAGTAACAGTTTCTTTATAGACAACAATTGGATCAGCTTTATCTAATTAAATACCATTTAGATTGTCTTCAAGTTCATTTAAGGCAATTTATAAATGTGTTTCGCTGCATCCAGATATAAAATGTTAACCTGAATCTTCAATTGAATAATCTATCAGTTAGTTTATTTAAGCTAATCTTCTTAATCCTTCTATTAGCTTAGGTAATTCACGAGGATTTTTTGGTGATATAGCCATTTTAACAACTGGATAAACAGTACTTTTAATTGGTCTAATCAAATGACATTCAGGATGATCAGATATTGTACTTGAATTGGTTAAAACATTAGAATCTCCAATTATTCCAATAACATTTCCACATGGAATACCTTATTCAATATATTCAACCATTCTACCATTAATCCATGCTATCTTTCCAATCTATCTAATAAATATATCTTCTTTTGAACATGGCTTAAAATTAGATCCCATTATTCTGATCTACTAATCTTATTTGATTGTTCCAGAAAATATTCTCCCAAATGCAATATAATTATCTCTTCCAATTGAGATTACATTAGATATAAACATTACTAAAGGTCCATTTGGATTACAATTCTTTATTGATTAAGCAATTTAATTATTTTATGATCCTTCATAGAAATATGATGTCCTATACTACTGAGCTTATTTAGGTGATGGTAAATGACAGATAATCATTTAAATCAAATTATCTGAAACATTAATCCATTTTGACATCACAGTTTATAATAATTACTTACCAACCAAACCTTAATCTTATTCATTTAATTATAATCCTAATACATTCAACATTTTAATTACAATTTAAATGTTACCATCCATTATTGCCTTAACCATTTTACAAATTGGATCTAAAATAAATTATACAAATGTCCTTTTTAATTCTTTACCAGTATTACATTAATTCTTATTAACCCAGCATTTAGTTTCAGAATCAAAGTAATTTTCTCCCCAAAACTTTTCTTATAACTTTTTTGCTTCTGTATTAAATTTAGAAGCATAAAATTCAGCAAATTTAGTACATGTTAATGCCCAACCATCCTTTCCTGATCCAAATGATACTGTTCCTTATTCTGGTTTTATCAATAGATCACCCATATCATCTAATTAGTATCCAAATATGATCATATTTATTTGTTCTATTATTTAGACTAGAGTATTATAAATAGTGTCACTATCCTATTATAATTCTAAAATAGCTCTATCTAATTTATTCACCATTAACACAGGTTTGACTTTCTCTTTCATACACATTCTCAATATGGATTCTGTTGATGTACTAATTCCTTCTATATAATCTACAATTATTAAGATTCCATCTGATACTCTCAATGATGATAAGATGGTTTCAGAATTAATATTTGGTAATCTTGGACGATCGATTAAATTGAATAGATATTATTATATTACGCCATTAGATTATATATCGAATTCATAATACAATGATAAGTTAGTAGGAGTAGTATTATTAATATTTATTGCTTCTTTAGATTAATCAATAAGATTTATGCCAGCATTGTTAAGTAATTGATCGATTATAGTTTATCTACCATGATCCACATTAGCAAATACACAAATATTTCTAATATTATCCTGATTATTCATGCTTTTTGTTATCTGATTCAACATTAAATTGACCATTTATTTATAATTATACTTATAACAAATTTATTTATAAAAACTATGAATATTTATACTAAATATTTCTGATTAAATCTAAATTGTAATTTCAAATTCTTTAATAAATGTTATATCCAAATTTAAAAGCAAATAAATAATTATTTATAATATATTTATGGTTGAATAAATTACTTCTTATAGATTAATAACTAAATGTATTTTTAGAACAAATATAAGTCTTTGCATTTAAGAATTATAATATTTTTAAATGAAAGGATAAATATTTTAAATACTTGTTCTAAATATATAAATTAATTTGTCTAATATTATTATAATAAGTATAAAAACAAGAGATGTCTAATTTCATCAAATCTAAATTGTTCTATTTCTCCTCTTCATTTAGATTCGTATATAGTTTTTTACTATAATTTAGATTTTATATATAAATTCTATTTTATACTTTATAATATTATTCAATCTCTGTTCTAAATAATTAAGCTTGCTTGTCTGCCTTTTTAAAAGTTAATAGATTTAGTTCTAATACAGTAAAATAAATAACAATATAAATATGTATAATTTAAAATATTTCTTTATTTTCAAACTTAAAAATCATTCGTTTTATTAACATAAAATAGTAGTAATATAATATAAATACTTTCTTTTTTATTAATCTCTTTAATAATAATTATTAATATTCTATTTCATTAGCATTTAAAATCATTAAAAACTTATTCATCTTTGATGACTTAATTGATAGTTATGATTTCAGTTTAATACTTAACCTCAGATATATTAATTATTTCAAATCATTTCAATAATAGATTTAGTGCTTGTATGATAAATATAATTCATGATAATTGATTAAGATATTTAAAATCTTAAGAAAATCAATTTAATTGTAACTTAATGCAAAATAAAGTTTAAAAGATATATGATTTAATATAAAAAACTAAATGATAACTTGAGTTCTTTATTTTTTAAATTAACATTATATTTTTATAGTATAATATTATGATGCAAAAAACATAAGAAAAAATAGTAGATGATTATAATACATGCACATATTAATTTTATGAGAGCAAAGGTTTATCTTAATAATTTTGTTTAGCAAAGGATTTTAGAAAAATAAGAAAAGTGGTAAGAAGCTGTTTAATGTTGGGATGAAGGTATTGCTAAATTAAAAAGAGCTCCTTTTTTCCAAGCAAAAAAAGGTACACTTTGAATAATCTAATATGGTTAGCAAAAGCATTATAAAATTTAGGCAGATGGAAAGAAGCTACTGAATGTTGGAATTAAGAAATCAATAAAAACAAGAATAATAGAGTTTTATATGTTTGGAAAGGTAAAATTAAAGTAACCAAATAGCATAGGCTTTAGTTTGTCAAAATATGATGTAGGAGGCTATTGATTGTTGGAATCAAGGAATATTAAATAATCCTAATGACAGAGGATATTATGAAGAAAAAGGTAAAGTAATTCTATATCCTAATTGAGCTATGGCACTATTAAACCAAAGAAGGAATTTAGAAGTCATTAAGTGTTCAGATGAAGTGAATGTGATATTTCAAGAAAGTTAAGCAACAAATTTTATAAAAAGTATTTTTTTTATTATCATTAGTTTATGCCTTAGATAATCTGAAACTATTAAAAAAAGCTATTATAGCAAGAAGACTTGCAAAACAGGATACTACTTTTCAAAAAAGTCAACTTTGATTTTTAAATAAAATTAAATTAATCTTATTTATTTTTAGCATATTATAAGAAAATTTATGCAGTAGAAACAATTACGAAAAATTATGAGAATGACTCGAAGCTGTAAGGATATAAAATATTAAAAAATAGATAGAAGTATTTTCGTATTTTAATTTTTGATAAAACCAAATAATAATTATAATATATTTCTCTTTAAATCTTATATATAATATTATTGATAAAGTTCATTTAATCCAATACCTTATTTTTTGCAATTAAAAGTATAATTTATCATTAAGAATAATTTAAATATAAAGTTGAATGATTAGATATAGTATACGGAATAAAGGTAGGAAATATTGTATCTTCAATCTATCCTCCTGAAGAATAACTGAATAGTACATAAGATGGAATAAGAACAAATNTCAATAATAGATTTAGTGCTTGTATGATAAATATAATTCATGATAATTGATTAAGATATTTAAAATCTTAAGAAAATCAATTTAATTGTAACTTAATGCAAAATAAAGTTTAAAAGATATATGATTTAATATAAAAAACTAAATGATAACTTGAGTTCTTTATTTTTTAAATTAACATTATATTTTTATAGTATAATATTATGATGCAAAAAACATAAGAAAAAATAGTAGATGATTATAATACATGCACATATTAATTTTATGAGAGCAAAGGTTTATCTTAATAATTTTGTTTAGCAAAGGATTTTGAAAAATAAGAAAAGTGGTAAGAAGCTGTTTAATGTTGGGATGAAGGTATTGCTAAATTAAAAAGAGCTCCTTTTTTCCAAGCAAAAAAAGGTACACTTTGAATAATCTAATATGGTTAGCAAAAGCATTATAAAATTTAGGCAGATGGAAAGAAGCTACTGAATGTTGGAATTAAGAAATCAATAAAAACAAGAATAATAGAGTTTTATATGTTTGGAAAGGTAAAATTAAAGTAACCAAATAGCATAGGCTTTAGTTTGTCAAAATATGATGTAGGAGGCTATTGATTGTTGGAATCAAGGAATATTAAATAATCCTAATGACAGAGGATATTATGAAGAAAAAGGTAAAGTAATTCTATATCCTAATTGAGCTATGGCACTATTAAACCAAAGAAGGAATTTAGAAGTCATTAAGTGTTCAGATGAAGTGAATGTGATATTTCAAGAAAGTTAAGCAACAAATTTTATAAAAAGTATTTTTTTTATTATCATTAGTTTATGCCTTAGATAATCTGAAACTATTAAAAAAAGCTATTATAGCAAGAAGACTTGCAAAACAGGATACTACTTTTCAAAAAAGTCAACTTTGATTTTTAAATAAAATTATAAAAGAAATTAATAATTAAATAACCTATAAATTAATCTTATTTATTTTTAGCATATTATAAGAAAATTTATGCAGTAGAAACAATTACGAAAAATTATGAGAATGACTCGAAGCTGTAAGGATATAAAATATTAAAAAATAGATAGAAGTATTTTCGTATTTTAATTTTTGATAAAACCAAATAATAATTATAATATATTTCTCTTTAAATCTTATATATAATATTATTGATAAAGTTCATTTAATCCAATACCTTATTTTTTGCAATTAAAAGTATAATTTATCATTAAGAATAATTTAAATATAAAGTTGAATGATTAGATATAGTATACGGAATAAAGGTAGGAAATATTGTATCTTCAATCTATCCTCCTGAAGAATAACTGAATAGTACATAAGATGGAATAAGAACAAATAATTTTCTCTATTTCTGTTGATTTATTATCATATTGAAATTTGATAAAATATCCGCTTTTTAAAAACAAAACATTAATATATTGAATTTTACTAAAATGTAAAATTTTTTCATATCATCAATTTAATTATGATTTTAAATATAAAAATTTATTATGAAAAATAAATAAACTTAAATTGCTTCCATAAATTGGAGATGTAATAAGTGCAATAGAAAATTTGATCTTATATCTGGATGTTGTGTTGTTACTTCATAGGCTATTAGTTAAATAACTTGTCATTCATGTGTTAAAGTTTTATAAAAATAATCTTAAGTAAATGTTGAATAGATAAGTGAAATTGTGTAAGAATACCAGCAGATAAAAGCATTCTTCATATCAAATAATTTAGTTGAATTAACTTCAAATACAATTTTTCTTAACAAACTTAATATTTCAGAGCCACTTAAAGTTTTACTTTAAAATTCAAAAGAATTTCAATAAAACAACAGCTTAACTGAGGCAGATTTATAAACTTATTGTAAGAAGAGAATTCTTTTTAAACAGTTATTTGAAGATCAAATACTAATATAAAAAATTGACAACGCTTCCATGAATTTATAAAGCATTCTTAAATAATATTTTTATGATGAAGCAGCATTTCCTGTTCTTTGTATTAAAATTCCAAAATGCTAATATCACATATTATATTCTAAGGTTTTATCAAATTATTTCTTAATCTTAAAATACAAAACTGAATCAGAATATATGTCTACTCTCAAAAATAAAGAGATATTAAAATAAATTAAGAATCAAGGATATGATCCAACTATTTTTATTTCAATTTATGACTTGAGAAGTAAAGCAAATATCTATGATGATATTTTAATTGAATCTTTAGATTTAGATTATTTAACTGATGATCTTATTCAATCTTATTTACTAGAATAAAGGAATATTATTTATGTCAGTGTAGAAGATGCTTATTATTAGATTAATTTAAATCCTAGATAAAAACCAAAATTAATTAAGAAAAATGTAAGATTTTAAGTGATTGGAGACAATCTCATTTAACTAGAATTGAATGGTTATCTAAAATTTAATCCTGATGATAATGAGGTAATTTAGAAATAGGGTATATTTACAAGTAATCGGCCAAATAATGAATTTTTCATTTCCTATAATTAGAAAATTAACTCATTTATCAAATATCATTAATCTCTTCAAAATAAAAATGAAATATTTGAAGTTATACATTTAAATAAATTATAATGTACAAAAAGAATTATATTTACTAATTATGAAAAATATAACTACAATAGCATTTATCATAATTATTCTTTCACATACATATCAAAAAATAATACTATTCTACTAACACGTGAATCTTCTATATGCAAATCATTTTTGATACTTTTAAATTTAATAAATAATAAAATGATTAGAAAAATACCTATTTCATCTAAAAAATGCATTCAGAATTCTTATCTTTTGAAAAATTAGACAGTGATATGTTTAAAATATCAATAAAATTAAGTAGAATTGTATCATATTTCTACAGGAAGACAAATCCTTCTATTGGAGTATTATGAAATATATCCAATAATGTAAGATGAATAACTTGCAATATCTATAAAATAAGATGATATAAAAATATTTTAATTGGCCAAATGATTGTTGAATTTAAAAAATAAAATAGTACATTAATATTAATTTTATCTCACTTACTTATTCAATGAGATAAAGAACCTAGCAAATTTAGATTTTCTTTTAAATAGAATTTGTAAGCAAGTATAATCTAAAATATTCAAAATATNTTTATAAAGCATTCTTAAATAATATTTTTATGATGAAGCAGCATTTCCTGTTCTTTGTATTAAAATTCCAAAATGCTAATATCACATATTATATTCTAAGGTTTTATCAAATTATTTCTTAATCTTAAAATACAAAACTGAATCAGAATATATGTCTACTCTCAAAAATAAAGAGATATTAAAATAAATTAAGAATCAAGGATATGATCCAACTATTTTTATTTCAATTTATGACTTGAGAAGTAAAGCAAATATCTATGATGATATTTTAATTGAATCTTTAGATTTAGATTATTTAACTGATGATCTTATTCAATCTTATTTACTAGAATAAAGGAATATTATTTATGTCAGTGTAGAAGATGCTTATTATTAGATTAATTTAAATCCTAGATAAAAACCAAAATTAATTAAGAAAAATGTAAGATTTTAAGTGATTGGAGACAATCTCATTTAACTAGAATTGAATGGTTATCTAAAATTTAATCCTGATGATAATGAGGTAATTTAGAAATAGGGTATATTTACAAGTAATCGGCCAAATAATGAATTTTTCATTTCCTATAATTAGAAAATTAACTCATTTATCAAATATCATTAATCTCTTCAAAATAAAAATGAAATATTTGAAGTTATACATTTAAATAAATTATAATGTACAAAAAGAATTATATTTACTAATTATGAAAAATATAACTACAATAGCATTTATCATAATTATTCTTTCACATACATATCAAAAAATAATACTATTCTACTAACACGTGAATCTTCTATATGCAAATCATTTTTGATACTTTTAAATTTAATAAATAATAAAATGATTAGAAAAATACCTATTTCATCTAAAAAATGCATTCAGAATTCTTATCTTTTGAAAAATTAGACAGTGATATGTTTAAAATATCAATAAAATTAAGTAGAATTGTATCATATTTCTACAGGAAGACAAATCCTTCTATTGGAGTATTATGAAATATATCCAATAATGTAAGATGAATAACTTGCAATATCTATAAAATAAGATGATATAAAAATATTTTAATTGGCCAAATGATTGTTGAATTTAAAAAATAAAATAGTACATTAATATTAATTTTATCTCACTTACTTATTCAATGAGATAAAGAACCTAGCAAATTTAGATTTTCTTTTAAATAGAATTTGTAAGCAAGTATAATCTAAAATATTCAAAATATTTATTATAATATATAAATACTTTAAATAATATTATTTATTCATTTTTCTTTCTTTGATTTCAAATTTATATAAATAATATACTTATCTTAATTTACATAAAATAATTAGAAAATTTAAAATTAAGAGATATCCCAAAATTTTTAAGCAATTTTAGTAAAATTGTATATTATTTAAAATATAAAAATTAATACTAATCAAATTCTTTTTCAAAAATTATGTTTTGTGTTTTATAAAATTTTTATTCAGCAATTTTATTAACAAATAAAATATTTTTATAAAATAACAAAAATTAAGCTAAGAATTTCATATTTGTAGTTGATTCTCTAATATAGTCTTATTTTTCATCCCATAAAGCTTATATAAATACCTTAATCAAACCGAAAGTTAAAACTTTTTAAATATTCTTCTTCTGTTAGAACTTAAATTAAATTAAATTAATAATTTATTTTTTTCAATAAAATTTGTATTTAAGTAAAAAAAAGTCTTGTAAAATATAATTCAATTAAGTTATGTATGTAAACTTATTTTAAAGTATTATATAAATAAAATAAAATCTCTTTATTTTATATTCAGCGATATTCAATACTTATCACTTAAATATTCCTAGAAGATCCATCCCAAGTGATTAAATATTTTCCATCATTACTCATAGATGCTTGTATTTATATACTTTAAAATATTAATGATTATTAAAACTGCAATTCTTAATTTTCAATAAATTAAAAAATAAGAATTGAATTCATATCTTATTTTATTAATAATCGCTTTTACATTATATATTATGAAAAGCATAAATTACATAAATTCCCTTCACCATCCATTTGTATTTTATTTGATAAACAAAATATTTAATTGTTTTTTTATTTTAATATATATTAGAACATGTATTTGCTACACCAAGGATGAAATATAAAAGTATTATCACCAATAAATGTTGCTTAATTCCCAAATCCATCTACATTAATTATTTAAATAATTTTCCAGAATTGATTAAATTTCTACATTATTGAAATTTTATAATCTCCCCCAAAAGAAATCAGTATATTTTCTGATTCATTAAAACTTAGATTATAAATCCTATCATTATGATTTTCTATATATTAATATACCTTCCATTAATTATCTTCATACAAAAATTGAATTCTGTTTTCAATTCCAGCAACAACTAATTAGTTTTTATCACTTATTGCAAAACAACTATAGTGTCTTTCATTTTCATATACCTTGGTGATGAATTTTTGATTATTTATTCCATTTATTGACCAAAATTTAATCTGTTAATCACAACATGACATAAAATACTGAGAATTTCTTACAAAGCTCAAGAATGTTACAGATAATTAATGATGTTTCATTTATTATAAAAATGATAAAGCACCATATTGAAAATAAAATACTTTAACTAAATCTCCACAACTAGCAATAAATATTGAATTATTCTTATTGAATTACATAGTTCTGCATCTTTCATCTTATTTAATAAACTATAAAAATTCAATTTAAAAACGAGAAATCTTTTATGAATTACTAATTTTTTAAGCATTTTTCGTATTACTTTGAGTGAAGTTTCCCATAAACTTAAAATCCTATTTATATTTTTAATTAATAATAATTGTATAAAAATAGTATGGTTTGATAAATTTTACAGTTTCTATTAATTTCCTTAAAAAATGATATTAAATAATTCAAGTAGTCTTTAAATTCTCATAAAATTTAATAAATTTATCATTCCCATAAAGAATTCCTAAGCAAAGCATAATTTCTTATTTTCTTCAAAATATTGTATTATAGTATTTAATACATATTCTATTTTTAAATTAAATAAAGCTTTAAGATGATATATTTTCTAAAGTAATAGATCATAAAATTAATTATTATTTAAATTAAAATAATCATTCTACCAAATAATATAATCATACTTTTTTCATGATTATTATTTCTTATGATTTCGAATTCCTTGTAATCAAGAATTTACTATCTTAACTTAGAGTCGCACTAATATCTCCAAATTTTGGATATCTTATATATTGGTATTATTGTAAATTTGTTTCCTGCCTATTAAAAATTTTCTTATCCTGAAATGTATATAAAACTGATGATATAAATTTTGAATCCATTCTAACAAATTATTTAAGAAGGAAACTTAAAAGAGGGGAAAATAAATAAATTTGATAAATTTTTTTTTACATGGACTGTAAATTTAATATTATTTATCATATTTTCCAGTTTAGAAATTAAGTGAATAAATCCCTTTAATTTAATATACTACAATGTTTTTCTGAATGATTTAAATTATAAATATAAGATTTATATAATAATAATTTGAATTACAATAATATTTCAATAAATTTCAACTGCAACAAATTTTCCCTATTTTTATCCTCTTTTATATTCTCCAGAATATGTTATTTTGCAAGGGTCAACTAGACTTAAATTAAAGTCATCATCTAATTCAGTCCATTTTCCATGTTTAAACCCATTCTCATCATAGAGTCCTCCTCCACTTGTAATTATTAGTATTATATACATGATTTTGGATTTGTTAATGAATTCCCAACTACCACTTTTTCTACCATTTTAATAATTCCCATTTATCTTGATTTAAGTATTACTTAAAAGTATACTCTAAATAATGTAATTACTTATCAAAATTTTCATGAAGTTCAGTCCACTACCCTTATTTTTATCCATTTTCATCGTAATACCCTCCTCCACTTTAAAAATATACAATTTTTACATTATATTATTTTCAAAATATGTATTCCAAATGGCTGTTTTAATTCCATTAATATATGAACCTTGAAAAGTTATTTGACAAAATCTAATGAAATAAGATTATACTCCCAAAAATTATGATATAAATCTATCCATTTCCCATGCTTCATACCATTATTAGCATAGCAACCTCCTCCGCTATCATATTTTAATTTAGATACATTATTTTATCTTCAAAAATCGTCATCCAAATTCCTGTTTTCTAGCCAATTAGATAATCACCTGTAAATAATATTTATGCTTCACTAAAATAATTTTGTATTTTCTATGTACTCCCAATAATTTTCATGCAATTCAATCCATTTTCCAACTTTCTCTTAATTTTCATAATATCTACCTCCTCCACTAAATATATTTGGAATGTCATAACTACATTAGCTTATTATTTAGGAGTGCATTCCATTGACCTTTTTTTATATTATTTATATATTCACCACTTAAAGTTACCTAACAATCACTTTAATAATGGTTTAGAATATGAATTACTGATAAAAATTTTAACCTATTTCTATCCAAAACCCATTCTTTCCTCCATTTTAATCAAAGAATCCTCCTCCCCTAATTCAATATCTTTTTATGTACATGTTTTTCAATTAGTATTGCAGCTTCCAAATTCCATTTTTTATGCTTTCCTTATACAATCCTCTCTAGTATACTTTAGCATCACAAATAGATTAAAATTAGTAATTACTACATATTAAAACATTGAGCCAATTCAATCCAATAGCCTATTTTCAATCCATTTTAATTATATTCACCTCCTCCGCTTTTTATTATATCTAAGGTTACATAATATCATTATTTAAGATAATTTTGAAAAATCCTCCTCTAATCCCATTCTAATACTCTCCTTCGATAAAAATTTCGTGATTCCTCAAAGTATGAAATAAATATTACTCCAATAAATATTCATATAATTCTCTCCATTTCCCAGTTTTTAATCCATTTATATCGTATTATCCACCACCACTAAGTCTTATGAAAAAATTTAAACATATGATTATGGTTGCAATTCAAACTCCAAATTCCTACTTTAGTTCCATTATCATATACTCCACCATAAGTTATTAGATAACAACTGATGAATATTTATATGTACTCTCTAAAATAATTTTCTATTTCAGTCCATCTTCCATCTTTCTAACCATTTTCTTTATAGAATCCACCTCCTCTTAATGAAATAATAAATCAAATTGTACATTGAAGTATCTTAAAATTAAGAAATCCACTTTCCTGTTTTTATTCCATCCTGATAATTTCCTATATAAAATATTTATGATTTTCTAAATCAAATACATCTTACTCCAAAAAATGTTCAAATAACTCAATCCATTTTCCAACTTTTGCTCCATTGATATTCGAAGCCCCGCCAGCATATAATTTATAGCCATTCCAAATTACACTCCAAAAAACCTCATTTTCTAAATTTTCTGATTCATTCTTTCTCCATTTTAAATGTTATATTTGTTGTAAATGTTTCTAATATGGCTTTAGATAATAAGGTAAATTATAATGTTCTCTATATAATATTATCTATGTATTACATTCTTATAATTTCACCATTCTTAACAAAAACATTTCTCCCAATATCAGACTATAAAATAAATGATGTATAATATTATTTTCCCATATATTCGGCTAATATTTATTTGAAAGTTTGTTTATCTTACAAAGACATTCTTTAAAAGAAAATATATTTACTAAAAATTAAAAGGTATTAAATTATATTAAATTAAGAGTACATGTTTCATAATATTAATAAGCATAATGGTTATTTTTAATTTATTTTAATATCAAATCATAATTATTTATATTTATTTTAAATGAAACGAATTTTGTTTATCTTATTATTAATATTAATCATTTTATAGTTATTTATAATTGTTACTAATTTTATATATCTTACATTTATAGTGATAATTTTATAGTTATTTATGATATATATATATATTTTGTATATAATTATGTATTTTTTTGTAAAACATAGCATCCGAAGTTGGCTATTATTTTTATATTTATATTTTTAATTGTTACCAAACATCGATAATTGAATTTATTTTTGGACAATTTAGAGGAAGTAACAAATAATTAATTTTTTTTATAGAAAATGTTCGTTAATAAATTTCCTTTTATGAATAGGGTAATTATCCAAAATTAATACGTATGGCTTATTTGATAAAATTAAAGCTTTCAGCAATTATTCTAAAAGTTAACCAAAAATCTAATAATTAACTATTCCTTTTCAAATTTAAAACACCAAAAAACTATTTTGCCTTATGCAACCAATAACATGTAGGGGATTCTACATTTGTAAAATTCATCTATATTTTTTCCCCTTTCAGTTACCAGCACTTGGTATATAGAATTATGAGTAAATGTCGTTTCATCTGAAAAAAAACAATGAAACATTTAATTTCATTATTAAAACAATGATAGGCAATAAATTTATAACTTGATTTACCTATAATTTTAAAATATCCTTTCCTTCGGATTTTGGTTCCATAATAACTAGCTCCATTTAGTCTTAAATATNTTATAATTTCAAATATATTTTGAATATCTTAACATCAATATTTATCATATCATATATTTATTTATAATTTCTAATAATTTTATATATCTGAACATTTATTTTAATCAATTTATATATTTATAATTTTGATTCCAAAGAATAAATAATAAAGGTTATTTTTATCAAACATTATTAATAATTCTTTATATATTTGATATTTAATTCTTATTAGTTATTTTAATTAAACGTGAATATATTTATTATAAACTTTTCATAATCTTTAATTCAACATTAATACTATTAATTCTTTAATATTCTATTAATTAATTTTTTGAATTTTTTTTTACTTAACATTTATATTTATCTAATTTTAAACATCTAATAATATTGATTATGAAAATTGATATTTTTTTATTCTTCTTAAATTAACTATCAACAAGAATCACTTAATTCCATCCCAATAAACATATGCTTTATTAAACTTTCTATACTTGCTTAGTTTTAAATTTTAAGTAATTATGTATTTTTTTGTAAAACATAGCATCCGAAGTTGGCTATTATTTTTATATTTATATTTTTAATTGTTACCAAACATCGATAATTGAATTTATTTTTGGACAATTTAGAGGAAGTAACAAATAATTAATTTTTTTTATAGAAAATGTTCGTTAATAAATTTCCTTTTATGAATAGGGTAATTATCCAAAATTAATACGTATGGCTTATTTGATAAAATTAAAGCTTTCAGCAATTATTCTAAAAGTTAACCAAAAATCTAATAATTAACTATTCCTTTTCAAATTTAAAACACCAAAAAACTATTTTGCCTTATGCAACCAATAACATGTAGGGGATTCTACATTTGTAAAATTCATCTATATTTTTTCCCCTTTCAGTTACCAGCACTTGGTATATAGAATTATGAGTAAATGTCGTTTCATCTGAAAAAAAACAATGAAACATTTAATTTCATTATTAAAACAATGATAGGCAATAAATTTATAACTTGATTTACCTATAATTTTAAAATATCCTTTCCTTCGGATTTTGGTTCCATAATAACTAGCTCCATTTAGTCTTAAATATTTTTAAAATGTCCTCAGAGAAACAAAATCATATTCTAATTAAAAATGTAACCGAAACTAATTCATTTGCATCCTATTCTTAAATAGATTATATCAACCAATCAATATGATTTATATTAGAGAAAGCTAGGTTGAAAATTGTGCTCTTTGGGATTTATTTTTCCCTATAGTAAATCTAACTTCTTGAAAGTCATTTTAATACTGAGATTTTTAGTTAATTTTCTTAATAAAACAGCATTTTCTTTTATAAGCCACTTTTGATCTGAATTGAATTTATTTGAGATTCGATGCTAATTCTTTTTCTTATCATTCATTCATCTTTAATGAATCCAAAAAAATTTTTGTTTATTCAAAATTCAATTCATTTCCAAATTCCTTTTTTATCATAGAAGGAGGGGATATCAGTATTTCTTTGATTTAGGTCAGTTCATAGCCGTCAGATTGGCATCTTGGTTGTTTATTAATTCATCAATCCTATTTGTGTATATTATTTTTTAAATGAAAAATGATGAATATCAAATGAATTTTCATCCTTTAGAATTTCTTCCTCTTAATCTTTATTTTATTCAAATGAAATTTATTATAATGATAAATTATTATCCTATTGCATGATTATTTAATTAATATGTATTTTTAGACAATAAACATAAAGCTTTTATAATGAGTAAATTGAAGTAAAAATATATTTTGTGTTAAATTTAAGTATTTTGAATTCAAAAAAAATAGTTTGGCAAAATATATATGTTGTTTGAGAATGAAGACTTATTTATTTTGAAATCAAAAAATATTAATTATGAATTAAAGAAATATTTTTAAGAAATAAAAAAAGATTATCATATGGAGTAATAAGTTGTAAGTCAAGTAGTATATATAAATTAAATGGATACCTTTAAGATAAATTAAATATTTTTAATTATAGGTTTTAGGAAATCACTATTGAAGGAGCCAATCAATTAGTAGGTTCATTGAAATCATTTTATACAGAACTAATTTTAAAAGGTTATTATCTACCTAATTATGAAACTGCCGATACCAATATGCAGCATTTACTCAGGGTTGCTTGTTAAAAGGGCTTCATCTGTAAATAAGCTGAAATCAAAGTTACTTACCTTGTTAAATAAGCATCAAAAATTGACCTATATCGAGAGTTGTTTCAAATAATAGGATAGGGAGGACAGATAATGGTTGATTAACATTTTATATTATGTGTTTCCAAACTATCCGTACTTTAAACAACCAAGTTTAAAATCACTATACGGATTGACCTAATCCCATATATAGTAGCATATCAATCTATATTTAATAAAAAGCTTAAAGAACTCAAACAATACTTTTTAGATCTAAAAGATTAAGATTGTTTAAATCTTAACCGATTAGAAAATAAAAAGATGAGCAAACTAAATTACAGCAAAAATTACAAAGATTAAACTAATATTTCTTCCAAAAGTAAAATTAGTGTTTAATAAAAGATATTTTTGAATGAATAGGAAGATATTACAATTTTAGTTAATTTAATCACAATAATTATATACATTTGGGATTTATTTATGTATAATTAATAAAATTATGTAAGATTATTTAAATTAAAATTAAAAATATGTGATATTAGATATATCAAAATTATTATTTATATTGTACATAAAATGAATTTATATTTAATACTTAAAAATAATAATTATTTGTTTTTAAGTATTTATATGATTATAGATATATTCATAATTTTGATCAATATATATAAATATTTATATATTTTAATTGCTTACCTTTTTCATTTAATAATTTTAATTAAATCTGAAATCAATTAGAAAATGAATTATTGGATGTTAATTTTCAAATTGAAAAATAGTAGAATTAGAATAAATTAAATAATTCATTAATAATAACAATTAAATCTGAAGTATATTTAGAATGTTTATTAGGTTTGAATATAAGTCTCAATCATGAAATATATGTAGAAAGAATTATTATAGAAATATTCTACAAGCAATTTAGGATGAATAAAAATTATGAATAAATATGATAGTAAAGTAATATTTCCAAAATAATCAAATTCATCAAAAAAAATTATAATCCAAATTATTAAGTTTAATATATAGAAAATTAAAGCTTTGAAATTATTTAGAAAAAGATAATTAAAACCTTTTTAAATGATGTAAATAAAATGAAGGTTTTTAATAAGTGAAGATTTACAATAATAGAAAATAGAATTAAAAAGTAAATCATAATAATAAAACATATGAGTGAACCTAAATTAAATTATAAAATAGATACAATAAAAGCAATATAAGCATAGAAAAAGATAGCAATTTGAAATATATAATGATAGGATTGTTTTAGTTAATAAAAATTGAGAAAGAAAATAGAGATAATATAAATAAATTTTCTTTATGTATAAAGTAACCATTTTTTAAGATTGAATGATGGATATACAATGATGATAGGTCTATAAAAAATTGAATAATTTTATGATCAAAAAATCATTTAATTTATGGATAAGATAAAATAGGAAGAGATTCTAGATGCTCTGAGATTAAATGATAGAGAAAGTGAAGGAAAGTGAATAGGTTGAGACTATGAAGATATGGAGGAAGTGAAAAGTGATTAGTGTAAAACTCTTTTAAACGTAATTACTTTGAACTTAATAATAATTATTTTATAAAAATAATGGCTTTGTGGAAGGTATTTTAGAAAGCAGGGCAGAGATCTACAATGCCTGCTGCATTTAAAGAGGGGTTGTTTGAGAAACCAGGAGAATTTTCATACAAAGTGAAAAACATGGCAGTAAGCTATGAAACAGCCTCTTGGATGCTTAGAGAGGGTATTGTAGAATACAATCCCAATAAATGGGGATATGTTTTGAGTAAATCACATAGAGATTTCAATGATTATTGGACAAGAAGTAAGAGTAATAAAATAAAGATAGCTATGTTTACTAGATGTGGCTTGTTTTTAACAGGATGTTGGCTATTTAGTTGCTTATACACAAAACCAAGATTCGATTGGCAAGATTATCATGATCCTAAATTCGAATAGAAGACATATGGTGATTTAGAAGAAGGAGGTGATGAAGGAGGAGATGATGATTGAAAGATTCAAGATATTAAAATAAATATAAAAATATAATTAACATATAATACATCAAGAATGTTATAGTTATAGCAGCCACCAAAAATTCAGAACTATCCTGGAAAGAGAGTATTAAATTATACATTTCTCAAAGAGTTGGGATAAGGTTCATTTGGTTAAGTAAGTAAATTTAAATTACATGTAGGTCTTTTCTGCCAAAGTTGACAAGACATAAGATTTGGTAGCTATTAAATGCGTTTCTAAGGCAAAATTAAGTGAGAGTAGGGGGATTGTTGGTTAGTTATTAGAAAGTGAAATTGCAGTATTAAGATAAATCAACAGTGAACATGTAATAAAATTCATTGAATTCTTTTAATCAGAGAATCAATGCTACATCGTTTTGGAATTTTGCAATTGTAATATATCATTTCTATTATTAAGCTGGTGATTTTGAATAATTGTGGAATAGGAGAGGGAAAAAGATACCTGAAAATGAAGTTATTGCTTATATGAAATAGGTTTTGGCTGGAATGTAAGCTTTACATGAGAAGAATATCTTACATAGAGATATAAAATTACCTAATATTTTAATTCATAATTCTACTTTAAAAATTGCTGATCTAGGATTCTGTAAATAATTGAAAGACCAAAATCAACATGAAAATCTGATTCTAGGATCCTTAGGTAATATGGCACCTGAAATTATTGAACAAAAACCCTATGGCATGGCTGCAGATATGTTTTCTATTGGCAGTATGTTTTATTAATTACTTTTTGGATGTTTTCCCTTTACTAATATAAATGAAAAGGCATTTTTGTAAGATATCCGAACAAGTAGACTTAAATATAATTACTAGATAAACCTAATTTTAAAAGAAATGGAGTTTCAATTTCTACTTAATTAGAATGGTTGTTGAATAAAATGTTAATGAAGGATCCTAGAGATAGGTTGAAATGGTCTGAATTATATTCGCATCCTTTGATGAAATAGAAAGAAATGAGTAAATACTTATTATGATATAGGATATTAATAAATATCACTTAATTTATTATAAGCTGAATAAATTAATGTTGAGAAAATTGGGAAATTCTATTAAAATTAGGTTCAATAGGATACTTTTGAAAATCCTGATGATTTCTTGAAATAGTTAGATAATATGAAAGAATAGCATATTCTTAAATAAAATAAGTAGGTTAACATAAAGGAGACTGAATTATTACCAGATCTCTAAGATGAATAAGTTAAATTAGAAATTTCATAGACTGAAAAATAGATTGAGGATTTGAAAAAAGTTGAAGAATTAATAGAGAAATACATGAGATTAAGAGATTAAATTGTATATTTATCAAGGACACTAAATGAAATAAATACTTTAATTTCTGAAAAATATTCAGCCTTTCCATTTTTGTTATTGATAAAAAAGATATATTTATTAAATGATTCATTAACAAAAGCTTTGTTAGATAAGTAAAATTTATTTAAAGTGGCAGATTTATTAGAGAAAGTTTATTAACATCCTTATTTTTAAAAATTCATATCATAAATGCTGGATGATTAATAATTTTATGAAAGTCTATTATAATTTGCATTAAAAAGTGCAAAGTAATTCATTATTATAAAGTAGATCTTTTTGGGATGAGATTGAAGATAAAAATTGGTAAAAAGAAATGACAATAGACTTTTCAAGTCAATTTAATTAAAATTTTAAGGAAATTTTGAGTGATTTCATAATTAGAACATTGTCTGAAAAGAAAGAAAAGGAGAAGGATCCAAAAGTTATAGAATAATATATCGAATTATAAATTCATTTAATTGATTGTTGCTGTTATGATAAAGTTTATTAGAATGATAATGTAAAACTATTTTTAAATATAAATAGAAAATAAATATCACAGAATAATTTGATGCTCTATATGAGAAACCTTTAAAAATAAAGAATGATATATTTTCAGAAAAAGTGTAATTATTATTTTTATGAATATATATATATATATTAAATATTATTTTAAATTAATTACAGTTTCAGATGGCTGACGAGAATTTGGATTAGATTATCGATATGCCAGAATAATCTGATATGATTAATGATGCAAGAACCTAAGTATTTAAATTATTAATTAATCTTAATAGGCAAGATATGCAGTTGAACATTTTAAGGTAGAATCATAGATTTCAAATTACATTAAAAAATTCTTTGATGAAAAATATGGTCCAAATTGGCATTGTGTTGTTGGTACATTTCTTATTAATAAATATTTCAGGGAAACATTTTAATTCTTATTCATCTTACGAAAGCAAAAGATATATGTTTTTTTATGAAGGATAAATGGCAATTTTACTTTATAAAATGGGTTGAAGAATAAAGAATAAATATTATCATTTATTAAATATTAAATTAAACAATTTCTCTGTATTACCAAATCTATCAATCAATTTCATTAGACCATAAAATAATTGTTTTTCATTATAATGTTATTAAAAGACTTAAGCATTAATCCATTTCCAATCACTATGTTTATTTGGTTCAACATTTATTAAATCACTCTTCTAATTATAATCTGCAGTTAAGAATATAACAACATAATGATGTTGTATTTCCTTCTTCACAACATTTACCATCTAAAATATTTGTGGTTTCTCAATATCCAAATTTGTCTCCTCTTTTACTTCTCTAATTGCACAATCTTCTAATTCTTCATATAATTCAAGATGACCTCCAGGTAATGCTAGATATCCATTACCCTAATAATCAAAGTATCCCCATTACTTTACGATAACTCATCAATACAGAATCTCCATTTCTAATAAACACACCTACTCCGAGACCTGGACGATTCATTTAATTAATGAAAATATTTAAATTATAATATAAAAATGTCGATTACAAATACACATTTGTTAAATCCTTCTCCATATAGCAGCATGATTAAAAAATAAACTAATGGCAATTAGTCTCAATCATCTTTAAAGGTATTATTAATTTTATTTCATATACTAGAACTTTTAAAACGTAGTTCCATAGATTAATGTGTAAATAAAAAATCAGATGTAATTAAATTTTAATTGTTAAACTTAAAGAGAATACAAACATAGATAATCTGAACTAGAGACTAAGAGAAAACAATAATCTCCAAATGTTTAAAAATTTAGCTAAGCAAAAAATAACAATTTTGTTTCAGGATATTATTCGAATGGAAGCGCTTAATAAAAAAACATTAACTTAATTAAGCAATAAATTTGTTATTAATTAAATTCTGTTTAAGATTTAAAGAAAGGAGCATTAGATGAGAAAAAAGGTCTAAAAAAATAATCAAAAACAAAGTCTTCTGAATAATTATTATCAAAATCACATAAAATAACTACAGAGCCTGCTTAAAAAACATAAAACAATTAAAATTTGATAAATAAAATTAAAGAGTAGTCAAATTAATAAAAGAATGGAAGTTTAAGCAACCCAATCGAATTTAATTTTAAAAAATTACTTCAAAAATATCATTTAACTTTAAATAAAGCTAAAAGTACTGATAGATTAAAAAACCTTAATCATTAAGATTTTTTGAAAGAATCTTTTAGATAAAAGGAATAATAACAGGTGACATTATAACATTATATTAACATTCAACTTTATGATAAAGGAAAAACATTAGAAATGAAATATGATTGTTTAGAAAAGACAACAGATTAATTAATTTAATACTTAATTGAAATTTGTTAAGATAGTATATATATTATTATTAACACAAGATGAGAATGTAATAGGATTTTCATCGGTAGATAATAACATTGCAGTTGAATACTATATAAGTCTTAAAAATAAAGATTTGATGATTTTGGATAAGTAAACTATTAAATTATAGCCACTTTATCCTGAATACACTTAAAAATTATCATTAAAAAGCTTCCATTTTTTATTATGTGTAGGAATTGGAGGATTTTCAAGAGTTTATTTGGTTAGATCAAAAAATAATGGTAGATTTTTAGCATTGAAATTAATATCAAAATAATTTATAATAGAACATTAAAAATAACAGATTGTATAAAATGAAAGAGATGTTATGGTCTAATTAAATTTAAGTGATTAATAAATGCCTAAATAATTTATATGTCAATTAGAATGTGCATTTGAAACTAAACATTGGGTATGTTTTGGTATGGAATATTGTCCTGGAGGTGAATTATTCAATCAATTAAGAAAAGTTTAGAGAATGAATTAAGATTAAGCAAAAATCTACTTTGTTGAAGTTTGTATTGCTATAGCATTTTTGCATAGTTAAAATGTATTATATAGAGATGTAAAACCAGAAAATATATTAATTGATGAATATGGACATTTAAAAGTAGCAGATTTTGGATTAGCTAAACCTAATATGGGTTAATTTGATGAAGCATATTCCTTTTGTGGTTCACCAGAGTATATGGCACCAGAAATGTTATAATAATAAGGACATACATTTGCAGTTGATTATTATTGTTTAGGAGCATTACTTTATGAATTATTAACAGGACTTCCTCCATTTTATTCAAAAAATACAGATGAAATATTTTAAAGCATTTTAAATGATGATTTACAATTTCCTGTAAAGGTTTGTTCTCCTGAAGCTAAAGATTTATTAAGAAAATTATTACATAAAGATCCTAATTAGAGAATGGGTAATAGAGAAGGAATTTAAGATATATTAGGACATTAATTTTTTGATGATGTAAATTTAATTGACATTTTAAAAAGAAAAATTTAACCTCCTTTTTTGCCAAATTTAATTAAATTTAATTTTGATCCAAAAGAATTCAAATAAGGAGAATAATAATTTAATTAAGAATTATAGAAATCATTATAAAGTGATTAAGAAACATAATTTGAACCTATGTTTGAAAATTTCTATTTTATAGGTGAGACTTTAAAAACAAAGAAACCAAAATTTGAAAAATAAACAAATAGACCTTAATCATTGATTGAAGCTCAATAAGATACAATGATGACTGATAGAATAGATAAGAATTTACATTCTAATAATTCTGCAAATTTAGGTTTAAAGAGGGGATTTTCAGCTAAGTAATTTTAGATAGAACATTCTTAAAAGATTGAGGAATTGAAAAAAAGGATATAATAATAAAATACTTAAGTAAAATCATACATTGATCCATTTGATCATTTAGCTGTAAATTAATTAATTTATTAAAATAAAGCCAAAACTTCAAGATTAAAAAATAATAAATGAATATTTAATTATTCTCTTATAATTATCATAAACAAATATTGAAATTCATTAATCTTTTTATTAAGTATTAGGAAAAGATCTTTTGAGTTGTTATTTGATGTATTGTTTATTAACAAAATCTGCTTAATCACAAGAATTAGCTGTAAGAAATCTTTCAGTATATGATTCATTTAATTATTCTTATGTTGAACATCTTTCAAAATTCTTTTTTGATAAATATTTATGTTATTGTTTTTTTAATTCATTTTTGTATTATTAGCAGATCTACATATCAACACTGAAAATTTGAAATGTCTTAATCATTTTATTTTATTTAATTCGATTAAAGATAGCTTCTAATAAACATTCTGAATTATGAAATTATTCAGACTTATCTTTAAATTTATCTTTGCCTTCTCTATATCCAACATTTTCTAATTCATGTTAAAACATAAGTTCAAAACTAATTTAAATATAATAAATGTACCCTTATTCATAAGCTTCAATTATTTCCTTTCTAGTATCTTAATAGTTAATTTTTAGGTTAATAATAAATTCAGATTAACATGCTCCAGGTGGTAATCGTTAGATAATTGGTATTTTTTATTTTACTAAGTATTTAAGATAGATTACGAAATTCACGTTGCATTTCTGGTAATTACATTAATGTGAAAGAATTGGGATCTAATTATGCATTCACTAGGATAGAATTCAATTATTTACGTATTCCTCTTAAATTATTCTAGAGAATGTTTCCATGTATGATTGTTATAGTGGATGAATTTATGGTAGCCTCATAAACATGTGTATTGTCTTAGCAATTCGAATCATATTGTTTATCTCCCTAACAAAAATCTAGATAGGCTAAAATATAATGTGTACTTCCCATATTGTTCAATAAATTAAATTAATGAATAATAAGAAGGTTTTAGAGTTTGTACCAAAATATTAATATTTAAAATAATCTTTGCTATTTTAAACATACATGTATTAGAAATACTTTTCAAGTTGTAAGAGAAGATTCTTGAAGACATTTGTTGCTAAACTCTGTATAAATTGATTGATACTATTATTAAGTTTAAAAAAAAGTTATGAAATCTGATAAAAATTATTAAATGCATTCTAAATTCTACTCAATAAACATAATATGAAATAATAGAAAGAATTAATTTTCAATTGGAATTGTGTATAGTTTTATGACCATTTTTGCTTAAAAGTATTTAATCCTAATGAAGAACAATAAGAAAGTAAGAAGAGGAATCAATGTGCTCTTTGCTGGATTCATTTCGGGAAGCTTCAGTTGTAATGTTAACTTTGTTTCATTTTCACACTTTGTTTAAGCTGAGATCTTGCCATCAGATAAATATACAATATACTTAGTTATTAAAATGAATGATTCATTATGGTATATGTTTAATTTTAAAGGTTACAGAAATAATTTAATGGAATTAAATCCTCATGATAAATAATTGTCATTTGAATATAATTTGATTACAATATGAATACCAAGATCATAATTAAAATAAAAAAATTTAATAAAAATTAAATTAATAACTTTTAAATTATTTCACTTTTCCATATTATATTTTATAAGGTATTGAAATTCAAAAATAAATTATAATTAAAGTATAGTAATTAAGTATCTTATATGATTAATTTATACTTTTAAATAATTAAATAAACTACTTAAATTTTTCAATTTTTAAATCCTAAATAAATTTATTAAAGAACTTTAACAAAAAAAAATATGATTGGAATGCATTTATTAGAGAGAATTCAACATATAAACCTAACTTAAATAATAGAATATATTTAATTAATTATCTTTTATAGAAATTGCTATTAGATTTAATCATGTAATTTAAACCATTAATGAATTGTGATATACAAAATTACAATATGTTTAGGATGAAATCAAAAAGATTTAATTCAATGAAAAAAATCTTCATTTTTTATATATAATATATTGAATATATATTTTAAGAATATAAAAAAAAGCTCCGCGTCCGGGAATTGAACCCGGGCCTCAAACGTGACAGGCTTGAATACTAACCACTATACTAACGCGGATTCTTAATTAATTAAATTAAGTTATTATATAAATGAGTGTGAGAGTAAAACTCGATAATAAAGAAAGAGGTTATTATGCCTCATTGTATTAAGCAGTTGATGCAACAGTATCTGAATACATAATACTATTAGAACACAGGCTAAATAGGAGGAGCTTAAGCAGTCACATTTTTCAAAAGGTCGGGATTATCTATAGAAATTCTCAAGAAGATTTGGTTAATTAGTTCACCCAATAATTAAACTTTGAATAAAGAGGAATTCTATGTTGCTCTTAAGCTTATCAGTTATGCACAAAACAATATTGAGGTTTCCATCGATTCCATTTAAAGATGCATTCCAAGTCCATTACCATAATTCTAATCTGATACAGAAGAAGTCTATAAACTAAGACCAGAATAAGAAAGATTATATTAGAATTATATACAATAATTAGATCATTCCAATTCTACAGTATTATTATATACATTAATTAGGTATCAACTTAAATGGCAATGAATTTATTCAAAAAAACTCAACTCACATAATTTTAATTATAGAATATCATCAATCTAGTTGATCCAAATTTATAAACAAAACCTAGAATGACAACACATTCCTATATTGTTATCACTCATCTTATATCTTTAGCATCTTAGAGTGTACCTATACCATAAAAATTACCAAACTCTTTATAAGAATACTTAAATTAATAATAATTGGTATCTTAAACTCTTAATATTAATAATACACCTATTAATCCATAACCTAATGTTGTACCTAAATCTAATGATTTATTAGATTTTGAAGCAAACTTTGATAAATCTAAATCTCCAATTGATAAATGTATCTATCATTATTAGATTATTTAGATAGTGCCTTTAATTACATGGAAATGCCCAATCCAATTATTGAACCAACTGTATAAAAATAGCAATAACCATAATTAACTACATCTTAATCATTCAAAATACCACCAACTTAAACTTAATAACCTATTTTAAAATAACAGAAGTCTATCGATTTAATTATGAATGATATTGATTCTTAACCACAATTATAATAAGTGACTTAACAAATTGTCCCTCCATAATAAGTAACAACTTTATAGAGTACTACTATATCATAGCCAATTATTCAATAGCCTAAAAAAACAATAGATTTTTAAAAGTAAGTTTTGCTTTAAGAATAAATGTTAATACAATAATAATAATTAGAATAAAATTATAAAGAAGCCAATGATTTGCTTAATGAATTCAAGGAATCTCATGAAAAGATTCTGATTTCAAGTTAAAGTTAATTGGAATCATTATAAACAACAAATGAACAATATAAGACTTTATTAAAAAAGATTTCAGATGAAAATTATTTATTTTAAGAAGAACTTAAATAAATTGAATAATAAAAAAAGAAACTTACTGAATCTTTAAGTAAATAGGCAATAGAAATAAATTAGAAATTAGGATTGAATATTTAATTAAAATAAGAATATTCAAAATAAACAACAAATACAATCAATACAGTAACAGATTATGCAAATTAAATAATTGGAGATTTGAGATCTAATTATGAAATTGAATAAGAAAGAAAAAAGAGATAAGAATAGGAAATATTAAAAGAACTTAAATAATAAAAAGATTAGATGAGTTTAATTTTTGAAACATTGAGTTCTTTATCAAAAGATATGAAATCATAAAGAAAAAATTCTACTCCTTATTAGCCTATGGACACTCATGAAACATAAAATAATTTAATACCTTTTTAATCGGTCTAATAATAATAATAACAATAATAATAATAACAATAATAATAATAGTAATAATAATAACAACAATAATAATAATAATAATAATAGTAATAAATAAAATCATATCAAATATCATTAAATTAATAATAATTTGTAGAATTAGATAACTAAATTGATATTATTGATGTTCCAATAATAAAGTAATAAGAATAATAATAATAATAAGAATAAATAATAAAGGTTGATTTAGATAATAAAGAATAATTTGATGTATTTTCTTTATATAAAGATAATTAAAATAAAGATGTAATTAATTAGGTAGTTTAACCAGAATTAAATGATTAAAATTAGTAAGTAGAATAATTTGAATAGTAGTAAATTAAAACATAATAAGTAGAAGGTTTTGGATTTAGTGAAAGTGTTAAAATTTAATAACCTATTTAAATAATATTAGAAAATAATATTGAATTTGATAATAATATAGGATTTATGAATACAAATAATGAAGATCATGTTGAAATCAAATAAGAATAAGAATAATAAATAAATATTGAATTCGAATAATCTAAATAATTTGAGGATTAAGATGAAATTGAACATAAAGGATTTGAAATAAAATTTGAAGATGGATTTGGTGCTCATTTTGATAATAGAATTTCTATTGAATAAAATCCATCTATAAATTTTGATTAAAATTTTGTATTTGATTAAGGTATAAAATAAGTAGATGAGGTTTAAATTGATTTTGATGCTAATAAAGAATTTGGTGGAGGTGATTGGGCAGGATTTGGTGATAATTTTGCTAAAGGATCATAACCATAATAGGATGAATTTTAAACATTTAAATGGTGAAAATAAATACATATATAATATAAATGATTCATTCATTAATTGTTATTGATATTATAAAATCATATTTAAAAATGATTTTTAAAATCATCATAATTGAATTCATGTTATTTATGATTAAGTGTATAGATGTATTTTTCATATAGTTCAGGTGTCATATAAAATTAAAGAAATTGATTAGTTAAGAAAGTAGCCTCATCTTTATCTATTTTATAATCCATTATATCTCCTCTTATTAATGCTACTTATTTTTATGACAATAATTCTTCAAAAATAGTTAATATAAAATAAGGAGATGAAAAAGACCCAGATCTTTTATATTCTTCTAAAAAAGTAAATAACTAATATTTTGAATAATATTTACAATGCTATTAGTTTATGATTATCCAATCAATTAGAAATGTCCTCCTTTTCTTTTAATAGGCAATAAAAACAATGGAGATTCTTTTGTATTTCTTTTAAGTATTTCATATTCATCTTTGCTTACAACATAAGCAACATTATTTTATTTTTCTTTATGATATTCCATCCATAATGAAATAACTTAATCCTTTGATTCACGTTCAAACAAAGACATTTTAACAATTTCTCTCAATTTTCTAGGACATGGATACGTAAATGCAAACTTATATTTACTTAAGAAATTATTTAACATAAATTAATTTATTTTTTAATTTTTAACAGTACTATGAACTAAAAAGTGAAAATAGAATGTGTTAAATAAGGATATTAAATTAGTAATGAAATGAAATTTGATATTATGGATTTTTATAATAAATCTTTACATCAAGAACATTATGCTCATAAAACTGATTATATTAGACACAATTTAGAAGAGAAATATGGTATATTATTAAACATTTAAAAAACAGGACGTTGTTTTTCAATTATACTGTATTAGATTGGTGCTTTTGTATCTCATTCATTTTTACATGCAGATGATTTCTTATTAGAATTAAGATCACATGAACATCATATATTAGCATATATGTTACCACCATCTTTTAATCCTCCTCCTTTAATACCTGAACCTAAGGTTATACCATTTAGTAGAACAACTACTTAACCTCTACATGTTACTAAATAATTGTAATTGTATATTGTATTTATTTGTAGTCATAATAATGGGTATTACAGATATTGATTCTTAACTATTATAATTTTATTTTATTTATAAAAGTTAACTAATTTATGTCATTCAGAAATTCTCCTGCTTTATAATAAGAACGAACTAGAGGTAATAGTTTGAATTGCAAATCATATTTAAGAAACACTTAGAATTTAACTAAATTTGATTAGGTCTCTTATATGTAGAAATAAAATAATTCAAAAAAAACCTAAGATTACTAATTTCAATTCAAAAATTAAACTAATAATTAAGATAACTATTTAACTTTTCTGAAATATGGAAAAAATGGTGAATAATTGTAGAAAGCAACTTAAATAATCAATCCATAGAATTTAAGATATTTGAGTCCATCAAATATAAATACAGCCAAAAATGATTTTGAATAGAATAATTTTTAATAATAAGATAATTCATTTTAAGAAATAGCTGATTTAAGAATAAGAAATGATAAAACTAGAATGTTCTATTAAACACAAATTGCAGGGTTATAAAATGTTTAAGATTAATTAAAAATAGAAAATATTAGTTTATCTAATACAATTAAAAGTTTATCACAATAATTAAATGATGCCAGATATATTATATAGAGATTATATTCATAAGTAGATTTAAATTAATAATAAGATTAATAAGATAATAGTAATAATAATGAAAATAATTTAGTTTTTTATGAATATTAAAATTTCATTTTAAAATAATTAAATCAATTAGAATAATAAACACTTTAATCTTTAGAATTAAAAGAAGATAAAATGCTTAAAATTATGAAAAAATTAAATAAAATAAATAGAAAATAATAAATAGATGAAGATTTATTAAATAGTGCTCGTTAAATAGACTCTAAAACTATTATAAATGAATTAAAATAAGATAAATAGAATTTGTAATAAAAAGTTAAAAATTTAGAAATATAATTAAAATAAGAATAAAGAAAATAAAGCAATGAATTAAAATTAAATTAAGTTTAACAGATTGAAGAATAATTTAATGAATTCAAAAAAAAACATTAATAAATTATATATAATTTAGAATAAGATAAAAGTACTTCTTTAGAAAAGGAATAATAAATTAAAAAAGAAGCATAATCAAAAATTAAAAAATTAGAAAATTAACTTATTACATTAATGGATGAATTAGAAGGTAGAGATTAAGTTATTGAATCACTTAATTAAACTATAAATTCAAATAAAAATTAAGTAAAAATTAATAATATTATATATAGACATAAAAATAATAAGAAGTATAATAATTAATCAATAAATTAAAAGATAATGAGTAAATTTAATAGGATTTAAATTAGCAAATATAATTAATGAAAAAAAATAATAATACAATTTTAAATGAATTAGAAAATTCTAAAATAGAAGTATAAAAATAAAAAAAAGATTATTCAATTTTATTAAATTAATTTGATTAAATTAAATAAGAAAATACTGAATTAGTCAAAAGAATTTAATATGTCAATTAATAAAAACAATAATCAATAGATTCATTAAATGATTAATGGTAAATACATAATGATAAATTATCTGAATAATTAGCAATAAATGAAGATAAATTTATAAAATTATCTACTAATTATAATTAATTATAAAAATAAAAATAAGATTTAGAATCATAATTAAATTTATTAAAAAAAGAAATTGAAAGTAAAATAGAAGAATAAGCAGATTTTGAATAAATTTAACTAAGAGTTAATAAATAAAATTAGACAATTTAAAATTTAGTTTAATAGAATTAATAATATGAAATCACTCTAGTTAAGAATATTGATGAAAAGAAATAATTTGAATAATAAATCTAAGATTTAATAGAGCAATTAAATGAATTATCTCAAGAAAAATCAAATAAATCATTGTTATCAGAAAAGATTAAAAATTGCGAATAAGAAATAGATTAATTAAATAAACAAAATTCTTAATTATTAAATTAAAAGAATGAATTACAAGAATAAATAAATAATGAAAGAGATAAATTAAATCAATTAATATAGAATTATGATAAAATAGAAAATTAATTAGTTTTAGCCAATTAAGAAATAGAATAATAAAATTAAAAAATAAATAAATAATAAAAAGAAAATTTGGATTTATTAAAATAGATGGATGAATTAACTAAATAAAATAAGTAATTATTAAAAGAATAAAATGAAGAATGGGAGGAATAAAACAATAATCTATTATAAAAATTAGCAAAAAGTGAAAATAATTTACTTACTTTATAATAAACAAATACTAATTAATTAAGAATGATTGAAAAATTATAAGTTTTAGAAATTGAGAATTAATAAAAAGATTAATTAATATCTAATTTACAGTAATAATTAGATGAATAAGTATAAATAAATGAGAATAATTAAGTTACATAAGAAACATTAGAATTACAAAATTAATTATAAGATATTAATAAGGAAAAAGAACATTTACTTAATGATAATATTTAATTACAGAATAAATTTATAAATGAAAAATAATAATTAGAAGATGAGATTGAAGAATAAAGAAAAAAAGTAGAATAATATGAAAATGAAATATAAGAAAATTAAATTAGATAAGAATAATTAAATGATAAATTGTAATAGGCATTAAAATAATTAGTATAAGTATAATCTGAGTTGTAAGATGAATAAATTAAATCATAATAATTAATGAATTAATTATAGAGTATTTCTGATAATAAAAGTTCTATATAATAAAATTAAGATCTATTAGATATATTTGAATCTTAAGTGTCTCCAAGATAATAAGTATCAGAAAATATATAATAAATAACTGAAACAATAACATATCCGGAAATAGTTTAATAATAAAATTAAATAAATTTATTATAATAACAAATATAATAGCAATAAGAAATTATACAAGAGAAAGATTTAGAAATTAATTTCATTATTTAATAAAAGAATGATATGGAAAGTAGTTTGGATGTGGCAATTGAAAAAATGAATAATCAAGATAATTTAATTCTATAATTAAATTAAGAAAAAGAGAAGCTTGTTGAAGAATAAAAGATAGAAATTAATCATTAGAAATAAAAGATTTCAAGTTAAGAGAAAGTTATATAGAGTTTGTAAAGTCAAATTGAGGATTTATAATAAGAATTATAGGTTTATGAAAATAAATAAAAAGAATAAGAAGAGAATATATAAAAAAGAATTTTTGAATAAAATTAAGAATAATAATTAAAAAAATTAATTGTTGAAAAAGATTAGGAAATTTAATAATTAAAAGAAGAATTGAATAAAATACATGAATAAATAGATTAAATCTAAAATAAATCTATATTGAGTAATAAATCTAAAAGAAGTTTATAATTAGCAAAATTTGATTAATTTATGGATATAAATGAAGATGAGAATAATGAAGAACTAGAGGATGAAGATGATTTAAGATTAGAAAAATTAATTTTAAAAGAATAATTAAATAAGAAAGATGATTAAATTAAATAATTAGAATTATAAATAAAATAATAAGTATAAAATGAATAAGATATTGAAAAATTATAATAAATAGAAAATGAGAAATAGTAACTGTAAAAATAAAATGAGCTATTATTATAGGAAATTGATAAAATGTAAAAAGAAATAGAAAAATTAAAGGAGGAATTAAGAAAGATTCATGAATAGATAGAATTGCAAATGAATAAATCTGTAATTAGTAATAGATCAAAACGAAGTTAAAATTAAATACAATATGACTAATTCCAAGATTTACCTGATGATAATAGTTAAGGATCATAGGAAGATGATGAAAATGAAGAATTAAATTTATTTGTTATGTAAAAGAAAACCTTAGATTAACAGAAATAAATTCAAATTCTATAGGAAACAATCCAAAAATTAAACGAAGAAAATAAGTATTAAATCTAAAATAAGCAAGCTCTTTGTAGGAGGAAATTAAGTTATTAAAAAATAAAAATGTACCATAAAAGCCAAATGTTGAAGAGATAGATTGGTTTGATTGATAATATTTCTATTTATAAATGTTTAATAATAATTATTACAATATAAATGGAGATCATGTAAATTAGACTGTAGGTTAAGAACTAAAAAAATTAGTATCTGTAATATCTTGACATGATCTTTTTTATATTTAACTTTATTATGTTGTTTTATTTCTTTAGACAACTTTAAAATTACTATAATGTTAATTATTGCTATTTTTAGTACTATGAACTGGTTTATATGGAAAGAGAGAATCACAAAGTATGAATCCTTGTTAAGCTTTAGCTTTATAAAATTAATCTGCAGTCTAACATAAAGATTTAGATTTCGAAATAGATGTATGAGATTAACGACTTAAACATTATTTGAGTATTTCAACTTTTTATTAAATTAAAGGATTAATAACTCTTAATTATTATTTGGTCATAGTTAAGAATGGCAAATTATTTTAAAAATCTTCTTCTTGTTATTAATTAAATACGATAGGTTCTTTTTATTAAACTGAAGGTAATTAATGTCTTCTAATTTATTCAAGTAAATCTTTAATATCTTTTTGATGTTTACTAAAATAAGGTGTTTTACCTCTTATATAATAAATTTAAAATAATTACTTAGGTTTAGCAGGTTAAAATTATTCGAATTATTTTTCAACTCTGATAAGCAAACATTTTTAGAAATTTTCTCCAGCCATTTTGAGCATATTGAATTCCTCATTTTTACCAGCTGCTATATCAGATTTTGTATGTTAATCAGCAATTGATAAATTTTATTCAACCATTTATTATTTTGTCATTTTAGGTTATAAAGTGGATCTGAGAATAGGGGATGATTATTCTTAAAAGGAATTTTATGTTTTTTATTTAATTTCTATTTCATTTATGTATCTTCTTTCTATATTTTTAATTTCTTCTTTTTTATGAAGATTTACATTAGCAATTTTAGTTTATACAATTTCATCTAATCTTTTTCTATATAATTAAATATTTTTTTATTGAAGAGTCTATAGTGGTATTATAAATTCAGGAAATGATTTCTTAACAATAGCAAAATTATCTAATTGCAATGTAAATACATTACACTAAGTTAATGTTTTTACAGTATAATCTCTTTTTTCATTTTACAAATAGATATCTGTTTCACCAACAAAACATCCACCTGTAAGATGAGCTATCTATATATATTAAATAATAAGAATTATACAGTAATGAGTTCTTTTTAATTAGATTTCTCTTTTTTTGGTGACAATTATAATTGATTCTAATCAGATTTAAGAAGTGGATTAAAATCAACTGTTTATTAAAGTTAGATTTCACCATCTTTTAAGAGGAAGAATCCATCAACAATATCATTTTATTTCCATATAGTATAATTAACAGGATATTTGTATTATGTGAAATACATTATCAATTTACTCATTTTAAATTTAGTCATAGTTGGAAACATCTTAAGAAAATAATCTATTTTTTCTTAAGATGTTTTAATCTATTTTTCAAAGATTTTCTATTAATTAATAAATATAATATATATACTTTGAAATTTGCTTTATTAAGTGATAAGGCTTAGACATCTGTTACAGCAATAATACTAGCTGCTCTAGGTTTATCAGTTGTTAAAGCCATATCTCCAAAATAAAGACCAGAATGTACTTATGACAATTATTAGAATTTACATATTCCATTAATAGTAAAATACATATCGAAATTACCTACATATAATAATAATAATTCTGCTTCTATTTATTTTACTGGTTTTGATTATTTTTTTATTAGTTTTTCATAAAATGATAATTTATGATCTTATTCAATTTCATCAATTGTTTTAATTTACATTCTTTCAAGTATTTTTTCAATTTTAGGTAACATAGCACTTTCCTCTGCTTCTATTTATTATTATTGTCTACGAATATATACACCTGCTCTTCCAGTTAGAATTATATAGAATTTGTCTCCTTATTCACCTTAAAATAGTATTCAATATTAACCTATATGAAATACTGCATTTTCTTTTTCAATTCTTTCATATTATAGATTTTAACAAATTAAACGAGTGAATTCAAATAATGTACTAGATTCAGGACACCAAGTTTTAAAGATTTCTATATTTTACATTATACCTGTAATCGAATCAACTTATATATCTGTTAGATTAAGATTATCTCTATACACTTAAATTACAGGCTCATAATAACATTTAATTAATACTGCAAACAATAATTCTTTCTATTTAATTTGATCCTCAACATCTATTATTGTATCCTTAGCGACTGTTTTTCTTCTATTCATTTATAAATAAATAAATGATTAATTATATATGTAAATAAACTATATTAAAATCAATAGTTTCATAAATTATTTATCTTAATACAAAATTTTCTATCTATTTCAAAATGATAAAGTTAGTTAAATTTACTTCAAAGTTCATATTAATTATTATTAAAAACTTCTAAACCAAAATTATTAATATAATATCAGAACAATTTAGAAAGATGTTTGATTTTTATTAAAAATTAAATACTTAAGTTATTATCGTATAAATCTTCATGTTTAAGATTGCATATGAAAATTTTGTTCATAATTACTCTTTAAGTAAAATAACATCCTTTTAAGTTGAATTTATATTATAATCAGAATTTAGTTAATACTATTCTATATAAATATTTTGTAATGTATATATAAGTATCCTATAATTATATAGATTGGATAAATCAAAACAAATACAAATATCTTTGAATCATATTCATCCACACACTTTATAAGGACATGAACCAACAAGTTACCCACAACTTGAACATAAATGATTTACATCTTGACATTTTTCGGCCACAAATGGTACCCAACAAATACAGCATATAAATAAAAATAATATGAAACAACAACACCATGTTCCTGATCCTGCTTTAAAATCAATTTTAGTAAGTCCTTATTTTTAACAATAAGGACATGTCATTAAAATAGCGAATCTTGATGAATTACATAATATCTATGATTATGTAGCATTAGCTAATTAATTATTCACTACCACTAACTCTTATTAAGCTGGATCTATAATAATTATTATCAAATTTACAAGGAGATCCCTAAACTCTAACAACTTATTATGGATTAGGAGTATATTATGGTTGAGAAGCATAATTGTTCATGGGTTGTGTATAAACTACTGATGTAAACTATATTATGTTTACCTTATTAGTTATCAGTTTAAAGAGGAACCTAATACTACTATTGGCCATCTTAAATTTCAAAAGTAGTATTTGTATCTTATTACATAATTATTTTTAATAAAATATTTGTATTCTATATATTGGTTAAGATCTAAAATTTATAGATTATATTAATTTTTTATATAAATAATGCTAAAAATATAGAAATAATTAATATAATTAATGGATATCAATTTAAATAACATTAAAGAATATATAAATATAAAAGACAAAGAATTTACAAATAAGTTTTAAAACATTTTGTTAGAGACCTTTACAAAATTTAGTTTTTGGCAATCAAAGATGTTAAATCTAAATAAAAAATTATCATAAGGTTCAATACATAATTAAACTTAATTAAAATAATTCATTGAAAGAATCTTTGAAGAATTATAACTAAATTTGCAATAGATATCCTAATATATAGAGGATGTATTTCAATAATTAAACTCTAATTTAACTTCATAGATTAATAAATTAGAACAATTTAATCGTCAATATGAATAACTATTTTTAGTTGATAATTTTATTAATGATAAAAGATTGCTGTTTACTTATGATTTCAATTAATCTTTTAGTGATTACTCCAAATTTATTGCAAGTGATAATTAAGTTGTTAGCAAAATTTTATAAATTTAAGATAAAATAATTGTGAGTAGTTTTGATAAATCAATTTCTATTTGGAATAAAAATCTATAAGAAATATAAAGAATTAAAGATGTACATTAATCATGGATTAGAGTTTTAACATATTTTAAATATTAAGGACAAGAATATATATTAAGTTGTGGAGATGATTAAAAATACTCAATTTTCAATGTAAATATAAATAATAATTATCAAATTTTAAAATTGCATTAAGAAATAAGTAATCTTGCTTATAGTAGACAAGCTATTTTTTATAAGAATTGTATTTTTAGTCCTGGAGGTTAAAGATAAAATCATGATATCTTATGTTATAATTTAGATTTAAATTAATACTAATATAGATTTCAATTTCATAAGAATATGTTAATAAACTTAAAGTAAATTGAAACAAATATATTATTATCAACTGATTCTTAAGGATATACAGTAAGATGGTTAATATCAAAAATCTCAAGAATTCATTTTAGAAAATTGAATAATTTAAGTTGTTCAGATTATGAAAAGAATTTAAACTTTTATGGAACTGAACAAGGAAAGATTATGATTTGCAATAATAAGAGTAAAATATTGAGAAACATAAAATTATCAAAATCAAAAATATTACATATTCAAAAATTGGATTCTCATCATTTATTATTTATCTGCAAACCTGATTACTTTTGTTTGTATAATATAAAGTTTAATGAATTGTTATTGAAAATCAAACTATTAGAAATTGATGAAGTAACAGCAATAAGTATAAATATTCCATAAGGTATATTGATTCTTGGAGATAAAAGAGGAAGACTTTTTGTATATAATTTCAGATTGTATTTAATAATATTATGAAAATATATTTCAAAATTAAGCTGGTTTAAGAAATGAAAATTTCTAATCTGTTGGATTAATTAAATATCTAAGTACAGACTCTTCTGGTTTAAAATTATAATTAGTTAAGAAATTGTGTCTATTTTAGAATATCTTAAATATTTCTTTAATTTTATAACTACTATGACCAACATCATGATCAGGATCTTATGGACTAATTAATGAGAATCTCTCATCTTAAGTAGATTTATTTTCAATACTTCCTCCTCTACCCATATCAATTTTCTTTCTTGATACATCAAATTTGATTCCATAAAATTCAAGAAATTTAATCATATATTCACCTAATGTAACATTTTTAATTTGATCTTATTTATTATGTTAAAAGAAATCCTTACGATATTCTCTTAAAAAAGCCAAGATCATTTAAAATAATAAAAAAGAACCCACTCCTCCACTATATGTTTCATTTAAATCTCTTTATCTTAAAACACATTTTAAAGTCATTAATAGATATTTTAATTCAGGATAAATTTCAAAAGCCTTTTCTAATTCTTCAATTTATTTTAATCCATCTAATTAATTAAATGACAAATCAAAATGATATTAGGATTATACTTCAATAAATTTTATGATAGGCACTTTAGCATTAGCTATTAAATTAACATTTTCAAATTTATTAGTTTGTTTCATCATTTTAGCAGCTACCTTTTTAAATAATTATTTTTATGTACAAGATGTTTCTATCATTACCATATCTATATCTGCATTAGGTAAATACATTCTTGTTTTAAAACTACCAAATGATTCAATCTTAGCCTCTGGGGCTATATCTTACAAATATTTCTCTACTCTCAAATAAGCTGTGATTCTTCGTTAATGTTCTTAATCAGATGGTGAAATATAATCAAAAAATTCAATGATTTCATTATGTAATCTTAAAACTGGATGTCTAATCAACAAAGTTTTCTTGCTCATCCATGGAACTACATCTACATTTAGTATACAATCATCATCATTTTTAATCTTCTTTTAACTTATATTATAAGTATTTTTATATACATTTTTGGTTCATCTTCTTCATCATTTATCACTATTGCTTCTTTGTTATTTGAATGTCTAGAATGATGAGCTTTTTTGTTCATGAGATAAAAATTATAATGAATTAATAATATTGGTTTATTGAAACAAAGCATATACTATTAATCAGTATAAGCTTCCAAGTTAAACCATTAATCTATTTATCATAATATTGATAGCAATAACCATGTTTAGAGTATTGCCTCAGAGATTATGATCCTAATCTATATCTCTGATCAATTATTTGTATTACTTAGATTCACAGTAATTCTTTATGGGTTTATATATATAAATTATTATCTATAATTATGGATTCTAATAATAATGAAAATACAGAAATGTCTGAATAGAAGAAGCAATTTCTTAAAGCATTTTTAAGAGTATGGAAACTAAAAAAAGATTAAGAATTAAAATAGAAAGAGAAATAATAAGAATAAACAGAAGAATAAACATAAGAATAGACATAAGAAATTTAATCAGAATAAATATAACCTAAAAGTTAAGTGTTTTCAAGAGAAGAATATGCTAGAGATCAATTTTGGGAAGATAGATATAAAGAACATAAAGGAAGATTTGATTGGTATGTAGAATGGCCTTAACTTAAATTCTATTTAGAACAAACTAAATTTAAAATAAACAAAGAAAGTTCAATATTAATGGTTGGATGTGGTAATTCAGCATTATCTGAATAAATGTATAAAGATGGGTATATATTTATTTATCTATATATTATAGTTATCATAATATTGTTTCAATTGATATATCTACAACTATTATTGATAGAATGTAGGAATCTGCTAATAAATAAAATATGAAATTATAATATTTGGTTATGGATGCAACATCTATGGATTTTTAAGATAAATAATTTGATATTGCATTTGATAAAGGTACATTAGATGCATTATCATGTGGTGATGATACTAAAAATTTATTATTGTTAAAAGAAATAAATAGAGTGGCAAAATAACTCTTATTTGTTAGCCATTCTTCACATTAAAAAAGAATTGTATTTTTTTTATTATTAATTTAAGAATATTATGGAATAAGTATTTGAAAGTAGAAATGTATTTGAAACTAAAATTAAATTATCTGGTTAAGCTGAATTAATTAATATTATTAGAACTAGATTAAAAGATAAACCATTAAGTTATGTATTAAAAGATAAAGATTCTTTGGTTTAATGTATAAATGAATATAAATAATCATAAAAATAATAAAAATAAGAATAATAAGAAGAAATATATGAATATTTAATAATTAAAAGAGAATAATAATAATAAGATGAATAATAATAGGATGAATAATAATAATAGGATGAATAATAATAATTGGATTAATAATAATAATAATAATAATAATAATAATAATAATAATAATAAGAAGAAGAACAATAAGAAGTATAATTATAATAATAATAAACCATAATATAATAATAAATTACCTTATAATAAGATGAATCTTAAAATATCTAATAAGATGAAAATATTAATTAAATTGAAACCAATAATGAAAATTAAATAACTGAAGATAATTAGATTAATTATGATCCCAGAAGATAATCTCATTGTTATCTATATAAGATTTTATGATTAGATTCAATTTACAGATTGTACATTAATAATATATTACATTAATATTAATTTAAGAAAATATATAAAAATTATGATATCGAATGATACTTTGACTCCAATGTAATAAACAGCTTAATTTTATATACCTCCTGGATTTAGTTTTCATAAAAGAAGTCTAAAGAGACTCAACCCTCAAAATGACTAGGATCAAATACAAACAATTAATAATATCAACCCAACACTTAATATAAAGTCAAATAGTTAACCAAATTTATTAAATCTAACAAGAGATAAAAATTTCTCATTTCATTTCGATTCATAATAACAACCAATATAATAAAACTCAATTAAAAAACAACTTTGTCTACTGGGGATATAGTAGAGATTACTATTCCCAAGAATCACTTTTAAAAAATAGAATTCTCTCGACATTGATGCAATTAATACTGTTTCATCTCCTGAGAAAAGTAAAAAAATGTTAAGAGCTTTATTAATGCCTTAAAAAAAAATGTAAAATATTGTATATTAAAACAATCATCGTTCAACAAAGTCATAAGGTAGAAGTTTTTTATAAAGTCGACCATAATTAAATTTATTGAATAGAATTTTCTCCTCTAAATCTTAACATGAACTATGATTTTTTTATATCAGAATTTTATATTAAATCCATTAATTAATTATAGATTTGAAAATATAATTATTTCATCATTAAAATGATTTAATTGTTTTTACCAAAATCATAGAAGATGAAATTAGATATTCTTCAAATTAATTAAAACTTTCTAAATATACTTTTCTTATTCAAACTTATATTATATGGTAAAATTTTACTCATTAATTCTTTAGAGAATATATTATCTAATTTTATAATATATTATGATCATTAGTTATCTTTAACTTTAAAGAAAAAATACTTATGAAATATTACTCAAATTCCACTATTCTATTATTTATAGAAATCAAAATAATTCTATTCCTTTATATAAGTAATTGATATCCTCATCAATTTAAGGTTTTATAGAAGATTATAATATCTTATTAAGACTTTAATATTGTAAAATCAAGAATAATACTCATATATTGCAATAATATTATATAAATTGGTATTTATTAATTTTAATTAATGTCTGAAATCTCATCATCGATTGTAAGTGGTGTTCAAAGTGAAGAAGAGGATAAAGAAGTTAATTAGAAGTATCTTAGTCAGAATAAGAAAGAGAAAATAAATGCATTTGCATAAGAGAAATGTAATATCAGTAATTAATCTTATAGAGAATTGGGGAAAAAATAAAGCTAAATATTATAAGGATGATGCAGAGTCAGAAGATTCAGATGCTGAATTGGAGGAAGAGATGGAAGCCAAAGCATTGTAATTATAAGCAGCAAAGAAGATTTAGGATGCTGATGTTTGGGATGTGAATATAGATTAAGAGCAATAAGAAATTGAATAGAAAATGAAGTAATTATCAAATGAATATAATTTGATTGGATTGCAATGTTTAAGTGAAGAAATTGGAATAGAACCTGAAATAATTGAGAAAATGGATGTTAAAGAATTAAATAATATTGTATTAAAAGGTTGGCCAGAATTGAAAGGAATCCTTAAGGAAATTAGTAATATTGGAAAAGAGATTAAAATATTAAAGAGGAATTGTAAGAAGGAAAAAGGAACAGAGATTAAAAAGTATTTAACTATAAGAGTTGAATTAATGTAAAGTTATTTTGGATTGTTATGGTTTTATTTACATTTGAGAGCAAGGACAAGATTAAGTTAACATCATCCTATTTTTAAAAAGATTAATGATATGAAAGAGTTAATAGAGGAGAGTAGTAATTATGAGAAATATGCTCAATTAATATAAATGAATATTGATTAGAAAGAAAAGTAGGAATCTGCAAAAAAGAATGAAGTAAAGAGAAAGAAGTAGACAAAAAAATAAGAAGAAGGATAAGATACTCTTAGTTTGAAGAGGAAGTTGAAGACTATTTATAATAATAATAATAGAGAAGATGTAGATGAAAAGAAGATTTCAAAAATTAAGAAGTTATTAGAAGATGTAGATAAAACTCATAAGAAAAATGAAAATAAAGAATAGGATAGTGAGGAATCAAGAATATCAGTAAATTCTGGTGACATGTTAGAGGCAATGAAAGATGTTGATGACAATTTAGAAGAGGGAGGAATGGATGAGATTTATGAAGAGAATTTAAAGAGGATTAAAGATAAGAAGAAATAGAAGAAAGAAGAGAAGAAAGTTGAAAGACTTGAGAATTTCTAAAAATTAAATAAAATATAAAAATTACATGAAGTAGGAGAGGATGATCCAAGGAAGATTACTTATGTTATGTTGAAGGTAATTATATTTTTAGATAATTATAGAATATTTCATTGATGAGGAGGAGAAGAGGTAATAGAATTAAGAATTCAAGAGTAAAACATAAGTTGAAGTATGAAAAAGCACTTTATAAATTGAAGAGTTAAAACAAATACATAAAGAAGTAAAAATAAGTATTTATTTAGTCCTGTAACTTCTAATTATGTAGGAGAGGGAGCAATTAAGTCTGGTATTGTAAAAGGTGTAAGATTGTAATGATTAATTTTGTGCATAGGAGAGTAACTAACTATTACAATTATAATATGTTAAAATTTTTTGATGAATAAAATGTGTTTTTTTCCCATTCTTATTCAAGATTTTGAGTCTGAATTAGCACGTTTAGATGATTATGAATCAGAGGGTGATCTTTTTCTACTGATGCTTCTCTTTTTGGGTTTTTCTTGTCTTTTTGGACTTCTACTTCTACTATGTCTATGTTTATTTCTGGAGGATCTATTTTTTCTTCTAGATCTTGAAGAAGAGTATGAAGAATAAGAACGAGAATCAGATCTCCTTCTATGTCGTCTAGAATTGATATAGATAATTAATCTACCTAGATCTGGAATTTGAATATCTTCTACTTCTATGAGGGGATCTGCCATTAGGACAATCTCTAGCCCTGTTAAGAATCATATAAAATTAATACCAATGACCACCTTTATTGCATTTGAAACATTAATCACCCTCAGAAGGTCCAGTTTTTCGACTTTTGCGTTTATCAACAATGTCAACTTTGAGTTTCTGACCATTATATGCCATTCCATTGGTCTCTTTAAGTGCCTCTTAAGCTTCAGCTTCGCTATTGAAAGTCTGATAAGATGGAAAGATTACAATGAAAGAATATGATCCTTTATATGCAACTTCTTTGACTGAAGCATATTTTCTAAAGATTTCCTTAACATCTCTTTCATCAGTCACTTTGTTACGACTGTATCCAGCAACGAATAGCTGATTAGGGACAATCTCACCCATTAATTAAATTTGTGAATATCAATATGAACGGGTGTGGATGTAAAGAATACAAAATAGTTAATAAATAATAATGAGTGTTTCACGATTACAATATCAGAAACCATAATTAACTCGTCAAGTCTCTGCTACTTCAAGAACGACTCCTAAAGATATCAATCCTGATAACACGATTATGTCATTCCTTAAATCAATGGATACTAAATAGGCTGCCATATTAAATAGATCAATACGTTAAGGAGAGAAATTTAATGTTAGAAATCAGATAACTTCTACTAACTAAACACAAAATAGTAGAATCCAATTATCGACTGTCGAGAGATAAATATTTAATAACCTCGAATTAAGGTATATTAGTAACAAGAACTTTCTAGAATTTAAAAGTTACCTCAAAAAGAATAAGAATATGTTAAATAACTTTTGGGGTAGATCGAAAATGGAGAACAAAAACATGAAGAACTAATCTAATATTTTAAAAATAACAAAACTAAAAGAATGCAATTAAGAATATTGTCTAATTATGGTAATAATACTTAAGTAGGATTAACAGGGATTGAATTGTTAAATCAATAATAAAAACTAATTAAAATAACATCTATCATTTCAGATGATGATTCAAATAATACTATTACTAATCTTATTAATGGACATAATTTGATAATAAATTAGGAATATATGTGGATAACTACTTTTAAATAATTCCCTATCATAATTACTCTTTTTTATATTGAAGATTCTGATATACTTACATATGTCAAAATTTGGAATTTTAATAAAAATAGAAAGGAATTAGATAAATGTGTATAAAACCTTGAGATTTTATAAAATGAATAAATTATTTGGTCAGGATAACTAAAAAGAGGAGTAGGCAATACATTTACTGAATATGCAGATATTTTAGAATTGAAAATTAATAATTAAATTAAAGAAATACCTTAACCATTTTATTAATCAATGTAATCAATGGTTTCTAAAAAATCAGATGATAACACGTAATATATAATATCATTATATAATAGTATAAATCAATCAAAAGCATCTAATTAATTTAAACATTAAAAACCAAAAGTTATGAAAAATCCTTTTGATGATGAAAAAAGAATCAAATAACCTGAACCATAAACTGTTAAATAATAGGTTAATTAGAAGAGATTATTTAAAAATCCTATGAATTTATTTCCATAAAAATAATTAACTGAGGAAGATTCAACAATATTATATGTAAAAAGAGGAGTTGCACATATAGCTGCTGGATAAACAAAATAAAGAATTAAAGGAATTACAATTCCTGATTGTCCTATAGGAAATTTATTAATATTTAAGTTAATATAAAATTGGGGAGATATGTTTTATATAGGATTAACTGGGATAGAGATATTTGATTATTTAGGAAATAAAGTATAAATAATGGAAGCAAGTGGTTTTTTTAAGAATCCATATGTTTTATTTGATGATAATTATCTAACTTAGGATGAGAAATGTATGTGTTTAGAAAGGGTTGAAAAGAATATGGAGATTAAATTGAAATTTAAGGAAACAAAGATAGCTATGATAAGGATTTGGAATTATAATAAAGGAAGAACACATAGAAATAAAGGAGTAAGAAGAATGGAAATATTGATTGGAATGGATTTATCTGATTAAGTAGATCCTATATTTTATGATGAGATTAAATAAGCTAATGCTACATGTAATAGTGATAATGCAGAATATATTATGTTTACAAATAATGAATAAATCTTAGATAAAATATCTTAAACTGATTGGTTAAATAGATTACATGAGAATTAGATCTAATAATAAAAATAGATATTAGAAAATACTATAAAATTTAGTAGACCAGATACTGCTACATTTAATAAACATAACTAATAAAAATAGAATAATGGTATTCTTATTAAATAACCATCTGATAAATTATTATAATAAAATTCTAAAAAACCATTTACATCTATTCTTAATACATTACCTACTGTAACTGTTAAAACATTAACTATATATATTTTAAAGAATTGGGGTGATAAATATGTTGGATTAGATAAGATAGAAATTCATGATAAATATGGATAATCATTAAAAATAAAAAAATATAAAGTGATTACTTATTAATCAGAAACAATAATGAATAATGATGAAAGATGGCAATTTCATAATGGTTAAATTAGAATATAATTTTCATTTCCATAATGTATTCAAATTAGTAGAATACTGATTTGGAATTATAATAAAGAAGATGAATTAGAAAAAGGTGTATAATTAATAAATATTGAAGGAGATGATCAAATATTGAATACTATATAAGGTATATTTTTAAGAAAAGGTCATGGATTAATTGATGCTAATGAACCATAAATAATTGATTTACCATATCAATAAAATATTAAAACTATTTTAGCTAATTATCAATTTGAAAAGAGTATATATTTAGATTATGAAACTGCTCAATTACCTTAAGGAACTAAGATTACTATAAAATTAATATCAACTTGGGGAGATTTACATTATATTGGATTGAATGGAATTGAATTATTTGATCCTAATGGTGATTTAATTATGCCTAAATTATATGCAAAACCATATTCAGTTAAAGAATTACCTGATATGGAAATGGATGTTAGAACACCAGATAAATTATTAAATAATTGTAATGTTACTTTAGATGCTAAATAAATTTGGTTAGCTCCTTTTGTTAATTCATATACAAATAGATTATAAACTAATATTAATTCAAGTGTTTTTGACTAAGTTAATTATTAAGTTAATAAATTGATATTGTTATTTGATTCACCTTAATAAGTTTCTGCTATATCTTTTTATAATTATAGTAAAACACCTGTTAGAGGAGTTAAAGAATGTGAAATTTCTATGGATGATTTTATTATTTATCAAGTAAAATTTACATTTAATTCCAGGGTTATTTAAATTTATCCACTCTAACATAAACTCCAAAAGGAATAATAGGGAATAATAAAACAACTGTTTTGTTTACAAGAGATGAAAGACTAATAGAATAAATTGGAACTGTGTAAATAAGAGATAGTATTATAGGATCTGAAACTACATTAATAAATGAAAATTAAGTATATACTTTTAATTAATAATTATTAGAGAGAAACCATTAATAGTATAAAGAACAAATAAGTGAGAAATTAATAATAAAAATTGTACAAAGAATTGGATAGACCAACAACAACTTAAGTTTACTGATTTTTGTTAATAGATTATTATTTAGTATATATTAATCAATATTAGCTTTATTCAGTTTATAATCTACTATTTATAGGTGGTAATAACAAATTCCCTGATCTTTTGTTAATATGATTATTATTATGATTATTAAATGTAAAATGATTAGGTGATAACTAAGGCAATTTACAATTACTAACTGATTTAATTGATGGTCTAGCAGTCTTTATTTATTATATTGAAGAAGATTTAGGTTTTTTATAATTGATAAATAAGGGACAACCTTCATTATCCAATTAAACTTGTAATATCTTACTATTTAATATATCTTCACATGATGGTCTCTGTCTAGGATCAATAGATAACATTTTGCTTAATAAATTTACCAAAGCCTTATTTTAATAAAATTCTTCTTAAATCTTATTCCAATCTAGATTACATTCTTTATTCTACTATTTCATAGCTTATGAATTCTATCCATTAAATAATGGTTTATTTGTTATTCTAAAATTTATTAATTTATTTACAATCTATATAAAATACATCCTAAACTAAAGATATCACATTTCTCATCATAAGTTAATGTTTTGTTATTTTCACAAAGAATTACTTCTGGAGCCATAAAACCTGGAGATCCACAATATTTTCCAACATCCATATCTTTCTTTATTTCTGAACTTACTCCAAAATCACTTACTACTATATTAGGATCAGTTTATGCAATCAATGAGAATTATTTTAATGCCATAGGTCTCTTAAGAAGTATATTACTTGGTTTTAAATCACGATGCATATATCCTCTTTCATGCATGTGTTTGATTGCTTCAACAATTTATCTAAATATAACTTTGACTGTCAAAAAAGGCAAAGGTTCTTCTAATTTCTTTAATCCTTATTCTAGTGTTCCTCCTCTTGCCAAATCCATCACAATATAGCATTATGCTCTATTTTCAAAATGATCATAACATTTTAATATACTAGTATGGTCTAAGGATTTCATAACTTTTATTTCATTATCAATAGATTCCTATATAAATTTTGAATAAAATACTCTCCATTTTTCAGGATCTTTCTATATAAGCATTTTTTTAAGGAAGGCTTTGATTGCTAATTTAATACCATCTGTTTTTCTTTTAGTTATATAAACAGAAGCAAAACTTCCACTTCCAATCAATTTTTCAAGTTCATAATAGGTTTAATAATCTAATTAAGGAATTTATGATTTTAATTTTAATTCCCAAGGTTCAGACTTATCTAGAAATAAATATTCTTTAAATTAACAATCATCTTTTTCTAATCTCAAAATAATGGAAGTAGATTCATGTTTAATTTAATATCTTAAAGTACTATTAAGTTTAGTCATTTTAAATGATTTTTAAGACTAGAGATAATAATATCTAGAACTACTTTTTTAAACAATAAATTTTAATAACACATGATTTCTATAGGATTATTTTTTTTGGATAGAAATTTGGATTATAATTAAAATCTAGGTATTATTTTGTGATCTATTTCTGCTGGTTCAAATATTTTATTTTACATTCTTTATAAATATATCTATTTATAATTAATTAAATATAAAATATCACAATTGAAATTATTTAGTTTCTAATCCTAATTTATTCATAATATCTGCATTCTAAATAAATATAGATTTTTGTTTTTCTATTGCTCCAGTAAAATCAGATCTTAATAAACTAAATTGATTAGTAATTTCTTCATTCATATTACCAACATCTTATTTATTTCTATATTATCTTCTATTTATTTTAAATTCATTTAAATTATATCTTAAATTCAAAATCAATTATTTGAATTGAAATTTAGTCAAATTCCCTTTTCTATTTTACTTATAATAAATAAATTTATACTTTAATGCAACTACTATTCTTAATGAATACAAAATTACCATTGAAGCTGATTTGGCCATTAATTCTCTAAGTTAAATTCTCTCTAAAACAGTTATTGCATGAGATTCCAAAGTTGAAGTTTCTAAAGAAGTAATCAATGTAACTACCATAATAGAAATAACAAAAATTCCAAGTACACATACAATAAATATTACAAATCTACCTAAATCAGTTCTAGTATAAAAATCACCATATCCAACTGTTGTTATAGATATAATAATATTCCATACAGCATTATCATATTTACCTAAATTATTATTATTAGGATCATTTCTAGTTAAGGGATTCTCACTAATTCTCACACCTTATGCAAATATACATATTAAAGATGTCAAAGCTATGAATTAAGCTGTATATGGAGATGTTCTCATTAATGATTTAGCCACAAACATATAATTACCTTCACATGCATATAAATTGCATACTCTCTAAGTTCTATTACTATACCAAAATGTTTAAGCCAAAAGACTTCTAAAAAGAAATACTGTTCTTGATAACATAAACAATTCTAGAATTTCATTTATATGATAATATGATTAAGTTTCTTAAAAATAAGTGGAAAAATACACTCTTATCCCTCTTAAGAATGGATATGGGATAATTAAATATATTGTTAATTCTATTAATAATGGTTACCATTAATCTGTTTACCATAATCTATCTTTATGATTTATCATATTCCTAGATTTCAACCAATTCATATGTTATTCATATCTTAAAACTGTAATACACAATAATATTATAGTAGATATTAAAATCATCCATAACAACCAAATTGATATCTTATTTTCTTCTTCAAATTCAAGATCATATTATAATACACTTAATACTAGTCCTATGGAATTGAATATGAAACATATTTATTCTATTATTAAGAACTTTCTAAATTACAACTTTGTTATCTTGCCTATAATATTTGATTTATTTACTTACCATCTTCTAATCCTCCTAATTATTATGAATAGGTTTTAAACATTTAACCTAAAGTGGCTAATCCTATTTCTGGTTTCTAAACTAATCTTTCCATCTCTAATTATCTCTTACTATTCTACTATTATTATTCAATTATATTACTTTACCACCTTATGAATCAATTCTTCCCTTCATTTTATTAAAATTTAATATTTTTCATTATCTCTAATTCTCAGTACTCAAAACTACAATGTCAAAGAAAGTACATGCAATCGATTCCCTTAGAACGAGATCTCTTATACCTCCTGATTATGAATAATTTGAAGAAAGTCAACATAATTAAGAAAATCTAGTTATCTCAAGTCAAAGAAGTTAGAACATTAAAGGCATACTGAAAAAATAAGGTAAGAACAATGTATCGAAGTTGAAACGTCTCCGCATTTCAACTAACTTTAATTAAGTATTTATTGTGGAAAATTGGAAACAATATAATTCTAATTATGAAGAACCAGCAGAATCCTGCTGTCAAACATTTTGATTCTGAATACAGATACATGAATATATATATTAATATTAGTTTAAATATACATTTCAATTTTTTGTATTTTTCATAATTATTTTCATATAAAATCATATATATTTGAATCTTCTAACTCTTTTATTGCATCATTCTTGCTAAATGATTTAAAATTAACAACTTATTCTAATTATTATATGAAATCATCATCAAAATCTAAATTTTAATTCTATTTTTAATTCAAAATAATACCTTCTAAATCAATTAACCAACTATATCTTATGTATCAGAAATATTATTAGCCAAAATTTTATAATTATAAGCTAAATTCTCATGCATTTTAATAACTTCAATGAACTTCATTTTCTGTTATGAATCACCATTATGCTTATCTTCTTATACTTTTTATAAACTATTAGGCATTATCATTTTATATGCTAATTATTGAGCAGTTTAACGTTTTTATTATTATTCAACTACAGATTCTTCTTTCTATTGATATTCTTAATTTGTTTTTTAAACTTAATCTAATTATTGATTCTCATAGACCTCATAACAAAATATCAATAACTCTATTGGTTATATACTAATCTTTTAGTAAATGCAACATAATCATACGTATTTTTGAATACTTTATCTGTACTGTTATTATTCAATTCATCTCTTATTCTATTACCAATAATAGGAATTGATGCATTATCCAAAAATTTAGAGACAACAGTTACCCAATCATCAAATTTAATTGGTTTGATATACGATTCTCTAGGATTAACGTAATTTGTATATATATATTTTCGAACTTTTAGATAGAATTTAAACATGGAAGGTGTTTTGTCCATCAATTTATTTGGATCCAATAATTAAGTAAAATAAGACAATTCAGGATCATTTATTTATTCTTTAAATGAATTAATGAACCCTGTCATAAAGGATTTTGATTTCTTTTTTGTTCTTTCCTTTTAAAAATGTATTATAAACATTTTACACAATAATTAATCAAGGCAATGATAAAGCTATCTTAATTGTAACCACGTACTTGAGCCATTAAATCAATTGTATTAAGGACATACTCAATTAAATTTTAAGGTTTTATTTGTATTTATTTCTATATGATTCATAATATATACATAGTTGGGATCATATAATTATAATGCTTCAATTGATTCCTCCCATATCTATACAGTTTCAAAATTATACTCTATTTTAAATCCCTTTTTCATAAAAATAAATAATTAAATGAATAATCCACTTGGACGCTCTACATAGAAACCTGAACAATAGACACAAAATAACTAAAAGAATAATAGAGCAAAAGAGTTTGAAAAATAATTATAAGAAGAAGAAAGAAGTAAAATCTAATGAATCATAATTATTAGTGTTAGCATAATCAGCAGGAATCATTAATAATAATACATAATAAACAAATATTCAATAATAATAACCTGCTTATTCATAATAATAATAACTTAATTAATAACCATAATCTGTATTTGGATAGATAGGTTAGATGTTAGATGCTCCAAGAGTAAATTAATTCAACAATATTAGAAATTATTTTTTAGAAACACTACAACTCAACAATAACCAATTTAATAAGGTTAAAGATAACCAACAGATTAGAATGAACCAGAAATAATCTAAACAAATATAGTATAGACCTATACAACTCGTGACATTAAAAGTATTGGATTGGAAATTGTATAACCTGGAGAAATAGCTTTATAAGAACTTAGAGGAATATGTTCTATTGGTACTTAATAATTTTAAGGAATAACTTTAGCAACAAATTATTAGGTAATTAAATTGATATTGAAATATAGATTATATTTTTACCTGATAAATTCCCAAAAGATTTTAGAAAGGATTATTTTTATATTCCATATACTTTAATGATTAAAGTAGATAAGACTATGGATAGGAAATAAAATGATGCTAATTTTATAGAGATATCATGTAAAGATGGTAGATGGTTTAAATATAGATTTTTGAAGGAATAGAATGATGATTGTAATAGCATATTTAATGTTATTAATAAGAATGCATTTACATTAAATAAATAAACTTTATTTGCATTTACATTTTATAAAGAATATTCAAATTTAGAAAATGATTATTAAGGATGGAAGATATTTAATATAGAAAAAGATTTTGAAAGAATGGGAATTAATATATTATAAGAGAATTCATAAAATTAAAATGGATTATTTAAATATTTAAATAATGAAAATGGAATCATTTGTTCAACTTATTATAATAGATTAGTTGTACCTGCAAAAGCAGATTTAGATTGTATATAAAAAACAGCCAAATTTAGATCTAAAGAAAGAATACCAATATTATCATATGCATTTCCAATTAATGGAAAAGTCATATCTATGTGGAGAAGTTCATAATGTAGAACTGGAATAGGATAGAATAGATCTACTGAAGATGAATGCTATTTAAAATATATGTCATTTTAAACTGTTGATGAACAAGAAAATCAATATGAAGATAAAGAAATTAGATTAAGAATTTATGATGCTAGACCTCATATTAATGCTATTGGATAATAAGTGGCAGGTAAAGGTTATGAAAATACTCTCTTTTATAGAAGATGTAGCATAGATTTTTTGGATATTCATAATATACATAAAGTAAGAGATTCATAAACAAAATTATTAAAAGCAGCATTTAAGTATATAATTTATAATAAATTTAAGTGAAAATGTATAATTTCTATCATAATTGGAATAATCATAATGGTATGATCACATTGTTGCTATCATTAAAGGATCTGCTAAAATAGCAATTACAATGACAAAAGAAAAAATTAATGTTTTGGTTCATTGTAGTGATGGATGGGATAGAACTGCTTAATTGACTGCCCTAGTATCTATTATGATTGATGGATAATATAGAACACTTGAAGGATTTATGATTCTTGTTTAAAAAGAATGGATTAATAGTGGACATTAATTTTGTTAAAGATCTGCTATTGGAAATAAATAAAATAATGAAGATTCTAGATCTCCTATTTTCTTATAATTCTTAGATTGTGTATTTTAAATGTAATAATTATATCCATTATCATTTGAATTTAATGAAAAACTATTATTAGATTTAGCTTATCATCATTTAACTTCATTATTTGGAACATTTTTATGTGATTCCTTTTTAGTATTATATTTTATTTATTTACTTTTTTTAGGAAATTCAAAAACAAAGAATTATGGAATAAACTGTATCTATTTGGTCTTGGATTATGAAATAAAAAGATAAATATATGAATGCTTTTTATAAAAATCCATAATCAATTGATTAAGATGTTATTATACCTGAATCATTTACAGGAAAATCAATAACATTTTGGAAAGGATATTTTCTATATTATTCTTTAGAATCAAATGATGCATATTAAATACATCCTTAATGTCAATATACATGGTATTATTCAAATTTAATAATTTTTAGTGATAATCTATAAGAAATGTATAAAGCATTATCAAAAGAAAATCATGTTTTAAGATAAGCATAGAAAGATTAAGAAAAGTTGGCTATTCTTCATCAATAAAAATTTAATTAACTTATGCAAATTATATAAGAAACATAAAATGAAGAAATTATTGAGAAACTTTAAACAATTAAACTTATTTGAGAAAGATTTTCATGTTTATAAAATAATCACATATTTTAATTATCTATATAAGATTTAAAAATTTAAAGATTTATAATTAATATTCCAAATTCTTACATAATATATATAATGATATATTAAAATATAATATCTTATTATTATTAATAAATTTAATGAATTTATTAAATTCAATAAAAATACAATAGTTATAAAAATCATGATTTATAGTGACTATGTAAATGTAAACAAATAAAAGCATCTAATGCTGCATAATGAATTTGAGCACTTCTTAATGGTCTTTTTTACCAATTTGATATTTATTCTACTTTATCTAGTTCTTTTCCCAATAACTTTTAACATTACAATGATAAATTAGTTTTCTTTTAATCTGGATATTTCTATCTAAATAACTGTGATAATTCTATAAAGTTTTTTAATTCAACATCCTATTTCCCAATCTAAACTAATAATTATAAAAAATCTAATTTTATATTTTATCCAATTTTTAAACCATCATTTGATGCATATTTTATTAAAAATTATTAATATTTGATACTTTTTGTAAGATTAGTTGTATTTAATAAATAAATCTTTTTAGGTAGAGCTATTTAAAATAAACAAACTTAATTTTTAGATGTAAATTTTGTTTAAGGTATATCTTAAAAGCTTTCTGTATCAATTCCAGTTTCAGGAGCATTTAAAATTTGATTTATGATTTCATCATTTAATGTATCTTCATCCTCAATCAAAAAAATATCTTCTCTAAAAATATTGAAATCACTTAAAAGTATTAATTAATCAATCTTTTTTGTTTGTAATATTATCTCAGATGGTACTACGAATATTGAAATAATTAATACAAAAATCATCATTTTGTAATAATGCATTTTGATTAACATAATTACAATTATCAATCCTTTCTTATATTTAAGGATTTTGAACTCGAATATTATTTCTTTTGGCTATTTCAATGGCTATTTATTAATTTGTTGTAAAATAATTCTCAATTAAAAATTATAATTTAGTATATTCTCCTAGAAATAATTCTTCCACTTTTTCAATTGGTATTTCTGCTCTCTATAGTATTAAAAAGATTTTCATACAAAAATAAAAAATTTTAAAGATTCACTATTCAAATGATTTAATACCTTCTAATTGTCTGTTGCAACTAAATGCTACTCTTTTATAATTTTATATTATAATTTCATATCATTAGTACACATTTCATCCACTAATTCCTAATATAATATTTTAATATTTACTTAATATGATATAGTTTCATATTAAAATGCATTCATAAATTTATATGCTATGAAATACTTTTTATTTTTAATTAAATCTTCAATATATTCACAAATCTTATTTTATAATAATAATTCCTTCAATCTAGCTTCTTCTATCAATTTACAATTAAAAACATTTGAATGTATAATATTACTCAAAATCTTTACTCTTTTATCTAAAAATATTTGAAATTCTTTTATATTTTTTTTTTCCATTATCATGTTATATACTTTATTTGAATGTGTAATTTGATAAAAATAAGGATTCTTTGAAAGTCTACGATAAATTGAATAAGCAAATCTGGAGATTCCTATCATAAACACTCAAAAATATTCTACTGCAAATAATTTATTTTATTATCCTGTAAATAATTGTATTTAAAGATCGAAGCTAAATACAAAGGTTTTTGAAACCAGTCTTTGCAATAAGAAACTATTTGTTCTAGATAAGAATTTTATTGTAATTGTCCTGATCATTGCATCTGCCTATATTCAAATTCATAAATATTGAACTAACAATATTCTACTTCATAATTTATTAAATAAAAATTTCTTTTTAAATTTCACTTAATATTCCTTTTACAAACAATTCATTTCGAATTTCTTATATATGAAGATCTAATATATAGTAATTTTATAGTTCAACTATCAATTTTATAGTAATTGATAGATAATTTGTAATTTAGAATATATAATTCCTTTGATAAGATCTAAGTCAGTTAATTTATTTACAATTATGGAGAAGTGCATATAACTCTAAGATGTAATAGTAGGATTATGGATATTAAGATTTATGTCTTTAGACTAAATAGAGTATGAATATTATAAAAAGATGAAAATTATTGTAGTATTTTAGAAATAAGTATAAATTCTTTTATTTTATTAAGTAATTCTAGGATTGATTTGATATTCTTATAAATAAAATAGAAGAAAAGAACAAGCACTAAATTTAATATATGACTCTGTTGATGAAAAATAATACAAATGGATTTAAAAATTATCTATTTTTATTGAATCGACTAAATAATAATAAAGCAGGGTTGTAATAATAGATAATTATATTTGATCCTATTAAATTCAAAATTAAATTTTTCGTAAAAATATAAAATCAAATTTTTATTGATAATAATATAAGTTATAATTTTATTAATTTGATTCTTTTTTGATGGAATCATATCAATAATATAAAAAATAAAATTTAATACAATATCTTTTAGATATCTATATGCAATATTTTTTCTTTATAAGATTATTTTTATTTATATTTTATATTTCATATCTTTTTAAGAATTTACAATTCTATTATTGATTATATTCGGTTTATTTACAATTATTATTCTTACTATTATGTTTATTTAAATTAAAAATTCTTTGAAACTTTTAATGAATAAATTTATATTTTTATTTTGATTTGAAAAAATGTATATTTATCTTAAAATAGATTTAAGTATATTAAAGTTTTGTTTTAATATTTCTAACTCATAATAATAATAAAGTTTTGATAATTCTAAAAGTATTTTATTATTTATGTATAATTTAATAATGAATAACTGTTAAAAAGCAAAATAAGATATTAAGCATTTTTTATATAATTACAATATAATTATACAATCTTAAGGCATATTCAATTTAAGCATTTTGTTATTACATTTTACAATTTGGTTACCATGTTCATCATAATTTTTGATAGATCTGGATCAAGCGGGGAATTTTTCCATATTTCATCAGTGACCATATCTACTTTTTTTTCATTCAAATGAATAAATTCTCTAGAAAATATTGAATTGAATAGGGTTACGTTCCTAAAACTTCATCCCATCTATATCTTAAATCTCTATAGTATCTATTTTTTAAAATATTCAATGGTCTTCCTGACATCTTTCTTTATATTAATTTAAATTTGGGCCCATACTTTAATATGAATCCTAAAAGTTTTTGGTCCTCTTAGATAGTGAAATTCCTAGATTTTCTTCCTTATCGTTTTTTTTTTTAATTCTTCATGTTACTTTTTCTCTGCAATGATCTATAATCTTCTTGATTTATGGTCATATTTTAATGGTTATTGTATTGTATAGATGGTTCCACAATTGAAGAGTATGATTGTTGGTCTTTTGATTGTTCATTTAGAGTTGCTATTGAATTTTAGTTTTTCATTTGGCTTTTAAATATATTTTTAATACAAAATATCAGGTCATTTTAATCGTATTAAAATACTTCTTTAGATGAATTATATTCAAAAGTAATTTAAAACTTCTTATTTATAGTATTTTTAATTGTTTGACAAACCTAAATTTACAGCTTTGCACAATTAATTTTAATGTGCTGAAGATTATTAAAACAATTATAAATATAGATTTAGATGTAAAAATCCATACGCATATGCCATTAGAATAAAATTTGATTATTGTTTAACTTAATAATTATTAAAGTTTTATTTGAATAGGTTTATATATTTTATAATATTAAGATTATTGCCATAATTTTGATTAACTTTGATATAATATTATTAAATCTAAAATGATTTTTTAACTAAATTGATCTTAAATATAAACTTTTATTACAAATATATTTTTAATATATTTTATATTTATTGATATATAAATATTAATGTTTATTATAAGAAAATGATTAAATCTGCTAATATTTCATAAATCAAATATTATATACAACTATATTTAATAGTATACATATATCTTCTTCCATTCAAAATTTATATTATTTTATGATCAATATCAATTTAAAGTTCCTAGACCAAAAGAGGACATAAAATTTATGTACTCATTTTGATATAGGCCAAAAACATAAATTAAGTCATATTTATCTTTAAGATCTTTAAATTATATGAGTTTAGTAATAAATTAACTTTAATATAACATCTTTCCATAAAACATTATTGACTTTTAAATATAAGAAAAGATGAATTATTTAAATGTATTAAGAGTATACTCGATTAACTATTCATGTAATAATCCATCTTAGTTCATTAGAAGTATGAAAATGATTATTTTTTGAGTTATGTATAAAATTTAATCTGGTCAGAATAGATCAGAATGATGTATTATAACATAACTTTAGAATTAATAATTTATATAATTAAAATATGTCAATTAAGGACGACACAAAGATACTTTAATAATTTTTAAAGGAACTTCCTCAAGATATTGTTGTAAAACACATAAAGACAGTCAAAGCAGGATCCAAGATAGAAAAGTAAATATAAATATATATTTTAGTGTTAAAAGCACAAGAGTATTTAGAAGTACAAAATAATTAAGTGCTTTAAATGCATAACTTCATAATACATTGAAACAATAATCTAATTCATTGGGAGAAGAGGTAATTTAAGATGTAAAGGATGAAATAAATACATTAATATAAACATTGACACCTAAATATTAAGTTGGTGACAAACTTCAATAAATACAAGGAATAGAAAAAATTAATTTTGGGGAAGATAATAGTGTAACAACCGCATAGACAACATTTTAAGTAGAAGATGGTATTGTTTATTTAATTGATATATGGGTAATAATTATATATAATTATTTATTTAGGCTACATGGTGTGGTCCATGTTAAGGTCCTATGGAACATAATTAAAAGATGTTAGAAAAGAATGCAGATTGGTAGAATAAGGTAAAGATTGTAGCTATTTCTGTTGATGATGATACTGAATCAGTAACAGAAAGAGTCAATTCAAAAAAATGGAAATCTATAGAACATTATAGATTTGAAAAGGGTTGGGATGATGAAAATGATATTATTAAATATCTCTAACTTAGAGGAATTCCATTTGTTTTATTAATAAATAAATGGGGAAAAATTGTTTATTTAGGACATCCTTCAAAAGGTAATTTGGAAGAAAGAATAAATAAAGAAATAGCACTTGAAAAAGAAGAAGAATAAGTAGTTAATCAAGAAAATCAAGCAGCAAATAATAATAATTAATAAGAATTATTGACAAAAGAATAATACCAATAATTAAAATAAAAAATTAAAGAATTATAAACTGCTATTTAAGATGCTAAATTTGAAGGAATAGTAGAACTTTAAATACAGAAAGAAAATTATTGGAATCAAGATGGATCTAAATAAGTTAAATAGAGATCTAAATTATAACTTAGTTATGATATTAATGTTGCAGAAGAAGAAAAAATTAATACATTCTTATAAAATCATTGGAATTAAATTTCAGATGATTTGAAAGTTGTAAAAGAATCTAAAATTAGAGATCCTTAAAGATAAGTTAAAGAAATCAAAGCTAAATTTTAATCATATTTTGAAAGTAAAGGTATTACAATTTAATTCCCATCCTCATAAATAACAAATTTAAGTTTGAGTCAAGAAAATTAAGAAATATCAGCTAAAGAAAAATAGAGCATCTCAATTAAATGTGAAAATTTGACTTTAGATGCTTATAAAACTGGATTAGAAGATTTAAGAGAATATACTGAATAATTTGAAGAGGAAGAAAATGAAGAAATTAGAGAAACTATTGATTTAATTATTGAAGGATTGAAATCAAATGTTACTCTTGGTGAGGGTAAATAATTTGTTACAATTGAGAATTATAAAAAATGGGGATCAGAAGAATATACTAAAATAGAACATACTTAAGGTCAAGTCTTAGTTGTTGATTATTGGGCTAAATGGTGTGGTCCATGTGTTAGAGAAATATCTAATAACACTGAACTTATCAAATAAAATTCAGATAAATGGGGTAATGCAGTTAGATTTGTTTCTTTGAGTTTAGTATTAGCAGATGAAGCTAAAGAATTCATGGATTCTCATTAAGAAAGTTAAAAATATATTGAGTTTTATTTCCCTAAAGAATAAAGATAAAAGGATGCTACATTATATGGAGTTCAATATATTCCTCATTATATTATAGTAGATAAATTTGGAACAATTAGAAAAGTAGCTTAAATTAATGACATGAAAACAATTGTCAATGATTTGATTAATGAAGAAGCTCCAAAGAAAACTGTCGAATAAGCTGAACCAGTATTATTTAATTAAGAATCTATCAATAAAATCAAAGGAATTCTTTTAAGTGAAGAAACTAAAACTTTAATAAAATCAATTGATAAATAAAAAGTTATCACATTTGATCTTAAAATAGATTCAAAATAAGTAGGAGAATAATATTAATTTGAAAATGCTGAGCTCACTTATTTTATTAGAGACACTCAAGTTGATAGTCTTAAAGAAATTTTGCAGAAACTTTATTAAGTCATTCCAGAAACTAATTGGAAAATTAATAAAACAGTATCAAAGACTGTTTCAATTAAATATCCTGGAACTGTTTGTGTGTTATGTTAAAAAGATATTTCAAAGGATGCTTAATAATATTATAGCTACTTTAAAGATGAACATGTTTGTACAGAATGTGCAGAATTTGATGATGAAACTAAATAAGGAATGGAAAGATATAAATATCATGATACATTAATATTTATTAATGGTCCATTATAAGATTTATCTGTGTTAACAAATATAGATGATCATAAATTAGGAAAGAATTTAAAGTTGAAAGAAGGTGATAAAGCCGATTAAAATCATCCTATGATGTGTAATGGATGTGGTGGAGGATCCAAAGGTCCAAGATACATTGCTATTAATGCTAGACCTGGAAGATATAGAGGAGGAGTATATATTTATTTTATTCATTTAGGGTTATATTGATTATTGTTGTAAATGTTTTGCAGAATTGAAGAATAAGGAATCTGATAAAGCAAAAGAAATCATCGCAAAAGATGCAGCAGATGGAATGTCTTCAGATAGTTTATTCACAAGAGTTCTATTTAATTATGGAGGTTACACAGCATTTTGATTGATTAACCAATAAACATAATATTAGGAAATCATCATTCAATCCAATAGTTTATTTTCTTACTTTATTACTACTACTATTTACAACTTAAAAAATAGTTAATCCTGGTTTAATTTACAACTAATTTTATTATATCTCCAATAAACAAATTCCTATATCCCTACTTTTATTGTCTTTTAATAATTTATCTATTTCAAAATTCCTTATTTACATTTTGGATTAATAGTTATTATATATACTCTCAAATTCAATTTAAATAATAATAAACTGATATAATATTTAGATAGCAATAATATACTTACTATATTATCATTTAAATAAATTATTTAGATTCAATATAAGATAATTCCAAATCTATATCAACTATATATACTGTAATCTATTTTGTATTATTATTATCTAACCTTATTGAATTAATACAATATTTTGTAATTAATAAACATTTAAATCTAAAAAGTCATTTTTATTATTAGATTAATTTATATTATTACCTGTTACAGCTAATGTAAAAGAAAGTATATAAATTTTAAAGTCAATAAGAAATAATTTCACTTTAAAATCATTTGAACTTCTTTAGATATCAAAAATTTAAATATTAATAAAAGGATTCCAATTCTTATATAGATGAATTAAATATTAATAATTTACATTAATAATAATTATAAACTAATTTATTTATAGTCTTTAATCATTTATGAAAATCAAATTTAAAACTTAATGACTATTCTAAAAGGGAATAATATTTACTTTGGTATTACCTTCAATAAAATAGCATTAAGTTTTAATTGACTTATCTTAATAGAGATTCAATCAAGTAACAATAAAATAACTCTTATTATTTAATATAAATTTTTCAAATTTTCATCATAATAATTCAAATTGTATATTTTATAAAAAATGTCAGGTATCAATATAAACATCAATCTGAATCTAGAGAAGAATAAGTAGAGTTATATTTATAAACTAGAGAGTTGCCAAAAGCAAAGGTGAAAAACATTGTGATGAGGAACCAAAGAAAAAGAAAAAGAAATAAGGGAAATCAAAATAAAGTAATTAATCACCACTTCCTTGGGGATTGAATCAAGAAAGACTTAAGAATTATATCTTTGCCTAATTAGAAAAGAGAGACAACCTATTGTATCAATAATAGATGAGAAAAGGTAAAGTAGAAGAACCAAAGTAAGATCGTAGAGAGATTTTAGGAGTCTCGTTTTTGAATCATCTTCCAAAAAGAAAAATAAAATAGATGATAAATAGTAAATATTTATTTTGATATTGTTTAGAATAGAAGGTAAATGAAAATGAAGAATAAATACAATATTAGCCAAAATTTAATGAATAATAATTACATGAAATTAGAATGTATAAAGAATGGAAGAGAAGATAAATTTAATTTGATTTGCAATTCAAAAAACAACAAGAATAATAAAGATAAACTAAAATATAATAAAACTTATAGAATTTAAACGAATATATTAAATGTAAATAAAATATTATAATTTACAATAGATAGAAATCATACTACATCTGTACATTAAAAAAAGTCAGTGTCTTTTCATAAAAAAAAAAGAACAAAATCATCAATGGCAGAAAAGAAAAGAGAATTGATTATTAAATATTAAAATTTAGCCAATCGATATGCTTAAATTAATGGAGAACCTAAAGATAATTAAAGTTGTTTTGGTTTAGTATTGGATAGTGATCAAGAAGGTATATCTTAAATGGATTCAATACATAAAAGTACAAGAAGATAGAATGTTATATCTGAACCAACTTTAGATGAAGATGAAGAATAATAAATACAAGAATTGGGAAATCTTGAAAAAGAAATGGCATAAATTGTTAAGGCTGCAATAATTATTTAAAAGATCTGGAGAGGTTATAAAACAAGATAAATATTATAATATTATAAGAATTATGTAGAAGATGATGATGATGATGAAATTAAATTAGATTAATTAANATGACTATTCTAAAAGGGAATAATATTTACTTTGGTATTACCTTCAATAAAATAGCATTAAGTTTTAATTGACTTATCTTAATAGAGATTCAATCAAGTAACAATAAAATAACTCTTATTATTTAATATAAATTTTTCAAATTTTCATCATAATAATTCAAATTGTATATTTTATAAAAAATGTCAGGTATCAATATAAACATCAATCTGAATCTAGAGAAGAATAAGTAGAGTTATATTTATAAACTAGAGAGTTGCCAAAAGCAAAGGTGAAAAACATTGTGATGAGGAACCAAAGAAAAAGAAAAAGAAATAAGGGAAATCAAAATAAAGTAATTAATCACCACTTCCTTGGGGATTGAATCAAGAAAGACTTAAGAATTATATCTTTGCCTAATTAGAAAAGAGAGACAACCTATTGTATCAATAATAGATGAGAAAAGGTAAAGTAGAAGAACCAAAGTAAGATCGTAGAGAGATTTTAGGAGTCTCGTTTTTGAATCATCTTCCAAAAAGAAAAATAAAATAGATGATAAATAGTAAATATTTATTTTGATATTGTTTAGAATAGAAGGTAAATGAAAATGAAGAATAAATACAATATTAGCCAAAATTTAATGAATAATAATTACATGAAATTAGAATGTATAAAGAATGGAAGAGAAGATAAATTTAATTTGATTTGCAATTCAAAAAACAACAAGAATAATAAAGATAAACTAAAATATAATAAAACTTATAGAATTTAAACGAATATATTAAATGTAAATAAAATATTATAATTTACAATAGATAGAAATCATACTACATCTGTACATTAAAAAAAGTCAGTGTCTTTTCATAAAAAAAAAAGAACAAAATCATCAATGGCAGAAAAGAAAAGAGAATTGATTATTAAATATTAAAATTTAGCCAATCGATATGCTTAAATTAATGGAGAACCTAAAGATAATTAAAGTTGTTTTGGTTTAGTATTGGATAGTGATCAAGAAGGTATATCTTAAATGGATTCAATACATAAAAGTACAAGAAGATAGAATGTTATATCTGAACCAACTTTAGATGAAGATGAAGAATAATAAATACAAGAATTGGGAAATCTTGAAAAAGAAATGGCATAAATTGTTAAGGCTGCAATAATTATTTAAAAGATCTGGAGAGGTTATAAAACAAGATAAATATTATAATATTATAAGAATTATGTAGAAGATGATGATGATGATGAAATTAAATTAGATTAATTAATTCCAAATTTAAGTTAAAGATAAGATTAATTGGAACCAATTTGTTAATCAGTTTAAATAGGTAAAGAATAGAGTGGATTAAAATCATCTTAAAAGAAGATTGATAAAAATGGATTTAATACTTTTATTGATTAATTAGATTGGGATGATGAAAATGAAGATTAATTCAATTCTTAAAAGGTATCATCTATTAAAAAGTTATCTTAATAAAAATCACTTCATAAAATTATAATTTAAAAATAAAAATAATAATGGCATTAAATGTTAGAACATATTTCATAATTATAAAGAAAAGGATCTAAATAAAATATAAAAGAAGTTTTATAAGATTTGAAAGCTTTTACTTTATAATTAACATAAGAAATAGATGGAGAAATTAATGAAGATAATTTAGACAAATAAGATTAATAATAATCTGTAGAAATGAGTGAAATTAGATAAGTTATGGGATCAGAAAATCTAGTTAAATTATCATAGACTTCATCTCCTGCTAACAAAGATGGTTCTTTATTTGAATAAAATCCATTTTATGATTTTACATCTAAAAAATTTAAAGAACTTCTTAATAGAGAATATATGAATAAATTAATATAAATGAGAGAAACTGCAATTGAAGAAAGACATAAAAATGAAATGAAAAATATTCATGAAGCATTATAATAAAAATAAATTAGTCCAAAAACATTTGAAAAATAAAAATATAAAATTGAAAAATGGGTTACTAAAGAAAAAGAAGATTTTAAATAATAAAAATCAAATATTGAAAATGGATGGAAAGGATTATATGAAACATTTATGAGAACATAAAAGGATTTATTATTTATGTCTAAATTGAAAAATTAATAATTAACATCTTCCTTTTCAAGTGAAAATGTTAGTAATTTAAGATTAATTAGAGAAATTAATTCAGGATCTCAATCTAAAATAGTTAAAACTAATAATTTTGATACTGTTACTATGAATTTTAGTTCATCTATTTGTGAATCATAAGATATTAGAAAAGTACCTAAAACTTCTCCATCACCTTCTCCACGTCAATAATAATAATAATAATAATATAATTAATAATAAATATATGAAAATTTAGAATGGGATGATGAAATGTTGTATACTAGTGATAATTTAGATTGTGGCAAAATTTAATAATCTTAAGTTATTAAAGTATCTACACTTATAAATAAAGAACCTGAATATAGTGATTCATAAATTTAATCATATTCCATTTTAATTGCTAATTCAATTATTGGAAATGAAATCTAAGATATGTATGAAGAATTAAAATTAAATAATAAAGATATCACTACATTAATTAAGTTTCAATAATACAAAGGAATCAAAACAAATATTTAATAAGTTAAAGTCTATTTAGCAAAATTAGAATCATTTTTATTATAATCAGATAAGAAAGCAGCATTAATTTAAAGAATAAATACTCCTTTGGGCCCAACTCCAAAGGAAATCTTGAAATTTTTCCATTATTATGATGAAGAGGATGATTATTAATCTAGTGAACATGATGATATCTCTAATCAACCTATTTTATAAACAGAATAATATGCATAATTAGAGAATTAACTTATGGAAGAAGAACAAATTTCTTCTGAAGATGGATTTTTATTAGAATTAGAACATATTCATAATAAAGTGTTATATGATGCATTAAATGAAGCTTTGGATTACTTTAGACCTTTTGGATTAAATGGATATCCTCTTCCTTGGATTAAATAACCATTAGAATTAATATAAAGGTATATATTATATATACTATTATAAATAGAAATAAGAAATAAGAATCTATTTAAGAGATATTTTAAGGAGCAATAAAATAAGTTACTGATTGGGCATCATTCTTAGTAGGTTTAATAATTGATAAACCAGATTCTCCATTTCCTAAAATTCTGATGCTAGATTAAGAATATTTAAATTAGATTAAAGAAGAGAGGATGATAAGAATGCTTAATTAAGAAGTATTATAATTAATAATAATAATTAATAGATTTATTAAAATGAAGAGAGATGGTTGATATATGATGAAGAATAATCTGAAATTCTAGTAGAAATTTCATTAATGGTTTAAGATTAGTTAATTGATGAATGTTTAAAAGAGCTAATATAGTTTTCATGATTATTAAATTAATAAATCAAAATTTTTCATAAATCTATTTTTTTTTAATGAATTATATATAATTTTATTCATTAAATCTACTTCATAGATATCTTCAAATTAAATAATCAATTAATCTATATATTATTTAATATATATTTTTTAAATAATATTAATAATTTGATCAAAATTACTATCGGATCTACTGTTACTTCTATACAAGAGTATATTGATTCTCAACTCTTTATTAATCTTAATTAAATTATTCTTCATCCTCAACTTTTAATATCTCTATATTGTAATAAAAAAGAACTCCTAATATTATGAAATAAGCAGTTATTGAAAACCAAGTTAATCCAGTGATTTAAATTTTATATTCATCAATAATCTAAGGTGTAATATCCCAAATTTCTAGACTTGAATTTTAAAATCCAATTCTATTATTTTATTTATCATATATTGTTATATAATTAAATAGAAATGGATCTCCAAAGATCATGCAATCTAATAAATCACCTAATTGTTTAAGAGATCTAAGAGATATTTAACAATAATCATTATATTCACTTACTTATAATATATAGCTTTTATAAGAGATTGTAAACTTTTTATCATTTGAATTAATAATAATATCTGGTAAATATTATTCTTCATATTCATTAGGATGGCAAGGACATTATACAATCATTAAGGTCTTTTTGCATACATTAAGCAATGAATTCAAAATTGCATTATATACTTCATCTGTTAGAAACAAACTAGGACTACCACTATCTAAAACAGCACACTTATAGTTATATAAATTAATCACTTCATCTCTAATTTAAACTGAATTCACTGTAATTTCCTAAGTATTTCAATATTAATTTACCCAATACTTGTTACTAATTGAATTGATCCAAAATGTTCCATTATATATTTTTTATTATGAAATATTATAGTAAATTCTTGATTGATATGGCTCCTAATTTAATTATAAAACAAATATTGAATTATTTATAAGGCCTTGTTGATAAGCAATATCAAATATATTGTAAACAGATATTTCATTATTTAATCCCATCAATCCTTAAATTATATCATAATCGAAATGCTCCTAATTTTAGACTAATAAGAATGGCATAAACGAATGAATATTTGATCCTAACAATCCAACATAATCTTCTACTATCAAACCAGAGACTGATGATGAAGGATACTGAATTTGATATTATTTTATACTTAAAGTATTAGAGGTCTTTTAGTTTATATTAGTGTTTCTGAATCATCAGGAGAAAACTTAATTGTCTATTTACAATTATCACATTTAACAGAAGGCACCCACGTAATATCAGATCCAGTATCATACTCTAGTGCAAATAATTAAGGTGGAGTTCCTATTTCAACAAATCCATAAAATATAAAGTCATCGTAATTTGATACATTAGTAACCTCTAGATTTTATTTTCTGAATAAACTTATTGATACTCCATATGCAGAGTAAAAGATTAAAAAATTAAATATCATTATTATTGAATATTCATATTTAATATATTTTGATTATTTTATATATATATATATATAGATATTTGATTTAAGGATAGATTAGATATATTTAATATATAATATGATTTTTATCAATAATATATGAAGAATTAAAAATAACATAAAATAATAATGAAGTCTTTAGTTTAGAATTAAAAAATTAAATAATGATCTAAATTTGAGATTATACAATGCATTTTATCTTCAAAATTACATTAAATCATTCTATTATTATTAAACAGGTTAACTTTATTATAATGGTTAAACAATTTAAATAGGTTGAGTTTCTTATGGTTTTACAACACGCTCAGCTCTTACATGAATATGCTTATTCACTATTGGTAAAGGAGTAGCATTAGATTTAATATCAAGCCAAAAGTTTTCTTTTTAATGTTGATATAAAAATTTAAAGTCAAATTATCCCTTGATTGGGAATGTCTTAAGAATATCTGTGTATGTGATATCTTTGATATTTAATTGAATTCTAATAATATTTAACCATACTCAATACGTATAAGCATTAGGCTATTCTGGATCATCCAAATCTTATGGGATATGATAATGAATCATAGTGTAATTTTTATTGGACATTCTTTATATAAAATATTAATAATTTGCTGAAAAGTGTTTAATTTTTAGTAAATATCATAAGAAGATTATATATTATTAATGATTATATAGAAATTAGATTATAGTTAAATAAACATAGATTAGAATGTTTATTTAATAGAAATTGTATTTTTTATTAAAGAATAAGTATTTGGAACTTGCAGTAGCAATGAAAAAAAAAGAATTTATATTCATTTAAATTTTGTAAAGAGTTCTCTTGGTGCAAGTGTTAATTTTGGAGGTTCCTTATTTATGTTAAATTTATCTGCATATTTATTTAATAGTTCCTAATCAGGATTACCAAAGCGATTAATTGCATCCTCCTTCATACGTCCGTATTTCAATTCTATCTTAGTTTTTCTAAGATCATCCTCATTTTGAAAGAATTCATTTGATGTAATATGAGGCTAGCATAATAGTCAATTGCTTTACTTACTCTATTAATTTTACGTTGATTAAAATCCTTGCTCATAGTTAAATTTTAGACAGGGGATCTTTCAAGTAGTTTTTTGTTATTTATTTTCTTATCTGTTTTAATACGAAAATTATTATTTTATAGAATTGGAGCTTTAAGTGCCTATTATTCAGGTTATTCATTATCCCAATCATCTTCATTAATCTCTAACACTTTGAAGTTACCACCTCTGAAATATTATTATAAAGTGATTCCATTAATTCTTTGAGCTTGACTAGACTCCTATCTTTAATGACTCTATGACACTAATCTTCGCTTTTCCATCCTTGAGCACTTCGATGTTTCTGGACGTATACCTTATTCTTCCATTTTTTAATTAATATTATTATATTATCATTCATGATATGCACATCTTTTTTCACTTTTTAAACTTTTTCATACACAATCCTACCCTTATTGTCTATATTAATATTAAAAAATATATTAATAAAACACTCCTTATCTTCTCAAAAGAATACTTATAGACTGACAGTTGTTAATTACATATCAAAATTAGACACAAATTATATATATATACTTTATTGCAAGATACTACATCTTATTATTATTAAAGATATAATTTATTTCTGTCAAAATATCTAAATATTATATGCATTTCTCATATCATATTTATATTCAAACTATTCTCTTAAAATAGTGATCAATAATTAGTTAATTAATTAAATTTACAATTTAAATTGAAACAATAATAAAAGTATAAGAAATATTAATTATAAATCTAATTATAAAAATATAGAAATTAATTATCAACTTTACTAAAATGTGCTTAAACCTTTAAAATGAGTCTAACGATTAGAATCAACTTCCATATGAACTTCATTTTCTCTAGATTTATTTTCATATCTCTTTTCTGTAATTTATGTTTCATCACTTATTTAATCTATTAAATAAAGTTAATCCATATTTTCTTTATTGAATTCACTCTAAGCTTTTTAATGCTATTATTGATTGATCTTTTTACCTTTCCTTCCTCATCAATTATTAGATTACAAGATATTTATGGTTAATGTTTACTTGGTACTTTTATACTTTTTTTAAAAGCACATTAATTTAAAACTTTAATTCTTACAGAAAAATTCAAAAATTCCTCTATTTATATAGTATTCAATCGTATTTTTAAATCAATATCTGAACAATATTTTTCAACTATTGTTTGTGATTTCAAAAACTCAATATATATTTCATATAAAGATAAGCAATCCAAATTGGAAATTATTGCATACTAATTAATTAAGTATTCAATCTCTTATCTAATAAAGATTAAAAATTATATCATATTTTAATATATAAAATCTTAGTAGAGTTTAAACTATTTATTTGAATATTCTAATAATTTAAGTCCCGTTTACATAATATTTTAAATTTTATAAATCCATACAATTTTTCCCTTCATATCCTCATTTTCTTCAAAAGGATACTGGAGATTTTTAATTGATTTGTAAACCAATAAATTAATTGATAATTTTTACAAATATGAGTAATAAATGACACAAAATAATTTTGATTTTTTTTAATCCTCTTCTTCTACTTAATGTTTGATTACGTGATTTTAAATATCATATGATGATTATCTTATTTCTGTAATTAATTCAATTTTATTATGGATATTGTTTTACTTTATTATAAATTATTAATGAGTTAATAATCCTGAAGTATTTATCTCATTTACAATTTATTTAAAACTCTCTTTGTTTTCTTTCAATAATTTTTATAGCCAATATATTGCAGGCTCTCTTAATTAATTAGCTATTGACTCTTCCTCAATATTAGAATGGATAACAAATAATATATTCAACAAATTTTCAGTTTTAGGTTCAACAAATTTTACATATTGTTTTTATCTTAATATATTAAAAACTTCTTTGGTATGTTTCTTCATGAGAGATCCAAAGTATTGACAAGCAAAATCAAAGTCTTATTAAGATTTAGGTTACAATAATAATGTTAATGACTCAATTAGATCAGATTTAGATATAGTTTACTTTGAATATAGTAACGACATTTAATAATTAAAATATTATCAGTTATCATCATCATCACTACTACTAACTAATTATGACGCAGCTCCTTCATCTTCATCAGGTATCTAATTTAATAATTTATATACAATAAGATGTCTATTCAATTAATTTAAAATTGGTATTATTTTATATACTTCTTTTTGCCAAGCATACCTTAGATAAAATAAAATAATAATAAATACAATTATTAGAAGATTTATTTTTCATCTTCCCCATTGAGTTTTGGAAATACTGTTTAACTTAATGGAAAATCTGTCAATTTATATTCCTATTTTATCCAATTAATAATTACATGAATATCAACATCATAAACTGATTGTGCTGCCATCATTTACTCATACATACCAAACTTTACTTTATTCAAAGTAGATTAAACTTATTGTAATTTTTCTTCTATTTATTTAGCAATCTAAGTTCCTTCTTCTTATTCAATATTTCTCATTGATGGAATACTTCTACCCTTATTATCTTAAATAGGAATTTCTTATTTTTTAGTATTAGAACCTTATTATTTTTACTTTTGATCATTTTATCCAATATGTTATATGTTTTTATTTTATTATTGATTCTCATTTTGATTATTAATTTATTGATTTTAAGTGGTTTATGTATTTTATAAATTTTATGAGATATTATTACGAACCTCCTAATTTTATTATGGAAGTTAACCTTGAGAATTTTATTTATTATCAATATTGAAAGAATGATCTTATATACCATGTAATGAATCTTAATTATTTTATTGAGAAGGGATAGATTATGGAGTTTTAAAGGATTTTTAAACACTATAATGACTATTTTATTTTTTTCTCTCTTCTTAATGAGGAGTAGCCATATATTATTATTATGGAGAACTTTTATTTTAAGAGGGAATTTATTATTAATCATTTTTAAGTAATTATTATGTTTATTAAACATTTGGTATCTATTATTAAATATTATTTACTTATTAATATTATGGAGAATCATTTGGTTGTTGTGAATATTTTTAATTAATCATTTACATTTATTGTTCTAATTTTTCTCTTTAAAATTATTAAAATTATTCTTATTATCTCTATTGAGATACAATATTTGGTAGTTAAGGTTTCTTAATATTGATTTTAACTTCTTATTACCAAAATTCTTATGGATTATATTAATAATTAGGATCTCTCTTTTATTATATAATTTATTCAACTCTTTAAATTTTGTTTCTATCTTCAATCTCTTGTTCACTTGCATAATCAAGATCTTCTCCTTCATTTTAATCAAATTCATGTGATTATCTTCTTGTAATTTATCTTGGTTTAAACATATCATCAAATTAATTATGTAATTTTTATCTTCTATATCTATCTTCACTATCAGAATCTGTTTTCTCATATTCAAAATCTCCTCCCTTTTCTCTTTTGATTCTTTCAATATCTTCATGTAATCGTTAGATTTCTTTCTTTCTCTTTTTCTATTCTTCCCTTTAAGCTTTAGTCATATGCTTTTTATGTGGTTTCTTTAATTCCTCTGTAATTTCTTGAATTGTTTATTTTAATTCTTCTTCATGAATTGGTTCAATTTATTGTAATATTGGTTGTATTTATTCCCTTTATTGATTTTGATTGTTCTATTCATTTGATTATTATATAGCATTTGATTCTTATCTTTAAAGAGTTGAGGGTCTTTAAACTCTGATGGATTGTTTTTTAGTTAATTTTTTTGGATCCTTTTATTTACCAATTCTTTTAGATTCTCTCATATCATCAACTCTATCTTCATCTTCATAATCATTAATCTCATTAAGTTTTTCTGATTAAATTTCTTTATTATGATTTTTTGGTGTATTATTTATATATTCCTATTAATTAAGGTCTTATTATGATTCTCTTTAAGAAGATAAAGAATCAGAACTTTATTGAATAGATTGGATAATCTGATCAGCTAAAGAATCAAATTATTATTCTAGATATTCTCTTTACTTTTTCTCATTAACTTAATAGTAATCATTAAAATCACTCATCTAAACCTAATAATGATCAGGCACTTTAATTTTAAAAGCCTTGGTTTTTATCTTTTTCACAATTTCACGGTATTGCTATGTCATCTTCTATAATCTGTGTTATAATAATGAAAAGAGCAAAATTACTTTAAGTCATAATCGATATGTTCATCATTTAGGTACTTTTCCATAAACTTGAGTAGACGATTCTATATTCTTTCATTAGGAATGACTTATTTGCTTAAGGATTTAGTGCCATCCATCAACATGACTTCGATTCCAACATCAGACACTTAAAACAAATCAAATTCATTTATACATTCAGGTCTATAATTGTATTTATTCAAACATAATGAACGATTCAGTAATTCTTCTTATTAGGTATGTAGAATCGTTTATTAAGTTTCATATTCCTTTGTATATCCTGGTGGTTTGATGTCAGAGTAATATTGTTAATTATTCTTAGGTTTTGGAATCTTCTTCAAGTAAGAAGCCACTTTTCTTTGAAAGTCAGTCAAGAGTACTTTTGTTTACATTTCATTCAACTACTTCGTATTGTCACTCAAACTAAAGCAATAGAGTTGGAAGAGCTTACAAAAAGACAGGAGATTTAGTTAGATTATAGTATTCCTTTAAATTGTAAATGGAAGTATGATGATAAAAGTTTTTGCCTTCATCTTTCTTTACATTGTGCAACTATAATAATAACTAAATGAAATACACTTAATAACTTAAATTTACCATTCGGTTTTCTAATTCTGCTAGAACTTTGTTAATCTTAACTAAAATTGTTTTTATATCTATATTACTTTGAATAATGATCTAAATTTAAAAGATTCAAATTCTTTGCATAACGATACTATTTTCCTGGTAATGGTAGGATATCACAAGAGTACATATATATAATAAATTAATTAATTAAATGTAGTTTATCACAGAGACAAAATTCATCAATATTTCCAATCTTTCCAATATTTCCAATCCTCGCAAACTCCTTTAACTCATTTAAGAATATGAACTTAAGTTTCGTCCTGATTCTCCTATTACTTAAAAAGCCATGGAAAGTATGGGATTAGATTATCATCACTTTCGTCGAAAGTTTCATTTGTGATCTGACTCATCTAGGAATAAGTTCGAGTTGCGCTACGATTTTGAGATCCAAAAAATTCCATATACAGAAGTAGATATGTAGAAGGCCTATATAAATTACATGAGAGAGCTGATCAGTATCTATTATATATATCTATCTAATAGGAGATTATTAGAATCTCTTTGATAATAGGAAAAGAATTAAGATTGATTTTTAAAAAAGGTAAAGAGAAGAAGATGAACTCAGAGGCTAGTATATATATATTTCATATTTAGTAAATGGCCTGAATCTGATTTTATAAAAAAGATAATTCCTAAACCAATTGAAACTCCAACTTTGGATAAAAAATTATAAATAATTGAAGAAGAAAGATGTAAAGAACAAAAAATTATTGATTGTTTTGCTAAAGAAGCAATTAGATAGGAATTGGATAGAAGACTTAAATATCAAGATGATTAATAAAGGGAATAAAGACTTCTTGTTTCACGTAAAGAGACTTTTGAAAATTTAAGGAAGAAGGCAGCATAAGAAAATAAAAAAGTTATTGAGAGATTATAAACTCATTAATAAAAAATAAGAAAATAATTAGATAAAGATTTTTATACTTCTAAATCTATTTAAGAAAAAATGGAAGCCAAGTAATATAATTTAATATTGTTATTTTATAGAGAATTATTAATTTAATAATAACGAACTAAAATGATATCAGAAATAGCTTCTCGTAATCGTAAATTAGAAGATAAAATTAATCATTTTAAAGATGATTTTGGTAATCGTTTGATGGAAGAACTTGTGAAAAAATAACATGCAATAGAATAATCAATGAGTAAAAGATAGAAAACAGCAGAAGAAATGGAAAAAAATAGATTAGAAAAATAATAGTATTTTGAATAGAAATTAAATAATATTAATCTAAAAATTAAACAAGAAAGAGAAGAAAAGGAATCTGAATTATTTAATAAAGTAGGTTAGAAATTATCAAAATCAGAAAAATTGTAAGAAGAACATGATAAATTAATATAGAAAATGTAGTAAAATAAAAAGAATGAATAATAATCAAGATTTTCAAAATAAAAAGAAAGATATAAATAATTAGAAGGAAAATAATTAGAAAAATTAGAAGAGTGGGATGAAAAATTATAAAGTATTTAAGATAGAATTGAAAAGTTTTAAATAAAAAAAAGTGAGGAATGGAAATCTATTAAGGAATAAAAGATTTAAAATTAAAAAGAACATTTAGAACTTATTCAATATATGAAGAAGAAGAAGGAAGTAAATAAAAGTTATTAAATTTAGAATAAAAATGAAAAGTAATATCTAGAAAGATAAATTATGGTTTAAAACAAATTAAAGAAATTGAAAGATGAATAAGAATATATTAGAATTTATTAAACTGTATCTAAATAAAGATTTGAATAAAATGCTTTAATTTAAATTGGAGAATTAGTAAATTTGAAATATTCATCATCTCTTTAATTACTCAAGTATATTTGGTTATTATTCTATTAGTAAATTAAAAGATCTAGAAGAAGAAGAAGGATTTAATGATATTTAATAGAAATACAAATAAATTGTCAAAGTTCCAGAAAAAAAACCTGTTGAGTGATAATTTCTTTATAACTATATAATAATTTTTATAACAAAGAAAGCATATTAATGTTTTAAAAGAAAATCAATCTAATGGGAGTAGCAAATGATAATGAATTTGAATTTTAAAAAAAATATACTTTAGTTGAAAGATAACAAAGATATTAAAATGTTATGAATGCTGTTGGAGTATAAAAAGCATTGGTGGTTGTTGAAAAACATAAAAAATCAAATATTTAATCTAACAATTAAATTTAAAACCCTTGGAGAATGTAAGTGAATCATTTAAATTATTTAGATTTGCAATTGATAAAACTAAGAATTTAGCTGAGTTTCTCCATTGCATTAAATAAAATGCTGCCATTAATAAAAATACTAGTATATTTTTATATTGCAATAATGCTTTATTAATGATGAGAGGTATGTTTTTTATATTTATTTAGAGGATTAAACTGTTGGATCAATTTTTGAATCTTAAAAAAATAAGGAGGATAATATTTTATATATAAAATATGCGGATTTTGAAACATTTGGATTCTGATATAATTAGTATAATTTATTATAAATGAACACTCTAAAATGAATAAGTTTTTTAATTAAATATAATAAAAATTCATATCAATTATAGTTAAGGTCAGTTTTGATAGTATCAAATAATTTGTCAACTTAGGCTTTCAACACATTCGCTAATTGTCTATTACACTTGGACATCTATTCGATTAATCATGAAGGCAGTACTTATGAAATCGTTTTATTAATTTATTGACGTTAATTATCTAATTAGATAAATTTTGTTTTATGTTTATTGGATTCACATATTTAATGATGTTTATTCTTATTACTTTAATTTTAATTGTTTTCCTTATTCCAATCAATGTTATGTAGATTTGGTTTGATAATTTCATAATGTTAAGCAACAGAGTTAATGGAATTTATGGTTGCTCTACTACCATCAAGATTATCCTCAAATTTAAGATGTTATGGTATTATGACATCCCTATGAGATTGACTAATATGTTTAATGAATTCTTGTGATTTACGATGACAACTTTCATCAGTACGTTGTTTCTCAAGTTTCATAACATTCCTCCTTATTTAATACATCTCACGTAAAGGACTAATGATGTCTGAACTAGACTTTCTACCTTCTTCTGTGATTGCATGTGTTTGTAGTCGTTGTTACATAAATTAATATATTTGAAATATTATTGATAAAAAATGAAAACATATTTATATTTTATATATATAAAAATATTTTGTTTGTAAATGTCTAAATTGAAAAGCCAAGTAAAAGTGATCATTAATTAAAAAGACTGTTTCTTATTAAGCTTTGTGCAATGATGCCTCAATTTAATTAGAGAACCATCCATAGACAAAGCAAGAGAACTAATATAATTTGAGTAGCACAGATTACAAAAGGTAGAAATCTTTTAAGGGAGATCGGTTTGTTACATAATTAAAGAAGAATTTCTCTATATTACCTGAAAACAAATTGGAGAGTTAAGACATTGCATCAGCATAAATGGCATTGGAAATGCTCTATAAATAGTAAATACTTGAATAGGAACCAATATTTGAGTCAGACTAAATGTAATTTATCAATCAAAGTGGATTTTAATACAATCAGCAAAATAATTTCAACATTCATAATTCTAAAATTTACAATAGGTATATGATATTATTAATATAATTATTAGTATTCTTATAGATCATAAGTATTTTACAATATCAGAAACACTTTCCAATTATTATGGTAAGTATGTTAGGAAAATACAGAAAGTTCCATTTAAAGTTCTTGATGCACCATAACTTTAAGATGATTTTTATTTGAATTTAATAGATTGGAGTAGTTAGAATACATTATCTGTAGCATTAAATTCTTGTGTATATTTATGGTATCAATTTTATTAAATTCAGGAATGCATAATCTTCAAAAGTTACTAAATTATTAGATCTTCATAATGATTCAGTTACAAGTGTGGCATGGTCACTTAGAGGACCTCACTTAGCTGTTGGAACTAAAATAGGAGAAGTGTAGATTTGGGATGCCATTAAATTATAAAGAGTTCGTACTTATAAGGGTCATATTGCAAGAGTAGGAACATTGTGCTTTTCAGATAATGTATTAAGTAGTGGTTCAAGAGATAAATTAATATTATAAAGAGATTTAAGATTGAAGGGTAATTACTTTCTTAAATAATCTGCTCATAAATAAGAGGTTTGTGGTTTAAAATGGTCACCTGATGGATAAATGTTAGCATCAGGAGGTAATGATAATAAACTTTATCTTTGGTCTTCACATAAATAGGATAAACCAATATTTAGATTGTCTGAACATTAGGCTGCAGTTAAAGCTATTGCATGGAGTCCACATTAACATGGTTTATTAGCTAGTGGAGGAGGTACTGCAGATAAGACAATTAGATTTTGGAATGCTCTTGAAGGAAAACCATTATAAAAAGAAGATACTGGTAGTCAGGTATGCAATCTCATGTTTAGTAAAATTGAAAATGAACTTATTTCTACTCATGGATATAGTCAAAATTAAATTATACTTTGGAAATGTAATAATATGAAAAGAATATCTACATTAGTGGGACATACATGCAGGTATTATATATATATATTAATAAATAGAGTACTTTATTTAGCTATGTCTCCTGATGGATCAACTATAGTTACTGGAGCAGGAGATGAAACTTTACGTTTTTGGAATCTATATCCATAAATTAATTAGGATTTCAAATAACTTAATGGCCCTTTGCATATTCCAACTATTCGATGATTATTTGAGCCATTCTACTTAATATATAATAATTTTTATAAATTTATTATATTTTTAGTAAATGTCAGATTAAATTCCAGATTATAGAGATTATGATGATGAATATGAAAGATATTTAAAAAAACTTGTACCTGGTCCCTTCATTCATGATATCACAATGACAGAAGCTAAGGAATATTTATATGTAAATTCTAGAAATAAATATTTAGAATGATGTAATTACTCCCAAACTTATTTAATACACACTTTCATACATCAAAACACAAATCAGAAGAAATGTTACTGTTGATGTGAATTTCATAACTGATATTAATTAAATTTAAGCAATTCGATTAACATCATCTAATTATTCAATTGCTGTAACTGTTATTAAAGATATACTTTCAGCATTACTTTTGGATACTATAAATTAAGAAATTCTTATGATTGATAGAAATCCATAAATAGAAAATACCTTTATTAATCAAAAAATTATTAGAATAGATTCAATGACAAAAGACTTTATCTCAATAATAGCTGGTATCTATATTAGAGCTATAAATCATTAAAATTTTAAATTAAATTTTAATGATTGTTAAAGATAATCTTTAATGAAATGGGTGTTACTCAAATAATATAGATAATAATAAATGAAAGAAAATGGAGAATCTTTCTCAAGAATACTTGATGATCAATTTTTAAAAGAAGTCAATAAATCAAAATAATAAGAATCAAAATAAGACTCTTAGATAGAATATAAACAAAAATAAGATAATATTTCATATTAATAGTCTCATTCATAAAATCAAAATTCCTATAATCATTCATCTAAACGATATTAATATTCTTAAAGATAAGGATAAAATTAAATATCTTAATCTCACATTTCTTTACCATCTACTAGTAGAATAGATACTATGAAAGATTAAATATCAATGAAAGATTTTGTTTAAGGAATGGAAAATATTAAAAATTAAATATTATTGGATGTTCCTCAACCTGATGAATTAAAACCTAAAGATTATACTCTCAAACCTATTATCCCTTTCTTTTCACCAGAAAAAGTGTTTAGAGTTAAAGTTGAAGATTTGGAAGAATTACTTAAGGAATAAGTAAAAAATAAAAAAATTTAAGAACCAAATCCTGCTGATTAATTATAGTAATTATTAACCTATTATTCATAAAACAATCCAGAATAATATAAAATATTATTAAATCAATATTCAGATTTCATTCATGAAAAAGTATATTTAAATATTTAAATTAGATGTTTGAAGGCATGGGATTACCTTCATCAACTAAATCCTAAATTCAATTTCAACCATAATTTTAATAATTATAATAAAGATAATCCATTTAAATTCCAAAATCTAAATCAATGCTCTTTCCTAAATAACTCCCTATGCAACCTTAACTTTATTAAGAGGAAATTGTTGCTATCAAATTTAATAGGAAAATAAATAGATAAGAATTTGAATTACTTAAATAAAAGTTGGTACTATCTTAAAATATTATGGAATTCTATTTCAGTCATTTATAAGAAGAATTTAAAAGAGTACTTATATTTCCAATTGAATTTTATAATGTACTCAGTTAAAATCCATAAAAGTAATAATTATATATTATTATTCTTAGAGCCTAAAGCTTTACAGATTAATATTAAGGTAAAAATAGAACTATATTTGATCAATTTGACAAAGTTTTTATACCTGTGAAGATAAGTTAATATGAATATGTTGGAGTATATATTGACTTTTAGAATAAAACAATGTATTATATCAATACACTTGAAAGAAAAGATAGTATATAATGAATAACATTTTGATAGGAAAGTAGCCACCTTATAAGGAATTAGTAGATTAACCGGTTATGCATTTTATAATGAAATTCATAGAGAATGAGTACAATCTAAAAGTGATGAGAGCATTCAACATATTTAATTGGAGTAATATTATAGTATTGATAAAATTCATAAGAATTTGTAGAATTCATGAACGATTATGCTTAAAACTTCAATTATAGTGGTTTAGTATTGACATATGTGATTGATTCAATATGTAATCATAAGAGTGCAGTGGGTGACAATTAAATATTGAAGGAATTTGCTTAGAAGATATTAGATGCTATAAGGAGAGTAGGGAGCAAGAAATGAGAGAAGTTATACCTGAAATTATAATACTATATGATGCATAAATAATTAAATAATAATTATGAATATCAAATAGCCTGTATATGTTTAAGGTATATGGTATATAAATTCAACATAGAGGTCAAATTGGACAATTATGAAATTGTTTAACCTTTAGGCTAAGGTGCTTATAGTGAGGTTGTTTTAGCAAAAAATAGATTAACTGGGCATGAATCTGCTCTTAAAATTGTTGATAAGTCTTTTTTGATTAAAGTATAAGTAATTGAATAAGTTCAGGAAAAAAAGATGCATCATGCATGCATAGAAAGAGAAGTGTTAGCTTATTTGAGACATAAAGGAATTATTAAGTTATTTAATTCTTTTGAAGACTAAAATAAATTGTATTATTCTTTGGAGTTGTTAAATGATGGCAATCTTTTGGAATACATTAACAGTATTTAATAATTTAAGATAGAGTATAATTTTAATGAAAAAATGATACAATTTTATACTGCTGAACTTTTATTAATTTTAGAGTATTTACATCAAAATGGTTTAGTACATAGAGATATAAAACCAGAGAATATTTTATTGACAAAAGATAAACATTTAAAATTAATAGATTTTGGAACAGTATTTGTTTATGATGAATAAAAAATAAATATTGGAAGTAAATTGGAATAAATAAGAATTCAATATTAAAAATAAAGATCTCCATCTTTAAATGATTTTGAAAAGCCCACTATTAAATTTTGTCGTGATTCTAGTTTTGTAGGAACATCAGAATATTTATGTCCAGAACTTATTGATTATAATGTTGTTGGACCTTAAGCTGATTTATGGGCATTAGGATGTTTCATTTATTAATTATATACTCATAGAACTCCATTCTATTCTGAAAATGAATTTCAATTATTTCATAATATTAGTTAATGTGAATGGGAAAAAGATTAAAGAATATCAAATGATGCTATAGAATTAATCAAAATATTATTAGATAGGAATCCATAAAATAGATTTTATGGAGAAATCAATGGTAAAATTATAATATAAATATATATATTAAGATTCTGATTATAATTATGATAATTTGAAAAAGCATCCCTTTTTTAGAGGAATAGATTTCACAAATATTTGGTTACAAGATGTTCCTTAACCTAGTATTAATAAATAAAAAAGAAGATTAAGTAGATATTAAACAACAATGCTTGATAAATAGAAAGAGAGAGAAAAACCAGATATTAGAGGCAATTCAGTAACTAAATAATAGATTGATCAAATTGTTTTAAAAGG